TCAGCTAAGTGCTTCGCCTCCTTGGTCCTTGCCTACTGTTCTGCTTCTCGTTTATTCTTCCACTTTGTTTGTTTCCAAAACTCGCCGCTGGTTGGGGCTCGACTCGCAAGCCACAGACCTCAATTCAGGTTCAGGTTCAGGTTCAGGTTCAGGTTCAGGTGCAGGTTCAGGTTCGGGTTCAAATTCAGCCCCCTTACAGCCTTACAGCCCCTCAGGTCCCCTTGGGGGTCTGTGCCTTGCAGTTGTGTCTCAACCAGTGGCCCCTCCTTTCTCATTTTCCTTGAAATTTTGTTGCTGCTCTTGCTATTTCACCTGTCATCCCCTCACTGCCCACTCACCAGCTCTGCGTGTGTGCCTTGCAGGTGGAGGGGAGGGGCGGGGGTCAACACCGACGCTTCCCCACGCCCCTCCCCTGTGGCCGTGCAGGTACCCGTGGGGATGGGAGGGAGGCAGCACTGCCAATCGCTGCACCAAGGGAGAGTATCGGGGTGGGCTTGGCCTCTCAAGGTACGTCACCTCCCCTCTTGCCCTCATCGCTCTCCCTTTCTGCTCCTCAATTTCGCCTTCTCATTTCTTTCACCTGCAGCTGTTGTTGTTGTTCCTGGTCATGCCAACTCAACTGCTGCTACTCCCCCCCCTGTCTGCTGCCCCTACCAGGTCACTTGGCATTCAACAGGAGACGCACACTGGAGGAGGAGGGGAGGGGAGCAGGGACGAGGCAACAGCTCCCTCGAACGTTCTCCATCTGCCAGCTAAGTTCCCTCAACCCCTTGCCTGCCTCGCCATGTCTTGTGTACTTTGCTTGCATCTCGTGTTTGCATGCGCTTTCGCACCTTCCTCTTGAAACAGCGCCACTGGTTGGGACCGGCTCACATGCTGCAGACCCCCTTACTTCAGGTAACCCTCTCAGGTGCAGGTACCCCCTCAGGTGCAGGTGTGCAGGTACCCCCTCAGGTGCAGCCCTTGGGTCTGTGGTTTGTGACTTGGCCTCCACCAGTGGCCCCTCCCCTCTCCCGCCTTGCAAATGCCGTTCCCTCTCTTGCACTTTCAGTATTCATCCCCTCGCTGCCCACTGACCAGCTCTGCGTGTGTGCCTTGCAGGTGGAGGGGAGGGGCGGGGGTCAACACCGACGCTTCCCCACGCCCCTCCCCTGTGGCCGTGCAGGTACCCGTGGGGATGGGAGGGAGGCAGCACTGCCAATCGCTGCACCAAGGGAGAGTATCGGGGTGGGCTTGGCCTCTCAAGGTACGTCACCTCCCCTCTTGCCCTCATCCCAGTACCTTTCTGCTCTTCAATTCTGCCTTGTTGTTTTTGTCAATTTCAGTCTTTTCTGTCCTGGTCATCCCAACTCAATTGCTTTCACTTCCCCCTTTCTTCCCTCCCCCACCAGGTCACTTTGTATGGAGTGAAGACTGCAGCAGAGGAAGCTGAGTAGCAGACCGGCAGCAGCAGTTGCAGCAGCAGAAGCAGTGGGGGTTGGGGGGTTAGGGGGCAGACTAGGTTAGGTCGAGTCGTGAGTGAGGTGTGGTATCAGGTGAGGTATGGTAGCAGGTGAGGTATGGTATCAGGTGTGTTGTCTGATTCCCTCCTCTCTCTTTCTCTCCCCCCCTCCCCTTCTAGCAGCCTGAAGTAGGGAGCGAGCACTGGACCAAGTGCGAAACAGAGGCATTCCTTCTCCAATCTCCCCCCCCCACTCTCCCTCCTCCTTCCACTTCCCAGCAGCCTGAGGCATCATGGTTCTCTGACCGGCGATGGTAGGTACAGGCATGGCGTGAATGGATGGGGTTGGGTGGGGAGCATGGGAGCAAGTGGGCAGCCACTGCCTTAGGGGCAGCACCCTCTGGTGTTGTGCCTTGTGGTTCAGGGTGTGGTGGGTGGAATCTGTGCGGCACGGCACTCGGTGCTCAGGTTCCCGATCTGGCGTTAAAGGCCTAATGGACACCGTCAGAGCCGACCGGCCGGCGGCTCTGGTTCGCGTCAGCTCTAGCCACGTCAGGGGTGAAATCTGAGTCTTGGGCTGGAAGCAATTTTCCACTACCACACCTCGACTTCAAGGCATAGCCCCCGAGAGTGTTGTTCCGACAGGGAGTGGTCTGTCTGCTGCTCCTACTGCTGGCAGGCGAAGGGGGGAGGGGCTGATGGTGGTTGGGCAAGGGTGGTTGTGATTGCTGGGTGATGTGATATTGTGTGGTTTGAGACAGTGTGGCATGATACAGTGTGTTATGATACATTGTGGTATGATACAGTGTGGTATGATACAGTGTGGTATGATACAATGTGGTATGATACAATGTGTTATGATACTGTGTGGCATGATACAGTGTGTTATGATACTGTGTGGCATGATAGAGTGGTCTGATACTGTGTGGTATGTTATAGCGTGGTATGATACAGTGTGATATGATAGAGTGGTCTAATACAATGTAGTGTGGTCTGATACAGTGTGGTATGATACAATGTGATAGTAGAGTGTGGTATGATACAGTTTGGTTTGATACAGTTTGTGTGATGCAGTGTGGTATGATACAGTGTGATATGATAGAGTGGTCTAATACAATGTAGTGTGGTCTGATACAGTGTGGTATGATACAATGTGATAGTAGAGTGTGGTATGATACAGTTTGGTTTGATACAGTGTGTGTGATGCAGTGTGGTATGATGTAGTGTGATATGATAGAGTGGTCTGATACATTGTCGTATGGTATGGTGTGGTATGGTGCAGTGTGATATGAGTTTGGTCTGATACAGTGGGTTATGATACTGTGGTATGAAACTATGGGGTATGATACAGTGTGGCATGATACAGTGTGGTATGATGCAGTGTGATTCAATAGAGTGTGTTATGATACAGCATGGTATGATGTAGTGTGGTATGATATAGTGTGGTATGATAGAGTGTGGTATGGTACAGTGTGGTATAATGTAGTGTGGTATTATACAGTGTGGTGTGATACAGTGTGGTATGGTACAGTGTGGTATGATGTAGTGTGGTATGACGTAGTGTAGTATGTTAGAGAGAAATATGAAGGAGTGTGGTATGTGTAAGAGTGGTGTGGTAGAGTGTGGCATGATACACTGTGGTCTGACCTTCCTTGGGTGGGGTGGGAGAGTGGGGTCTGAATCCCCTTGGGTGGGAGAGTGGGGACTGAATCCCCTTGGGTGGGAGAGTGGGGACTATGCTGTTTCTGAAAGGAAGTGAGCTGTTCGCTGCTCCTACTGTTGGCTAGTGAAGGTGGAGAAGGGCAAGGCGGGCTGGCAAGGGGTGGTGGTGGGCGGTAGGGGGTGTTATGGTGTGGTGTGATGTAATGTGGTATGTTGCAGTGTGATATGATATTGTGTTGCATGATAAATTGCGCTATGATACAGTGTGTTAAGAGGCTGTATGGTATGATACAGTGGGGTATGAGGTTATGTAATTTGATACAGTATGGTATGATACAGCGTGGTATGAGGCAGTGATGTATGACACAGTGTGGGTTAGTGTATCAAGGAGTGGCATGGTATGTTGTATGTGGTGGTGTGGCATGGCATGGTGTATCATCTCGTGTTGTGACATGGCATGGTGTGGCACCTGATTTTGTTGGCATGTCTTAAAGTGCCATCTCATTTTTTTGCATTGCCTGGTCTGGGATGGTATGGCGTGGCAAGGCATAAGGTGGCATGGCATGGTGTGGCATGGCATCATGCCATGTGCAGGATGGCCGCTGATGGAGGGAAGAGGAGCACGATGGAAGGCAAGGGAGGGCAGCGTGAGAAGGAAGAGGAGTGAAGGGGTGGAGGAGTCGAAGTGCATGGCATGATGCAAGCGTGCCTGGCTCACCTGCCATGCATGTGATTATCTGAGTATAAAAGCTGAAGTGAATACAATTTTGTCAAGTATACCTGTATGTTATGCACCTGAACCCTCTTGTAGAGACAGAAATGCAGTAGGTATTTTTCTGTATTTTTTTACATTTGCAGAATTAGTTGGCAAGGAATTTTCTGTTGTTAACGAATAGCAAAACTTTCTACTGTGCATGACAATCATTACAGAACATATATGGGACTGTTGTTTCACAAACAAATCAATTATGCGGTTCTGGGCATATGAGCCAACAAGAAAGATGACAATTGGGTTGTTTGCTAGAAGCTAGAGCTATAAAACAACGTTAATAGCTGGAGGCCCAATAACGGAATGGTGTACGGTATATCCTCATGCTGTTCATTGATGCCTCCGAGTGCACTTGTGCTGTTCAACAACGCGGAAAAAAACGTTCGCCATGGCGAACTGCCCAACGCGGAAGAAGTCACATGCGCACGCACTTGTGTTGCACAGAAGTTCGGATTGGATCTGTGGGTGGGTGTACAGTTTAGGACCACCACCCCGTTTGTTTTGTTTGGTTCTGTCCCTTGCACTGCATTCACACTGGGAATGTGAGGAACCAAACCCCGCTCCTCCACATTTCATCACCCCGAGACCACCCCCTCCTTTGTCTCCTCCTGCCTTCGTCGTTTGCGATTGACAGTGGCACACAGAGAGAATGGTTGACGCAGTTCGTACGAGATCGGGGTCGTCCTCACTCCTCGGGGTCGTTACAGGGCTGTTTCTACTTGTACACCTAATGCTCGTTAGAGTCCCCCAAGGTTGCCTTGCCCTTTGGGCTTGTAAGTGGTTTTTGCAATTCGAGCAGTTCGTCGCATTTCGCCAGAGCCAACATGGGCTTATAAAGTACCCGAATTGTTACACGTTTGTTTTACACGAAACAGTGTTGGCTTGCCTGGTTTGGTTTTCTAACTGTTGTTGTTGTTACCACTTTAGATCATCAAACTGTAACGGCCCATTTCACAAAACAACCCATTCCCTCACAAACAACCCCAGACCACATCCAGGCCAATCACAGCGAGCCATCTCAACCAACAACACACAGCTCCCCGAAGCACAACGAGCACCAGAGTCAATGAGATGTTGACCCTGGTGTACCTGGTGAAACACCAAGTACAGAGGCGGAGTTGGGCCAACTCACAGACGCACCCACTCCGCCGCATCCATGAAGCCGTCCATGACGGCAGGCGCGCCAGCATCAATGAGAGCCTGGCGAGGGGATGGCGCCGTCATCCACGCAGGGAGGACGCGCCCGCGAGGACGAGGGCGCACGGCATCCGGGATCTCGGACAGCCTGGGGGTGGCGATCGGGGTCGCGTTGAGGTTCAACGTCGGGCTCGCCCTCTCCATGCGCGCCACGATGATCGGGTTGCGGATCTCGAAGAGTGCGCAAAGCTCGCGGGGGGTGATGCAGGTGGAGCGCGCGTACCCGATGAGCATCTCAGATGCGGCGCGCGTCTAGCGACGAGCCTCGCGGGACGTGGGATCCGCATCTTGGTAGACCGCCTCCATGCTCGCCGGCGGCTCCTACGAGGCAGCCGAGTACGCCGTCGCAGGCTCCTCGGCCAAAGGGTCCTCCCCAGGCTCGGCGCATGTCGGCTGCCCCGCGTCGATTGCGACGAAGTCGGCGGCCGGCATCGCGCTCGGCCCGAGAGCAAGTCGGTCTATGAGAATCCCGACGTCACCGATCTCCTCATCGAGATCGATGTCGAGCGGTGCAACGCCGCGCCCACCAGGAGTCAGGCCTGCGGCGCCGACGTGGGACAGAGACAGAGCCCACGCGAGGGGGAGGCACTCCGTCCGCCACCAGCACCTCTGAATCGTGCGCGGGCCGATGTTCATCCAGGCGTCCAGCAGCGACGCCAGGACGTCGCGGAGGTTCGGCTTGTAGCGCGCGAAATTCGCGGTGGCGCCGCCCTCCACCCACCTTTCGACGACGGCCTCGAGCCAATGCTGCCTGTACCGGGCCTTCGTCATGGCGATGAGGCCCTGGTCCAGCGGCTGAGTGAAAGCGGTGGTGTTCGGCGGAAGGAACACCAGGCGGAGGTTGCTCAGCGACTGCGTGCGGAAGCCGAACAAGTCCTCGGTCTCGGCATCCTCGGTCTTGAGCACGTGACTCGAGGCGTTGTCAAGCAGGATAACGATGTGGCGTTCTTCGGCCACCATGGCCGCGTTCAGTTGCTCCATGAAGAGCGTGAAAAGCTGCGCACAAGCGTACGAAAAGGGACGGGGGATGGACGTTTAAGTTAGTACAAGCTATCATGGCCGCGTGCGTGAACCGACAATGACATAAATGAATTGATTGAAAAATTGTGAAGCACATACCGGGGCGGTCATCCAGCCCTTCTTATTGTGGCGCCAGTAGCACAGTGGCTCGGGGTCAAAGTCGGGGCGGAAATCATGGGGCCGCTTCGACTTCGAGATCACGAGCGGGCGGAACGCGTGGCTCCCGTCCGCGTTCACGAGAAGCCCGACCGTGAGGCGCTCCTTTGGAATTTTGCGACCCGCCACCCGTGTACGCCCGTACGTCTTCCGGGGCAACACCGAAAGGAACAGGGCGGTCTCGTCGAAGTTGTACACGTCGCGCGGGGAGACAGAGAGGTAGAGGAGAAGCTGCGGGAGCTTCTCCTTGCAAGTGCGGACCGCAGCCATGTCCTGATCCGCGGCTTCCCCAGCAGCGCTGTGGCACCGAATGCCATTGCGGCGCAAAGCGCGACGCACCCATCCCACGGAACAGCGGAAAGTCGGCGGCTTTCCCAAGTCACGTACGATGACCGCGACGTGGTCGCGGATCGTCTGCAGCGTGAGCGGGATCCCCACCGGGCCGGCGTTCGAGATCCAGCGCACCATGGCGCTTTCGAGGTCGGGGTGGGCTCCGCCACGAACACGGACGGGGTTGCTGTCCGCGGAGGGCGCGCGCCAACAATCCGCCGCCTTCAAAATCCGTCCGATCGTGCTGCGGTCGGGACGGAGCCCGTACCGAGTAAAACACCAGCGCGCCAAGTCAACATGGCGCATGAGAGGGTTCTGCACATGATGCGCGCAGATCGCCTTCTTAATGTGCACTGCGAGCTGCGCGCGGCGGTAGAGACGCGGCATAGTTGTTGAAATGAAAGTGGGAGTAGACTGTGATTGTCGAGGAGAATTGCAAGACGTTTTATCATCGCTTGTCTCGAACCCGCTTCCCGTCAGCTTTTTGAGGTTTGATGTTGAGTTTTGGCTGAGGGTTCAGTCATCGTGTGAATGGGAACGCGGAGGTGCGTGTAACATTCATGGGTAACCACAGGCCACACGGGGTGACGTGGGTTTAGTGGGCACAAAGGTTAGTACACGTGTGTATAACCCGCATGCTGGGTGGCCGTGTTCCCGGCGCTGGGGCTCTAACATGCACACGAGACCGCTCATCCGCATCGGGTGACGTGGGTCAGCTAGACATACGTCAACATTGACGTGCGTCAAAGCTGCACGGGCAGCCTCCACGTGGCGTTTCAATGTGCGCCTTGTGTGTTTGGCGCACATTGAAACACCACGACGTGGCATCCAGTAGGCAGCGAAGAGGTGCGCGACGTCAAACTCATTTCGCCCACAGTTTTTGCTCTGCCTTTTCAGAATAGCTAGGCAAGAATGATGAACTAGCAGAAGTTTGGGTACAAATATGAAACCCTAGTTGGGGTTGTACCCCATAATGGCTACCCCACTACAGCCTACAAGCATAATACAGTTTAACACACCCCCATAGGCAAAGTGGGGGAGAACAAAGGGTCACAAGACCAGTCCAGCAAAGCAAAGCAAAGCCCAGGGTGGATCACAACGTCACCACACTCCGAGCACAAGTAAAGGCCACAAGGCCAGTTCACATGCAGTGCTAGATATAGTACAAGACAAGCAACACAGTGATCAAAACCTAGCAAGCAAGCAACAAGATATATATAAAGTACAGTACAAAGAATGTCAAGCAGTGAGCAAGTGAGGAAACGTGGACACAAGGCCTAAAGAAGTACAGTGCCGCTGATGATCACTAGGCGGGAGCGCCTTGGTGAAGATATCAGCAGTGTTGGCCTTCGAGTCCACGTACACAAGCCGAAGCTGACCGCGCTGCTGAAGCTCTCGAGCAAGAAAGTAGCGAAGAGCAATGTGCTTCGTCCTGTGCTCCAGTCTGTGCTCCTGACACAAGGCAAGAGCCGCCTTGTTGTCACCGTACAGAACTGGAGGAGAACTAGGCCGCTCTCCCAAGTCAGTCAGCAGGTAGGTGAGCCAGCGTAACTCCTGTGCAGCCATGGCTGTGGCGTAGATCTCAGCCTCACAACTAGAGCCGAGAACAGAGGAAGAGCGGGTGGACCGCCACGAGACAGAACCAGAGCCAAGGCTGAAGGTGTAACCCTGTGACGACCGCTGCGTAGCCAGGTCGTCCACCCAAGAAGCGTCCGAGTGACCAGTGAGGACAACTCTGTCGTGTCCTCCAAGCACCAGCCCCATGCCTGATGTACTGCACAAGTAACGCAGCACCCTCTTAGCAGCCTCCCAGTGCTCTCGCCTGTGTCTCCCAGGTGCAACGTAACGAGCAAGGATGCTAAGAGGGTACGCTAGGTCAGGTCGCGTGCAAGTCATCAGGTACATGAGGCAGCCTACAAGCTCTGGGTACGGGCCACTCGGCTCTACGGACTCGTCCGAAGGTGGAGCTGAGAGCGAGTGGCTGGTAGCCAGAGGTGTGGCCTGTGGTGAGGAGAACTGGAAGCCGAAGCGCTGAAGGACCTGCTGCACCATGTGTGACTGAGTCAGGGTGATGGTGCGGCGAGCTCTGTCCCGGGTGATCTGCAAGCCAAGGTAGCTACGCAGTTCACCCAGGTCAGTGCAGGTGTGTCTCTTCTGCAGCTCCGACTTCACACGAGCAAGTGCCTCAGTGTCAGCAGTAGCAAAGACCAAGTCGTCGACGTACACGAGAATGTAGAACGGCGGCAGCGACGTGTCTGTGCGCAGAAACAGCGACGGGTCAGCAGTAGACGGCGCGAACCCAAGAGCCGCAAGTGTAGTCCTCAGTGTGTCGTGCCACTCACGTGGCGCCTGGCGGAGACCGTAGACTGGCCGGCGGAGACTCCACTGGGTACCAGGTTGAAACGACCCAGTAAAGCCAGGTGGGCGGCGCAGCCAGATCTCCTCGTGCAGGCTGCCCTGCAGGAACGCTGTGCTGAAGTCAAGAGAGTGAAGCTCGTAGTCACGCTGAGCAGCAACGTGCAGCAGAACCCGAAGAGTGGTCATCTTCGGGGTGGGGGAGAAGGTCTGGAAGAAGTCGACCCCCTGACGCTGACTGAAGCCTCTAGCAACGTAACGAGCCTTGAAGACAGGCGGAGAACCTGGCGGCCGCTTCACCCTGAAAATCCACATGCCATCGACGATGTTCGCCCCAGGAGGGGGAACCTCGTCGACGTAGGTGCCTGTGGACTTCCAGGATGCCATCTCTGCGTCCATGGCTGTCTGCCACTGAGAGGAGTAGGGACCCGAGATCGCCTCTGCGTAAGTGCGCGGAGTGGGGATGTCTAGTGCATCCGGGTCTCCCTCAGGGGCAAGCAACCAGGCCACGAGATGAGGTACAGCAGCCGCAAGAGAGTCAAAGTCCTCCTGCCTGTCCTCAAGGACGTCCGTGCTAAGAGCACACTCACCCCCGACGGACGGAGGACAGACAGACGCAGACTCTGACTCAGCAACAAGGCTAGCAGCGTAGTCTAGACGACAGGCAGCAGCAAAGTCAACCAACTCAGCGACCAGAGCAGACGCAGCCGAGGACTCAAAGGTAGGGTCAGTGACAACAGTAGCGAGGAGACGCGTGACTGTAGGGTGCTCAGCGCGATACCGGTCAGACTCAGGGTCCGGAACGGCAGGCAAAGAGGACGCAGGAGGAGACGGTAGAGGGACACGCCGAGGAGCAGTAGAGGGACGCAGAGTCATGTAGTGAGTGCCTGGGACAGGAGGAGGACGCTCACGACGGACACGACTACCAGTGCGAGCAGGACGAACAGGCGACACAGGACGAGACTCAGGCTCACGACGCTCTGTAAGACCTCCTGTGGGACCAGCGTAAGGAGAGGGAGCAGGGAGAGGCGAGGAAGGCGGTAACTGTGACTGCGGCTGGACAGGCGGAGGACACTCTACGGAGGGAGGAGGACAAGGAGGAGGAGCCTGCCCAAGAACCTGCTGAAGGAGCGGTACGAAGTACGGTCGCGGCCGCGCAGCGTCTCCAGAAGCAGAAGAGACTCCAGCGGCCGGGTCCTCAGGACCAGCAGGAGCTCCAACGTCCGGGTCCCCAGCACCAGCAGCAGCGCCACCGCTCGGGTCCTCAGCTCCAGCAGCAGCTCCACCAGGCGGGTCCGCAGCACCAGCAGCAGCGCCACCCCCAGAGTCGGCAGCTCCAACTCCGCTAGCACCGCCAGCGCCAGAGTCCCCAGCTCCAGCAGCTCCAGTCGCAGTGCTCCCAGAATAAACAGTCCCGGCAGCTCCAGTACCCCCAGTACGAGCACCCCCAGGACGAGCAGCCCCAGCACCCCCAACTCCAGCCGAGCCACTAGGACGGCGAAAGCGCCGGACGTACCAGTCACGAAGCTGCTGCGGTGTGAGAGACTGCTCAGCACCCCGAACCGGAGCACCCCCAGACGCAGTAACCCGAGGCTCCGTAGGCTCAGTAGCAGCACCCCCAGGCTCAGTACCCGCAGGCTCAGTACCCGCAGGCTCAGCACCCCCAGTCGCAGCACCCCCAGGCTCAGCACCCCCAGGCGGCAAACTCTCAGGCACAGTACCCTCAGCTCCAGCACCCGCAGTCCCAGCACTCCCAGGCCCCGCACCCGCAGGCTCAGCACCCCCAGGCTCAGCACCCCCAGACTCCGTACGCTCAGGCACCGTACCCTCAGCTCCAGCACCCTCAGTCCCAGCACCCGCAGCCCCAGCACCCCCAGGCGCAGCACCCCCAGGCTCAGCACCCCCAGGCTCAGCACTCCCAGCAGCACCACCCGCAGCAGCACCTGAGTCACCTGTGACCTCGACAGGCTCAGCGACGGGAGGAGGGTCTACCTGAGAGACACCTGAAGGAGCAGGACCCTGAGGGGGAAGGGGGTCTACCGGAGGGGGACCAGGAGCAAGGAAAAGCGGCGGGGGAGGGAGGGGGGCAGTGCGGTAGGGGAAGAGACGGTAAAAGGGGACCGACTCGTCAAAGGTGACATCCTGAGAGGCGAAGACCCGGCGCGAGGTGGGGTGGTAAAACTGCCAGCCAGGCGCGTCAGGGACAAAGCCAAGGAAGACACAGGGAAGCGTGCGGGAGGAGAGCTTGTCCGCGGACGTATCGCGGACAAGGGCACGAGCACCCCACACCCGGAAGCGCGACGCATCGCCAACCTCCCCCGTCCAACGCAGTGTGGGCGAGGTCTCCGGCAAGGAGACACGGGGCCAGAGGTTGAGCTGATGCGCGGCGTACCGGACAGCAAACGGCCACAGAAAATGGGGAGCCGCCGCGTGGACCAAGGAGGTACGAGCGACCTCCATGACCAGGCCAATGCGGCGCTCAGCAACCCCATTCTGCTGTGGGGAGTCCGGAAGCGTGAAGGTCTGCTCGATGCCCTCCGCCTGACAGAAGGTCCTCAGGAGATCGGAGGAAAACTCACCACCTCTGTCAGAGTGCAGACGCAGGACAGGAAGATCTGTCCGGAAACGGCGGCGGAGCTGGAGACGAACCGTGCGGATCCAAGGGATCAGAACAGCAGGGACCTCACCCTTGGTGCGCAAGGGGAAGACCGTGGTGTAACGCGAGTAGTCGTCGACAACCAGCAAAAAGTACCGCTCACCGCCCTGACCACGAACGCGGGCTGGGCCCCACACGTCCAGGTGGAGGGTCTGCAGAGGAGCCTCTGTCGGGGGGAACGAGGAGGAGTGAGGAGCGGCGCGCTGCCGCCCCTCGACGCAAGGAAGGCAAGGCGGCGCAGGCGAGGCAGGGAGGGGAGGGAGGGACCTGGGAAGACCAGACACAAGGTGGCGACGGTGCATGCCACGAAGGCGTGGCAAGGAGGGGTGACCCAGGCGGTGGTGCCAGAGAAGAGTCTGGTGCGACAGGGAACGACACTCACAGGCGTGGGCTACCAGACCTGACGCAGACACCTGACCGACAGCAGTGACCTGAGGAGACGCAGTGGTCAGTGTGTAGAGACTCGACCCCGGCCGACGGGTAAACGTAGCCAGGTGACGGCCGGTCCTGGAGCACGTGCAGATCGCCACACGCTGTCCGCCAGGGGTAAAGGTGTCAACCCACTGATCCTGGAGGACAGCGTTGCTCACCAGGTTCGTCGAGAACGAGGGGAGGTGGAAACCCGACAACGAGCCAGACGGAACCGCCGGACAAGGGAGGACAGTGGTGGACTGGGCAAGGACTGGGCCCCCAGAGGGGTCAGCCAAGGAGACTGGGACCGGTGCAGGAAGCGGTGTGAGCTCAGTACTGTCACGAAAGAAGCAACGGGAAGCACCTGAGTCAAGGGTGAAGGTGTGACAGGCCTCAGCCGGTGCGGTACCTGAGAGAGCAGTCTCTGTGGGTGCTGTACCTGAGAGAGCAGACTCGAAACCAGCCAGGACAGCACTGGGGGGAGCAAGTACAGGGGGCACCATACCAGAGAGAGCAGACTCACTAGTACCCAGGGCAGCGGGCTCTATACCTGGGTCAGGCGGCACACACAAGTAACAGTCTCCCTCGGCACTAACAGTCAATGCATACATGGCAGCAATAATAGCATATTAGTCAAGAGCAAAGACATCAACACCAGCCCTCATGAGCTCAGCCCAGCGGGGGCGCTCAACATCCGCGCCCATCTCCTCACGCCAAGCGTCGTCAAGGCGGGAGAAGCAGCGGTACGGGGTGTGGAACCTCCCACACGTCTGTCCCTTGCGATCACCTGTGCGAATGACATAAGAACAGCGGCCACTGCCCCCCGACGTCCCACGCTGAGCAAGCCACTCACGAAGCTGCTGGGTCGTCTGGGGACGCTGCTGCTGCTGGGAGCTCTGGCCCGAGCCAGTGCCTCCACTCCGACCGCCGCCGCCACCACTACCACCGCTCCGACCGCCACCGCCACCACCGCCACCACCGCCACCGCCGCCACCGCCGCCGCCGCCACTACTGCCACTGCTTCCGCCGCCGCCCCCGCCTCCACCACCGACCCCACTCCCACCAGCGCTCCCGCCACCGCTCCCTCCAGCACCGCCTCCCCCCCCACCTCCCCCACCTCCTCCCCCCCCAGCGCCACCACCACCACCCTTGCCCCCCTTGCCCTTGCCGGTGCGGCGCCTCCCACCAGGAGCAGAAGCAGCGCCAACAGACTCAGCACCAAGGAAGTCAACAGCAGCAGCAGCAGCGTAGGAGGGAGCGAGGGGAGAGGGAGAACACCCCTCAAAGATGGGGGTGCGAGGAGCGCCACGAGCAGCACCAACAGCTACAATGCTCTTTTCGGCCGCGAGCAGCTGCTCCTCTAGGAGGGCGACTGTGAGCTCAGTGGGACAGCGAGCAAGGAAGTGGTCTCGAACTGAGCGGAGGGTGTCAGGGAGACGGGTGACTATGAAGTGGAGTGTCCAGTACAGTGGAGGGGGGTTCTTAGCGCAGAACTCGGTGGGAAGGGCGGCACGCAGGCGAGCATCACTAGTGCGAAGGTGGGTGATAAGATCGGCGACTGTAGTAAAGGTGGACAGATCGGGGAACAGGTACGGCAGCATGAGGCGGCTAAGCTCGGCTGTGGCAGGCGAGGAGTAGCGAGCAACGACAGCATCGTACAGGGCCTTAGCGGATTTGCAGTCGCCAAAATGCTCGAGCTCAGCTAGCGGCAGGTGACTACGAATGGCTAGGCGAGCAGCTGCGTCACGAGTCTGCCAGTGGGAACGAACACTAAGCTCGGCTGTGGCAGCAGGAGCAGCGGCAGCACCAGACGCGTAGTCATAGAGGGAGATGTGGTCCGTGCTATTGCTCATAAGATACAACTGCAGGTCGTCGAGCCAGGAAGTGAACTGCACGGGACGGCCCTCAGCATCGAAGGAAAGAACGCGAATAGAGGCCATAGCTCAGGCGTGAGGGCACAGCAGAGCAGCGGCAGTGAGGCAGCGGGCGGCGCTGCGAAGCAGGTAGCGGGCGGGCGGGCGGCGCTGCGAGCGGGCAGCGAAGCGGGCGGGCCGCGAAGCGGGCAGCGAGCGGGCGGGCGGGCTGCGAAGCGGGCAGCGGGGCGAGCGGGCTGCGAAGCGGGCGGGCCGCGGAGCGGGCAGCGAGCGAGCGGGCCGCGAAGCGGGCAGCGAGCGGGCGGGCGGGCTGCGAAGCGGGCGGGCCGCGAAGCGGGCAGCGAGCGAGCGGGCTGCGAAGCGGGCGGGCCGCGAAGCGGGCAGCGAGCGGGCGGGCGGGCCGCGAAGCGGGCAGCGAGCGGGCGAGCGGGCTGCGAAGCGGGCGGGCCGCGGAGCGGGCAGCGAGCGAGCGGGCTGCGAAGCGGGCGGGCCGCGAAGCGGGCAGCGAGCGGGCGGGCGGGCTGCGTGGCGGGCGGGCCGCGAAGCGGGCAGCGAGCGGGCGAGCGGGCTGCGAAGCGGGCAGCAGGACGAGCGGGCTGCGAGCGGGCGGCTCGGCGGGCGGGCGACACTGCGAGGGGCGCGCGAGGGCGCTAGTGAGGGGCGCGCGAGGGCGCTAGCAAGGGGCGCGCGAGGGCGCTAACGAGGGGCGCGCGAGGGCGCTAACGAGGGCGCACGAGGGCGCTACGAGGCTAGGGCACGGGGTAGCGTGGTAACCGCATGCGAGCGGTGGTGGGCCCTTAAAAAACGGTCGGTAGGTCCTAGGGACCTCCTGCTCTGATACCATTTCAGAATAGCTAGGCAAGAATGATGAACTAGCAGAAGTTTGGGTACAAATATGAAACCCTAGTTGGGGTTGTACCCCATAATGGCTACCCCACTATAGCCTACAAGCATAATACAGTTTAACATGCCTGTCCCTGGCCTACGGACAACGAGACTCCGGGGCGGGGGCGGTTGTTGTTGGTGTAAGTGTTGCAGTTGTCGTGATTTACCCAACTTGCCCAAGTGGCTCGGCGTGCCTATAACCATGGTGCAACTGCCCGGGCTCGAATGCACGCGGGCAGAGTTTCTGCAGCGCGTAGGGCATTTTCGCGTGCATGGATCGGACATCGTGTGTAGCTTTCAGATGCCCGTGTTGTCACGATGGCAGATCAATATGTATTGGCTGATTGTTCCTTGACTCCATCAACTTGAACCGTGGTCGTGAGCTCTGACAATAGGTACCAATTTGTACCAATTGGTACACGGAATAGATAGGTGTGAGGGAGGGGAAGGAGGAGGGAGTGTGTCAAATCCGAAACCTCCGCCACATCTCCTAGCGCATTTCGGCCTTGTTCGATGTAGTAGGCTCGCACGGAGCTTCCATCGTCGGGACGAAATTCAGGAAGAGGAATTATTTGATGGGAGGGGCACGGAGTATAGCAGTATTTTAAACCCGATAGTAGGCCGTTTGCCGATCTTCCCTATACCGTTCCCTTAAAATACTTCCCTTTTACCCTGCATCTTATCTCGTGTCAACGTCGCAACTCCGTCACCTGGACGCCATCTCCGTCAAGATGGCCCCATTCATATCCAAGCTCTCACTTCTCTGGCGACCTGCCCGCGTGAACGCGGGGAGCACGGCCAAGTCGTCGCGTTGCACGGACAAATCAGTGCCTTCCGAGCCAAGAGTATCCCGAAGCTCCACTTCTCCAGCGTCGATACAACACATCAGCCTCACCGCAGATCCGCCAGACGCCGATTCGATAGAAGCGTCAGACACGCAAGCTTTGCGCGTGGGCGAGCAATGCCCGGATAGTTGCTGCGTCGTCCCTGCCGCCACGCGGGAGATTCGCAACGAGCCCGCGCACGAGATAAGCAGCGGCGTGCGCCGCGAGAATGTCTACAGCATGACACGCCTGGCTGATGGATTATTCGGCAGCTGTAGCGTGGCGCGAAGGGGTCACACCATTAGCATCGGCAGCAACGGCACCCTAACCTTGGATGTCGTTCAGTCGCTACAGGATAACGACGACTTCCCGTCGCGTCCTCCTGACACGGCGGAAGCGACAGAGCAGTGCAGTAACCTCGACAATGATGTCGACCTCGAGTCGCCGTACCCGACCGCCATTATTCACCGCAGCAGCACCGGCGGCAGCAGCTCCGTCGACACAGTCACGTGCGCCGCCGTCACTCCCGCGCTTCCTATTAATAAGCCCGCGAACGGCGGAAGTGCGGGCGATGGTGCGCCGTTATCCCCGTCGCTGGGCAGCGGTCCGGTATCGCCGCCGCCCTCCACGGCCTTCATTAGCTCCACCCCCACCGGCGGCAGCGCGAGTGCCCGCACGCCCCGCCTGCGCGTGTCGTTCGCGCCGTTGCGCGCGGATGACGAGAGCGATGACAGGCGTGCGGAGGTTGCGGCGGAGGGCGAATCGGGAAGAGGCGGAAGGCGGAGAAACGCAGCGGCAGGGGCGGAAGGGGGGGAGACACTGAGTGTTTCGGGCGCAGTGGCTGGCGAGGGGGGTCGAGTCTGGGAAAACGGAGGATGCGGGGAAAGGGCAGGCGAGAGTGCGGAATCGACGGGAAACGGGTACGAATCGCTGGGGGCGGAGGCCGACGGGCGCACGGAGGGAGGACCGCGCGGAACAGCGGAGCAACCGCCAGGCCCGCAAGCCAAATCCGCGCAGCCCGCCGGATCGTCGCGGCAGGGTAATAAGGGGGCCCCTCGGGCGGTAGTGGGGGAGCGGCGCAAGGGGCGGCGGTTCGAGCACATGGTGGTGACCATTCCGGATCGGGAAGATTGCCCCGCTTCCTCCGGCGCTCGGTCGGCGACCGGCGGAAAGAGAACCGCGGAAGGCAGGGTGGACGGCGAATCGGGCGGGACTGCTGGTAAGGAGCGCGGAACGAGGGACGCTTTTGGATCGGGGAGAGGAATTGGAGGAGGAGGAGGGGGATGGAGGGGAGGGCGGGGAGGAGGAGAGAGGCCACCCAGCGAGGAGAGAGGTCTAGGGTCGTTCTCGTTTAACGCGGGTGACGATCGCGACGAGCCTAGCCTCGAGCGCAACATTACGTGGACCGCGGGGGGCGGCAGCAGCAGAGCCGGGGGGAAGGGCGGCAAGAGCGCGCACGGGGAGAGCTCGTTCGCGCAGAGGGCAGCGGTGACGAGGAGGGACGAGTGGGGATCGGAGGGACGGCGGGGGCAAGAAAGCGGCGCGGAGTGGCAGGTGAGCGACGAGAGGAGCCGCAGCGGGAGAATGGTGTCAGAACCGCAGCTGAATAAGACCAGGACGCTCTCCGGACCGCTCACCGTATCGCGCCGGGCATTGGCGGCGAGCGCTCCTAGAGGCGCGGGGGAAGGCAGGAGCCGCGCCGTGCCTGTAGCCCCCACCCCCCGTTCCGCCGCCAAAGGCCTCCCCACCCCACGGGCGCGGCAAGACGTGAGTCCGCCATGGGCGCTGAACAACGCGCACGCCTCGCGCTCTTTCACTGACCGCCCCGGACCTAGCCCCGCGCGCGGGTGCGCTTCCCCGCGCTCCCGCTCGTTCAAGGATTTGCCTGGAAGAGGCGCGCCTCCCGCCATTCCCCCGTCCCCGCGCGCCCCTAAAGGGGGAGGGACGGGTGCGTCCAGCAACGCGTTGTCCCCGCGGTCGCCCCCCGCTTGGTCTTCCGCCTCCGCTGCGCCTGCGCCGCGTGATGCGCCTCTTGCTGCCATGACGCCCCGCTCCGCGCGAGCGGGCGGAGGAGGGGGCCCTGCGGGCAATGGGGGGGGGAGCGCGGGGTCGCGGAAGCAGCAGAGGGGGGCGGAGGAGAGGGAGAGGCGGAGGGACGAGAAGGAGGAGCAGAAGATGGCGCAGGCAATGCGGATCATGGAGAAGCTGCGGAGTGAGGCGCGGGGGGGGGAGGGGGAGAAGGAGGGGGAAGAGGGGAGGGAGGAGTTTGAGGCGGAGGAGGATGAGGGGGAGGAATGGGAGGTGAGGTCCGTGAGCAGTATGAGGAGCAGAGGCGGGGCAGGGCAGAGGGACATGCAGCGCCAGGCACTGCCGCAGCAGCAGCTGCTAGCGCCGCAGGTACCGCAGCAGCAGCAGACAGGGGTTGTGATGCAGGCGGTGCCGCAGCTACAGCAGGGCGAGCAGCAGGCGATGCTGCTGCAGCCGGCGCCTATGCTTCAGTTCCCCGCGCAGCTGATGCAGCAGCAGACGTTGCATCTGTCGTCACATGCCCTGCAGCAGTTGCAGTTGCAGCAGCAGACGCTGTCGCAGCTGCAATTGCAGATACAGCAGCAGATGCAGCTGAACGCGCAAGTGCAGGCGCAGATGCAGGCCCACGCACTGAGTCCTGGTCAAGCCGCCCCCCCCGTGCTTGCAAGTGCCCTTTCCTTACCCTGCCCTGTCCCTCCCCCGCTCTCCGCTTCACCCTTGGACCCATACCAGCTGCAGCCCCCTACTCCTGTGTCAGTAGCAGCAGCAGCAGGAGTGGGAGTGGGGGAGTTCTCAGCAGTGGGACCAGCAGTGGCAGGAGGAAGGGTAGCAGCACCGGGCATGGGCCATGCTGCACAGAGCAGCATGGGTGAGCCTCATGCGCCTCAGCCATTCCACTCTCGGCCCCCTGCACTCGCCTCTAACCCACCCGCTCCTCCGCACTTCCCACAGCAGCCCCAGCAGCAGCTGCAGCCGTGCCCACGCTGGCAGCAGCCCCATGCGGTGCAGCAGGCGAGAGGCAGCGGCGGTGGGCGAGCGGGGGAGAGGGATGGAGGCGCGGCGGGAAAGGCAGCAACGTACAGCGGGCCTTCCCGGGAGCAGAGGCCGCTGAGGCGAGCCCAGTCGTACGAGACAGGGTACCGGGCTGTCACTGATGGCATGGGGCGGAGGACGAGGACCGTAGGCAGAGGCGATGGTGGCACCGTGAGAGGCGGAGGAGGGGGCGCAGGAGGTGGAGGGGCGGCTGCGCTGGTGTCGCCGAATAGTGATGGGGTGATGTATGACCGGGTGCAGGGGCGGGCGTGTGGGTATGTCCCTGAGCAGAGCCGGTTCCCGTTGCCTCATGGGTTGCCCGATGGGAGGGGTGAGGTAGGGGGCATGGGGTGGGGCAGCATGCAGATGCCGGGACAGGGGGCTGGCGCAGCAGGCTGGAGCGGTGGCGTGAATGAGCAGCAGGGAGGAGAAGGGGTCTCATGGGGGTATGGTGATGAGGGAGGGGTGCAGGGGGATGAGGACGAGAAGGGGAGGGAGTGGGAGGTGATGTCGGATGGGAGGGAGTGGGAGGTGGTGGAAGTTGGAGGAGGGAACGTGGGGAGTGGGGGAAGAGGTGGCAGAGGTGGTGACATGCATGGGGGCAGTGGTGGCATGTACAAGGGTGAGAATGGGCAGGGCCGGAGAACAGGCAGCAACAGGAATCGCAGCGGCACAGACTGGTGCTACATGGCTCAGGTTACAGTACCTCTGCAGGCAGGGAGTGGGGAGCAGAGGTGGGATGGGGAGGAGGCGGGGGAGCAGGAAGGGTCAGAGCTGTATTCTGATGGTGATGAGGGCAATGGTGATCTATATTGTGAGGCCAAGGAGGAGTGGAGGGGTGACGGGGAGGAGGACGGGTCAGGTGAGTGGTTTGTAGAGGATGACGATGTTGCTGTTGCTCGGGCGGTAACCACGCCTGTGGATGGCCAGGGGCAACAGAGATGGGGTGGCGGGGGAGATGGAGCATGGGAGGGCAGGAATGGAAGGTACGGCGAGGAGGATGAGGAATAGACTGCAAGGCTTAACCCGGCACTGCATGTGTGTGGGGTATAGGGTGTGGGAGGAGTGGGTTTGGGCTAGCGCTGATGCTCCAGTGCTTGCCTTTATTGCACTGACCTTTTTCTGACCTGACTACTCTGGCTGTTCAAATGTCTTGCCACTCTGGTCGTTTGATCACATTTTTTATAATGTCTTACTGTGACTGTCATACCACATGCTGTGTATAATTAATCTTTTTATTCGAGTGTACTTCGACGTTCAATCCGGCTGGAACATTCACCAACTTCTGTAGCGCTTGACTGTGGCTGCCCCTCCCCCCTCCGCGCCACCGCCCAAATTCACCACCAACCTCAACGGTGCTGTTCGCCAGCACATCGGTTTTCAAATTGAAAACGATGGAATCAGCATCGCGACCGCATATGGAAACGGGGGCGGAAACCTCCCCCGAGGGTTGGGTGAAATGCCGCCCGAGAAACTACGCGCGCCCAAAAGGCGAAATTTCGCAACCGCATATGGAAGGTCCATCCCCACCTTCCCCCCAATGGCGCGAAATGAACTCATATCTGACCCTGTGCGAAATTTGCTGCCCCCTGTGCAAAATTTGCACAACTTGGGTAAAAAGCGCAAATAAAACACCCCCCGCTGAAACAGAACTCCCCCCAACTCGTGCTCATGCCCTTGGGAGGCATTTCGAAGGTGTGTTTGGGAGGGAAAATGGTAGGTAAACGAACCCACCTAGGACAAACTGCAGCCTTGATCAAGGGTTCCCCTCTGTTCATGGTGCGTCGGCTGTGCCACCGCTGTGTTTTGAAAAACGCGGTATGACGATGGCATAGCTAGGGGATGTTACTTTGCCTGGGGACGAAGTTTCGTCCCCGCTTCCATATGCCGTCGAACTGTTAGAGTTGGTGGAGAAAAGTGGGCGTTCGCCAGACGCCCACTTTGTTTGTTGGTTTGGACGGTAGGTGAGGCTCGGCACTTTTTTCACGGGCTGACCAAGCTGACGGAGGTTAACGAACTCTAACTGACGGGATCAGGAAGGCGAGACCCACCTTCCTGATCCCGTCGTTATCCCGTGGTTTTTAGATATAATGGTGCTGGCGAACAGCCCCGACATTCAACTTCACTCAGCTCGGCACCAGCACCACTCAAATACTTTCCCATCACACGATTCTGAATCACGAGGGCTGCGTGCGCCTTGACGTTCCACCTGTTTCCACCTGCGTGCATGCCGAGTGCTTCCCTCATACGAATTCTACTTCGTCGCTTAGCCTCGCTTCGCTCCCGCCCTTCGCATACGAATTTAACCCCATTTTCCGGACTGCCGGTTCCGCGAATCGCTACAAGCCGTCTCCCCGCCGCCGTGCGCCTCCGTTGCCGCCGCCGCAGCAAATGCCGCCTGTGACGCTACGATGCGGTCCCGCTGCTACAGTTGTCGTCGTCCTCTGTATCCTTCTGTCTTCTAGCATGCCCGGGCTTCCCGCTGCCGCCCCCGCCATGGCTCAGACCATCGCCGCCTCGCAATGTAACGTGCTTCTTGCGTCCCGCCGCTCTTCCCTGCCAATTCCCGCGCTTCTCTCTCGATTGAAGGCCCATACATTGCTCCTCTCGTCGTCACTACTAGTTGTTTCTTTCTCCCGCGCCTCGCCCTTCGCGGGAGACTCTCTCCGTCCGCCACGTGTCATGCATCCCGCACCTGCGCCTCCCACCCCGCCAGCCCCGCGGTCCCTCCACGTGCCTTGCTCTCCCCTTTTCCCCCATCGTGCGCCCGCGCTTCCCGCCGCATTCTCCCGCGCGTCCCCCGCAGCGGCGGTGTTGGCGGAGTGTGTGGCGGCGTGGGGCGCGGAGAGCCTGGCTGGGTGGCGCGCGGGGAGCAACTGCAGCGCGGATGGGAAGTGGCTGCAGTGCGACAGCGCGGGCATGGTTACCGCCATGTGAGGGGGGGAAGGGGTGGAAAACGGGGGGGAGGAAGGGGAGGGGCGCAAGGGGGGGGAAGGGAGGGGAAAGAGGGGGGAATATGCGAGGCGGACTAGGAAGGGTTAGTGCAAACGCAATCAATGGCGTGTCCGGGAAAGCTGGTGGTGACGCAGATGCCTCAAATGCAGAATATATAGCCGTTCAATCTGAATCCATGCCGCTGCTATCACACCCTCCGAAGTAGCAGAGAAGATAGGCTGAGAGGTTCCATCAATTCTCTCCGCTCACCTCTTGTTGCCCCACCCGTGGCAGCAATCTGGGGGAGCAAGGGCAGGGCAGGAAGCTGGTGGGGTCCATTCCCACCGCACTGGGGCTGCTCACCAAGCTCACCTTCCTGTGAGCCCACTCCATGCCGCCTCTCCATGCCACATCTCCATGGCCACTACTACTGGCCTGTGAGGCTTGCTCTGAACGAGAGCGGCCAGAGGAGGGTTGGTCGTGGGATGATGGGATGCTGATTCCGCTCCCTGTGCCACTTCCTTGCTGCAGGCCTATGTGCCGTGTGCCGTGTGTCGTGTGCCGTGTGTCGTGTGTCGTGTGTCTGTCCAGTGATGTGTGTGTGAGTGTGGGCGTCACCCCCTCGCACCCCTGCGCGTACACATCCATGCAACCCCTGTGTGCTGCCACCACGGTCTGCCACCACGTGCTGCCACTCCTGCTGGCAGTTTCTCTTTCAATATTAAGGATTGTGACTACTAATGCTGGCATACATGGCAATGCTGGTATTCTATGTGCTTGTGCGTACAGGAGTCTGAGTGCCAACAACCTGGCCAACATCATTCCGCCCTCCCTCGGCAACCTCACTGCCCTCTCCTACCTGTACGCATCGCCCCTCGCCCATCCACATGCATGCAATGCCGTGCCACATACCACAATGCCGCATGCCATGGCACATGCCACATGCACCTTCCATTGACTCATTCATGCTATGCCATGCCACGCCATGCCATGCCACATGCACCTCACCTCACATGGTTCCAGCCACCACTCTCGCTCAAGCCGGCACGGATTTCGGCTGCATGGCAGCCACTGTTTCTCACGTGCACATCCCCTCTTCCGTTTCCCAGCCACAACTGAGACCTTCAGTGTGAAGCCCACACACGCTTGAATCAAAACTGCACTGGAGCCATCCAGAGCAGAGCAGTTCATACACAGCACACTCCTTCCTCCTTGCTTCTTCCCGTCTACTTCCTCCACTTCTCCACTCCTCCTCCTTCTACTCCTCCCACACCTCCCATATACCTATGTTATGTGTGCGTGCCTTCTCAGAGACCTAAGCTATAACCAGCTGGTGGGGTTCATTCCCAGTACCATCTCCAACCTCTCCACCCTGCAAGTTCTGTACGTGCACACACCCTCCCCTCCTCGCTCCCCCTCGTCTTCCCTTCATCCCTCGCTCTCCTCCTGCCCTCCATCTCCCTCGAACCTCTCTGTCTCTTTCTGAATGCACCGCCAAAGCTCTCTTTCACAACGAGGCCAGCCAAACAAGTGCGTGCTGCAGATAGTGAGCGAGCAAAGGAAGAAAGGCAGGCAGGACAAGGCAGGCCACTATCCATCCATCCACATGCACCCCCCCATGGCATCATCACCTCACTGTCCATGCAGGTCGCTGAGTGGCAACAAGCTGGGGGGACCCATTCCGCCGGGCATCGGCTCACTCACAGCGCTCACAGAGCTGTCAGTACTGCGCCTCTGCTCTCACCCGTTGCTCTGCAAAGCAGTGCACTGTGCTGCCGCTGCCGCCACCACACCTGTGCTGTCGCTGGCACCTGTTCCTGCTGCTGCAGCCAGTGCAATCCATAACACAAGCACCCAAGCCCATGAAAATCCCCATATGAGTCCCACATTATTGAAAAGCCCCTCCTCCTGGTTTGCTTCGCTTCGCCTTGCTCTCTTGCTGTGTGTGCGTCGTGCCCCCAGCATGCTGCACAACAACGAGCTGCAGGGGCGCATACCTGCCTCCATCACCAACCTCTCCAGCCTTGTCACTCTGTGAGCACCTTTGCATGCATGTAACACATCCCTTTCTACTACCCCTATGCGTTTCCATCTCTGTAGTCTTCCAAGTGTTGTTCCAGACCGTTGCCTCCGTATCACTAGCTTAAAATTTTCCATGCTCTACATTGTTCATCGCTCCCCATGCCTGGTTGCATGCACCTGCTCACCTTTCCCTGCTCGCCTGTCCACCAGTTGTCTGAACGAGAATCTTCTCTGGGGCTCCATTCCCTCGTCCATCGGCCAGCTCAGTAACCTAACCATGCTGTCAGTGCCATGCACTCTACTCCACACACTCTCATCTCATATCACCATGCCACGCACCACGCACACACCGCCAATGTAATCGACCCCCTTTCCCCTCCATGGTTGTTTCTGCCATTCTCTCTCGCCGCTATCAATGGCCGTTCCATAACCCGACTCGCTCTCCCCTCTGCTTCTCCTTCTAACTCACAACTCCAGCCCTCTCCCTCACAATAAGGGAAAGGGGGCGGTATTCTTCCCTCACCACAATTATAGCTTCCCTCCCTCCCTCGCTTTGCCTCACTCATTCTCCCTTTGCCCCCACCCCTGCCACATCCCGGTGAAACGTGCAGCAATATGAGGGATAACAGGCTCACCGGTGCCATTCCCAGCTCCATCTGGACCCTTGCCCACCTGCAGTACCTGTGCGCGCTTTCCCCCCCACCTCTTGTGATAAGTCTGTTTTTTACTCGGCTAAAAAACGAACTCCATCTGGACCCTGGCCCACCTGCAGTACCTGTGCGCCCTCTCCCCACTCATCCCTCTTCACTCTTCCACCTTCCTCCGTGCATAGCATCCTTCTGTCCAACTTGCTCACCTGCTCCTTCCATCGCTGCACTGCTGCCTTGTGAATGCTGCTTACCAACTGATGGGTTCCTTGTTGCGTTGGTTCATTTCTTGCTCTCTCTCTCACGTGCCTGTGCTGCCTCATCTTCCTTTCTCTCTTGCGTTTTGCATGCATGCGTTGGCATATGCTCGCATGCATGTGTGTGAGCTGGGCACGTGCTTGCATGCACTATGGCCTTCGTGCATGCATGTGCATGTGTATGTATGTGTGTGCATGTATGTGCGTGCATGCACCTGTTTCCATATCCAGCATTCTCAGCGACAACAGTCTCGGTGGTTCCATCCCAGACGCCATCTCCAACCTCTCCTCCCTCTTCAAACTGTCCGTACCACTGCCTGCTGCTCTCTGCCCTCTGCCTTCGGCCTACTTCCCCCTCCCATCATATCCCTTCCCTTTTCTATCCGCCCCCCCGCTCTCTTCCCTCCCTCCTGCCTGCCCCTCTGGCCTTCCCAAACCCTCATCCAACACTCTTCCTCATTTCCCATAAGTCACTCAACATTTCTCCACTCGAGCACTCCTCCAAACACGAGCACTCCTCCAAACACGAGCACTCCTCCAAACACGAGCACTCCTCCAAACACGAGCACTCCTCCAAACACGAGCACTCCTCCAAACACGAGCACTCCTCCAAACACGAGCACTCCTCCAAACACGAGCACTCCTCCAAACACGAGCACTCCTCCAAACACGAGCACTCCTCCAAACACGAGCACTCCTCCAAACACGAGCACTCCTCCAAACACGAGCACTCCTCCAAACACGAGCACTCCTCCAAACACGAGCACTCCTCCAAACACGAGCACTCCTCCAAACACGAGCACTCCTCCAAACACGAGCACTCCTCCAAACACGAGCACTCCTCCAAACACGAGCACTCCTCCAAACACGAGCACTCCTCCAAACACGAGCACTCCTCCAAACACGAGCACTCCTCCAAACACGAGCACTCCTCCAAACACGAGCACTCCTCCAAACACGAGCACTCCTCCAAACACGAGCACTCCTCCAAACACGAGCACTCCTCCAAACACGAGCACTCCTCCAAACACGAGCACTCCTCCAAACACGAGCACTCCTCCAAACACGAGCACTCCTCCAAACACGAGCACTCCTCCAAACACGAGCACTCCTCCAAACACGAGCACTCCTCCAAACACGAGCACTCCTCCAAACACGAGCACTCCTCCAAACACGAGCACTCCTCCAAACACGAGCACTCCTCCAAACACGAGCACTCCTCCAAACACGAGCACTCCTCCAAACACGAGCACTCCTCCAAACACGAGCACTCCTCCAAACACGAGCACTCCTCCAAACACGAGCACTCCTCCAAACACGAGCACTCAGCAACAACACTCCCTGCTCCCCTATGCCCCCCACCGTTCCTGCTGCTGCGGCAGGCAGCTAGAGGGAAACCGCCTCACAGGCTCCCTGCCCACATCCCTGGGGGCCATACCCTCACTCGCAGAGATGTGAGTGCTTCTTGCTTCCGTGCCCCTCACGCATCTCACTGTACCACACCACACACCACATCGCACCACATAACACTCCCTGCTAGGAGCAAGAATTTATCATCCACTCTCAGTGTGTTTCGCAGCTGCGTCTAACTATACACCCTCCCTGCTCTCCCGCTCCATCGCAGCTACCTGGGCAGCAACTTACTCACGGGTCCTCTCCCCACCTCGCTCTTTGTGCTCAAGAGCCTCGTGCACCTGTGCGTGCATGCACCTGCTTCACACAGTACCTGCTGCCCTTTTTTCAGCGTTGCTTCTCTCCTCTGCAATCATCAAACGCATCTCTCTTCGTGCTCATCTCTCGCCAACCTCATCTCTCGCCAACCTCATCTCTCGCCAACCTCATCTCTCGCCAACCTCATCTCTCGCCAACCTCATCTCTCCAAACTCGTGTCTGATACAGGCAGCCACACACCTAATCCCACACGCCCAGGTCTGCCCTACCAACTCTCTCACTCATTGGGCTACCACCATTCCGCACACCTGCTATCTATCTCAAGCATCCAATATTCCCCCTCTCCCTGCAAACCCCCTCCCCCCCCCCCCCCCTCCCCCTCCCCCTTTTCCCCCCAGCGCACTGCAGGGCAACGAGCTGTCAGGTCCCATCCCCACTGCCATCGCCCCTCTCACTGCTCTCACGCACCTGTCAGTCACACACCATACAAGCCCATGCCCTTCCCTCTGCTCGTCCTTCCCTCTTCATGCCCTTCTCTCTGCTCGCCCATCCCTCTACGCGTCCTTTTCTCTGCTTGGCCTTCCCATCTGCTTTCTCAGAAGCCATTTCGTACCACGAGACGAGAGACCCACCCACCCATGTGTGTGTGTTTGTGTGTCTGCATTTGGACGCGGCTGCATGAGTGTGAGCGTGACCGTGTGTTGCGCATACCCACATGCATGTGCACATGTGCGTGGGCATGCATGTGTGTGCATGCATGTGTGGGCATGCATGTGTGTGCATGCATGTGTGTGCATGCATGTGTGGGCATGCATGTGTGTGCATGCATGTGTGGGCATGCATGTGTGTGCATGCATGTGTGGGCATGCATGTGTGTGCATGCATGTGTGGGCATGCATGTGTGTGCATGCATGTGTGGTCATGCATGTGTGTGCATGCATGTGTGTGCATGCATGTGTGTGCATGCATGTGTGTGCATGCATGTGTGTGCATGCATCATTCTCCGTGGCTGCAGTGAGCTGGGCAACAACCGTATCACAGGCCCTCTACCAATTGACATCACCAACCTCTCAGCCCTCGCCCTCTTGTACTGCCTCCCATCCCTCTCTCCCTCCCACTGCTTTCCCCTCCTCTTTTCTTAACTGAACTCTCTGTCTAGTCGCCTATCAACTCTCCCCTCTTCCCACCCGCCTCTGTCCCTCTGCTCCTCTGCTCCCTGTTCATCCACTCGTCCACCTCCCCTGCTCTGCTTCTCTGCTGCTCTGATACAACACTGGCCACCCACACCAGTGACCTAACCAGCGCCAGACTTACGTGCTCTCCTCTCCTGTGAGAATACATACTGTGGACGCTACTTGATAATGCCATCATTGCATGTATGCAGGGACCTGAGTTACAACGCCCTCACAGGCGCCATCCCTGGGGGCATCACCAACCTCACTGCTCTCGCCTCCCTGTCAGCTTCTGTCAACCCGAAACCCGTGCCACCTGCATGCCCCATCAGTTCTATCTGATTCAGAGATCGCTTCACTCCGCCCGGTCTTCACTCTCAGCTCTGTGCCCCATCACGCTACATGCTCCATGCCGCTCCATGCTCCATGCCGCTCCATGCCGCTCCATGCACCTCCGTGCTGCCTGCAGGTCCTTGCACTGGAATAGTCTCTTCGGGCCCATTCCCTCTCCACTCTCGCAACTCTCCTCGCTCACAGAACTGTACGTGCACACACTACACCATGCCTCCCCTCCCAATCCCCTCACTCCACCACCCTGCCCTCTCTCACCCCATGCTGCTCTGCCCATCCCACCCACTCCTTTCTGCCACCCTTCCTCCCTATCCTCCCTCCTTCCCTGTCTGCATCCAAGCCTCCTCAAATTTCTTTTCCTCGTCCTTGGCCTTCACTCCCTCTTTTCCCAGCGTGCCCACACTCTTTCTCATCTTGTTCTCAAGTCAGCTAGAACCCATTTCTCCCCGGCCTCACCGTACCAGGCACCTGAGCAACAACCTGCTAAGCGGCTCCATCCCAGAGTCCATCACTGCTCTCGCCAGCCTTGTCTACGTGTGAGTCGCAACTGAACCCCGTCCCACCACACCCCCCCCCCCCCCCCCCCCCCCCCCCCAGCACTTGCAAGCTGTAAACCCCGTTTACCGTGCTGCCAACCCTGCCATGCACCCAGCTCCCCCTCCCATGTCCCAATTGCAGTCTGTCTCCACCCTGCCCTCTCCCTCCACCCTGCCCTCTCCCCATCACCGCCCCCTCACGCTCGCCCCCCCTCTCTCCCAACAACCTCGCCCCAGCACTCTGGGCTATAACATTCTGTCGGGCAACATCCCTGATGGCATAGGCCAGCTCACGTCCATCTCCTTGCTGTAAGTGCACGGGCACAGGGGCACACGGGCACAAACTTTAGAGGTGCACAGTGAGATGAGATGAGATAAGATGAGATGAGGTGGCATGTCGTGGTAGGGCTACAGATGGGACAGGCTTGGATCACTATGGGACAGGCGTGGAGGGAGAGACACACAGGGTGGGTGATGGATGTATATCTTTGGGAGTGGTGTGTGGGTAGCAAGATACACAGTAGAAACAAACGGAGGTGTTGAGCACGGCGAAATGGCTCAATTAGTTAGGGAACACGGGGAGCACGGGGAGCACGGGGAGCGTGATGAGCACAGGGAGCATGGGGAGCATGGGGAACACAGGTCCAAGTAAGCACTTGGTCCAAGTGACGACTTGGCCCAAGTGAGCATGGCTCGTATTCCCATTTGTTCTGTGCCCTTTCTCCCCTTTCATAATGCTACTCCCGTGTTCCACTCCTGTTTTCTCTCTCCTGCAGGTCTCTGCGGCACAACCAGCTCACGGGCTCCATTCCCCCATCCATAGGCCAGCTCACAGCACTCTCTGAATTGTCAGTGCTCTTCGTACCGTCTGTGCTGCCGAATCACTCTTTGAACAGAGGTGCAAAGGATTCTTAGCACACGAATGCTGCTGCTCTCTGTGTTCCCACTCGCGCACCCCTGCCCCGCACCCCCCTTCCTCTTCCACGCTCTCTCTGTCCCTTGTCTCCCTAAACCCTCAAAACCAACACAGAGGATTCTAAAGAACGAGAGAATTGTGAGGAACCAGACGAAAAATATTTGCGCAAACCAGCTTGCTTCCCACGGCCTGAGCCCCATTGACAGTTGACGTTTGCACCCACACACACACACTCTCTCTCTTTCCTGGATAGCCCAAGTTGTTGGCTGTGCAGCAACCACCATCCATGACCGTCCAAAACACTCAGTATGCTTGCTTACATGACAATGCATGTCATGCCGTTGCATGGCATCACATGCCATCACATGCCATCACATGCCATCACATGCCATCACATGCCATCACATGCCATCACATGCCATCAATCTGCATTGTGCAGGTACCTGGATTCCAATCTCCTCTACGGCCCTATCCCCGACACCATCACCAACCTCTCCCTCCTCTCTGCCCTGTCAGCCCCTCGCCACACGCACCCCACTCTGCACTGCTCCCTCTCAACCACCCTGCACCGCACTATAACACACTTCTACCATGTGACGTGCACACTGCTGCCGTGCCATGCACTCCTTGCTTGCACATGCCATTGCCCCTCACGCCTTCACTCTATCTCACATCGTCAAACTCCCCGTCTTCCTTCTCACCCTGTTCCTCCTCCTCCGCCTCCTCGTCTCCACCTCCGCACCCATCAGGTATCTAGACAACAACCTACTGTCGGGCCCCGTCCCTCCTGCCATTGGCAATATTCGCCCCCTCATGGACCTGTGAGCCCATGTGCTATGCCGCTGTCCCACATGCTGTGTCTTTTGCCCCATCAGGTTCCCCATCAGGTTCGTCCCCATCAGGTTCGTCCCCATCAGGTTCGTCCCCATCAGGTTCGTCCCCATCAGGTTCGTCTCCAGCAGGTTCGTCCCCATCAGGTTCGTCCCCATCAGGTTCGTCCCCATCAGGTTCGTCCCCATCAGGTTCGTCCCCATCAGGTTCGTCCCCATCAGGTTCGTCCCCATCAGGTTCGTCCCCATCAGGTTCGTCCCCATCAGGTTCGTCCCCATCAGGTTCGTCCCCATCAGGTTCGTCCCCATCAGGTTCGTCCCCATCAGGTTCGTCCCCATCAGGTTCGTCCCCATCAGGTTCGTCCCCATCAGGTTCGTCCCCATCAGGTTCGTCCCCATCAGGTTCGTCCCCATCAGGTTCGTCCCCATCAGGTTCGTCCCCATCAGGTTCGTCCCCAGCAGGTTAGTCCCCATTAGGTTCGTCCCCATCAGGTTCGTCCCCATCAGGTTCGTCCCCATCAGGTTCGTCCCCATCAGGTTCGTCCCCATCAGGTTCGTCCCCATCAGGTTCGTCCCCATCAGGTTCGTCCCCATCAGGTTCGTCCCCATCAGGTTCGTCCCCATCAGGTTCGTCCCCATCAGGTTCGTCCCCATCAGGTTCGTCCCCATCAGGTTCGTCCCCATCAGGTTCGTCCCCATCAGGTTCGTCCCCATCAGGTTCGTCCCCATCAGGTTCGTCCCCATCAGGTTCGTCCCCATCAGGTTCGTCCCCATCAGGTTCGTCCCCATCAGGTTCGTCCCCATCAGGTTCGTCCCCATCAGGTTCGTCCCCATCAGGTTCGTCCCCATCAGGTTCGTCCCCATCAGGTTCGTCCCCATCAGGTTCGTCCCCATCAGGTTCGTCCCCATCAGGTTCGTCCCCATCAGGTTCGTCCCCATCAGGTTCGTCCCCATCAGGTTCGTCCCCATCAGGTTCGTCCCCATCAGGTTCGTCCCCATCAGGTTCGTCCCCATCAGGTTCGTCCCCATCAGGTTCGTCCCCATCAGGTTCGTCCCCATCAGGTTCGTCCCCATCAGGTTCGTCCCCATCAGGTTCGTCCCCATCAGGTTCGGCCCCCATCAGGTTCGTCCCCAGCAGGTTCGTCCCCATCAGGTTCGTCCCCATCAGGTTCGTCCCCATCAGGTTCGTCCCCATCAGGTTCGTCCCCATCAGGTTCGTCCCCATCAGGTTCGGCCCCCATCAGGTTCGTCCCCATCAGGTTCGTCCCCATCAGGTTCGTCCCCATCAGGTTCGTCCCCATCAGGTTCGTCCCCATCAGGTTCGTCCCCATCAGGTTCGTCCCCATCAGGTTCGTCCCCATCAGGTTCGTCCCCATCAGGTTCGTCCCCATCAGGTTCGTCCCCAGGAGGTTCGTCCCCATCAGGTTCGTCCCCATCAGGTTCGTCCCCATCAGGTTCGTCCCCATCAGGTTCGTCCCCATCAGGTTCGTCCCCATCAGGTTCGTCCCCATCAGGTTCGTCCCCATCAGGTTCGTCCCCATCAGGTTCGTCCCCATCAGGTTCGTCCCCATCAGGTTCTCCCCCATCAGGTTCGTCCCCATCAGGTTCGTCCCCATCAGGTTCGTCCCCATCAGGTTCGTCCCCATCAGGTTCGTCCCCATCAGGTTCGTCCCCATCAGGTTCGTCCCCATCAGGTTCGTCCCCATCAGGTTCGTCCCCATCAGGTTCGTCCCCATCAGGTTCGTCCCCATCAGGTTCGTCCCCATCAGGTTCGTCCCCATCAGGTTCGTCCCCATCAGGTTCGTCCCCATCAGGTTCGTCCCCATCAGGTTCGTCCCCATCAGGTTCGTCCCCATCAGGTTCGTCCCCATCAGGTTCGTCCCCATCAGGTTCGCCCCCATGAGGTTCGTTCCCAGCAGGTTCGCCCCCATCAGGTTCGTCCCCGTCAGGTTCGTCCCCGTCAGGTTCGTCCCCAGCAGGTTCGTCCCCGTCAGGTTCGTCCCCATCAGGTTCGTCCCCATCAGGTTCGTCCCCATCAGGTTCGTCCCCATCAGGTTCGTCCCCATCAGGTTCGTCCCCATCAGGTTCGTCCCCATCAGGTTCGTCCCCATCAGGTTCGTCCCCATCAGGTTCGTCCCCATCAGGTTCGGCCCCCATCAGGTTCGTCCCCAGCAGGTTCGTCCCCAGCAGGTTCGTCCCCATCAGGTTCGTCCCCATCAGGTTCGTCCCCATCAGGTTCGTCCCCATCAGGTTCGTCCCCATCAGGTTCGTCCCCATCAGGTTCGTCCCTGTCAGGTTCGTCCCCAGCAGGTTCGTCCCCATCAGGTTCGTCCCCATCAGGTTCGTCCCCATCAGGTTCGTCCCCATCAGGTTCGTCCCCAGCTGGTTCGTCCCCATCAGGTTCGCCCCCATCAGGTTCGTCCCCATCATGTTCGCCCCCATCAGGTTCGCCCCCATCAGGTTCGCCCCCATCAGGTTCGGCCCCCATCAGGTTCGTCCCCATCAGGTTCGTCCCCATCAGGTTCGGCCCCCATCAGGTTCGTCCCCAGCAGGTTCGTCCCCAGCAGGTTCGTCCCCATCAGGTTCGTCCCCATCAGGTTCGTCCCCATCAGGTTCGTCCCCATCAGGTTCGTCCCCATCAGGTTCGTCCCCATCAGGTTCGTCCCCATCAGGTTCGTCCCCATCAGGTTCGTCCCCATCAGGTTCGTCCCCATCAGGTTCGCCCCCGTCAGGTTCGCCCCCCGTCAGGTTCGTCCCCAGCAGGTTCGTCCCCATCAGGTTCGTCCCCATCAGGTTCGTCCCCATCAGGTTCGTCCCCATCAGGTTCGTCCCCAGCTGGTTCGTCCCCATCAGGTTCGCCCCCATCAGGTTCGTCCCCATCAGGTTCGTCCCCATCAGGTTCGTCCCCATCAGGTTCGTCCCCATCAGGTTCGGCCCCCATCAGGTTCGTCCCCATCAGGTTCGTCCCCATCAGGTTCGTCCCCATCAGGTTCGTCCCCAGCTGGTTCGTCCCCATCAGGTTCGCCCCCATCAGGTTCGTCCCCATCATGTTCGCCCCCATCAGGTTCGGCCCCCATCAGGTTCGCCCCCATCAGGTTCGGCCCCCATCAGGTTCGCCCCCATCAGGTTCGCCCCCAACAGGTTCGTCCCCATCAGGTTCGTCCCCATCAGGTTCGCCCCCGTCAGGTTCGCCCCCGTCAGGTTCGCCCCCATCAGGTTCGTCCCCATCAGGTTCGTCCCCATCAGGTTCGTCCCCATCAGGTTCGTCCCCATCAGGTTCGCCCCCGTCAGGTTCGCCCCCATCAGGTTCGCCCCCGTCAGGTTCGTCCCCATCAGTTTCCCCATCAGTTTCCCCATCAGTTTCCCCATCAGGTTCCCCATCAAGTTCCCCATCAGGTTGCGGAAGACGCGTCTAGACGCGTCTGTCTAGACGCGTCTGTCTTGACGCAGCGTCTAAGAGGCTAGACGCTAGACAGTATAGATTAGACGCAGTATTAGACGGAAACCCGGGCAGTCCTAAAAAAAAGTTCGGGCAGACCAAAAAAGGTTCTATGGGGCATGGGGAGGTTGGGGACATGCACCTCCGTCACAATGAGGTGAAATTTCCCCCGTACCATAAAATTTTCCTTATCCTAAGACTTCACAAAAAATTTCACATCTCATCATATATGATTGTGGGGGATTCAAATTTGCTTGGGGGGCTGGTTTGTATGGTCGAAATTGGTGGGAAGGGGTTCTAATGGCGTGAAATTGAATTTCGCGTCGAAATGGCAAATTTCAATTTCGCGCACGCGAATTTCCTTGTTCGGGCTGCCCACAAATTTTCCGCCCAAGCGTCTTGCGTTTAAAAGTGCGTCTTGCGTCTTCCGCAACTCAGGACCCGCCCCTCTCCCTCTTCTCTCTCCGCCCTTCTCTGCCCCCCTTCTCCTTCATGTGACACAGGTCTCTGAGCGACAACCAACTAAACGGGTCTATCCCGGACTCTATCAGCAACCTCACCAAACTCGTGCTGCTGTATGCCCGCTGCTGCCTGCCTGCCTGCCTGCCTGCCTGCCTGCCTGCCTGCCTGCCTGCCTGCCTGCCTGCCTGCCTGCCTGCCTGCCTGCCTGCCTGCCTGCCTGCCTGCCTGCCTGCCTGCCTGCCTGCCTGCCTGCCTGCCTGCCTGCCTGCCTGCCTGCCTGCCTGCCTGCCTGCCTGCCTGCCTGCCTGCCTGCCTGCCTGCCTGCCTGCCTGCCTGCCTGCCTGCCTGCCTGCCTGCCTGCCTGCCTTGCCACACTACCGCCCCGTTACACTGCCTCACCTCCCAACTACCCCACCATCCTACCCCCCTGCCGACCTGTAACCGAGCAATCACCGCCATGCGCACCTACTTGTGCTGCTGGTGCTGTCAGAATCACTTCGTTTGATCACCTGCGCACTGTGCAACATGCTGTATCTGCCATGCATGTATGTATGCATGCATGAGCAGCTCTTGCCTTGCCCCGTCCAAACCAAACCACACCTTGATTCCACCCTGCCTGCCTGGCCTTGCCTCAACGCAAACCCCACCAAATCACCCTGGCCTGGCCTTTCTTCTGACTACCATACGCATTCCATCCGCATGCCATGCACATGCCCGTGCATCCATGCATGCAATGCCGACAGCTACCTGTCCAACAACTCGCTCTCTGGCTCCCTGCCTACATCCCTCAAGATGCTGCCTCACCTCCTCGAACTGTCAGTGCACCCTCCCTATCCCCTTCCCCGCCCACCCAACACACCTACATGTCCTCTTCACGCTTCCTTCTACTCACAAGTGAATCCACCTCACGTGCTCTTTGCTGCTACATGCCTTACTGTGATTCAACTTCGCCCTATTCCTCTCTTGTTCAGCTTGGTCTGCTTTCTCTCTTCGCACTTCTCCTCGTGTCTACCTCCGTGCAATCCCTCGTGCCCATTCCTCCCCTTCTCGCTGATCCCCTTGCTCCTTCAATGCACCTCTCACGTCACCCGTTCCTGTTCCTGCCCCTGCTTCCATGCATGGCATGGCATGGCATGGCATGGCATGGGCAGCGAGTTACATCACAACAACCTCTCGGGCATCCTACCCAACGCGCTGGGAGGCCTTGCCAACCTCGTCGTGCTGTGAGCAGCCCCCTCCCTTTTCCTTCCGCCTGTTCCACTCCCCATTGCTGCCCTGCCCAACCCCTTCCCTCCCTCTCCACCCTTGTGCTGCCTCCCTCCCTATGCTCCCTCGCATGCCTGTGCATTCCCCTTCAGTCACACCCCAACTTCCCCTTGTCAACTCACTAATGGCACCTCAACCGTTTCCATGCCACCACGCACTACTACCTCACCCTCGACTGTAACCCGCTTCGCCATGCAGCAACCTGGGGAGCGACGAGCTGTCGGGCACCCTTTTTTAGGCGCCTCCAGAATATACTACCTTCTTCTGTAACCCGCTGCTCCATGCAGCAACCTGGGGAACAACGAGCTGTCGGGCACCATTCCGACCATCATTGGCCAACTCACAGACCTCATGAACATGTGACAACACTCCTCTCCCTCTCCCTTCCGCCTGTCTCCTGCATGCTTTCTCCCAGCTCTTTGCTCTCCCGCACACGTATTCTCCCGCCCCCTCGGTACATTTTCCCCTTTGTAGCCCACTGCATGCTGCATCCCCACACCCGTTTCACCACTCGTATCCATCACATTCGTCTCATCCACTCCTAGTGCACCCACTCATCGCCATCCCTCCCTCCTCCACGTCTCACTCCCCACCGCACCTCCCCAATGCCTCTTTCTCAAACGGTCTTTCTCACTCTATGTTACCCTTTCCCCTACGGCAGCTCACTGCATTCGAACCATCTGACTGGTCCTCTCTCCCCAGAGCTCTTCAGGCTTCCCAAGCTGCAACGCCTGTAACCTCCCCTCCACTCTTTCCACGTTCCTTCTCCCTCTCCGCTCTCCTCTCTCCGCTCGTCCCTCTCCCCTCTCCCCTCTCCCCTCTCCCCTCTCCCCTCTCCCCTCTCCCCTCTCCCCTCTCCCCTCTCCCCTCTCCCCTCTCCCCTCTCCCATCACCCTCGTCGCCCACACACTGTTTTCCCTTACTTTCTCGCAGTGTTCTCATCTTTCTCTTATCAGCCAGCCTTTTCCTTTCTCTTTACTCCTCTCACCCTCATTCTCTCCCCTCCTCTCCTGCCCACCACCGTGCACCCCCCAACCCACGAGGCACAGGGACCTGAGCCACAACATTCTCACAGACTCCATACCCGACACCATCAGCAATCTCGTCAGCCTCGAGTATCTGTACGCACCCCATTCTTGCACCCCATAAGCACGCACCCCATTCTTGCGAGAGCAAGCTTCAAGAACATTCTGTGACCGCCCTTCCCTTTGCCTTTCACTGCATGATGAGCAGCCGAGTGATGAGCCCATGTATCTGCGCTACACAAGCGTAAAGTTCCTCCCTCATGCCACAGACAGCTTGCTCTGGCTTGCCTTGCCTCTACCTCTCTCCCTCTTCCACGCCCTACCACTGACCGGGCTGCAAGCTGCAACCATGTCTTTGAGAATTCTCAAAAACCACTGACCGGGCTGCAAGCTGCAACCATGTCTTTGAGAATTCTCAAAAACCACTGACCGGGCTGCAAGCTGCAACCATGTCTTTGAGAATTCTCAAAAACCACTGACCGGGCTGCAAGCTGCAACCATGTCTTTGAGAATTCTCAAAAACCACTGACCGGGCTGCAAGCTGCAACCATGTCTTTGAGAATTCTCAAAAACCACTGACCGGGCTGCAAGCTGCAACCATGTCTTTGAGAATTCTCAAAAACCACTGACCGGGCTGCAAGCTGCAACCATGTCTTTGAGAATTCTCAAAAACCACTGACCGGGCTGCAAGCTGCAACCATGTCTTTGAGAATTCTCAAAAACCACTGACCGGGCTGCAAGCTGCAACCATGTCTTTGAGAATTCTCAAAAACCACTGACCGGGCTGCAAGCTGCAACCATGTCTTTGAGAATTCTCAAAAACCACTGACCGGGCTGCAAGCTGCAACCATGTCATGGCACCACCAGCTCTTTGGGAGTCCCCCACCGCCCCATGTTCTCCAGCGTGCCTCTTCCCTTCCCATGCATTCACCCTCTGTCAGGGAGCTCTCAGCCAACGGGCTGTCAGGCAGCATTCCATCGGCACTGGGAAAGCTCACTCTGCTTGAAAACATGTGAGCACAGCGCACGTGCTGGGCCCTGCTCTCATGCTCATGCCAGGGTGTGGGCTCCAGATCATGAGTGCTGCTCATTCCCCATCCACCCATCACATCACTAGTCCACGCCACACCATGCCTTTCGTCCCCCCGTCCCTTTCGCGTCTCCACCCGCTCTCATGCTCACTGCCCCAATGACCCCACCGCGTGCTGCCATCCCCTCCCCCTCTCCCCCGCGTGCCCCGCAGTGACCTGCGCACCAACAACATAGAGGCATCCATACCAGCCACGCTCGGCAATCTCATGAACCTCCGAGTGCTGTGAGTGTGCCGCTGCCCTGTCAAGCCCGCCACGCCATGGCACTCTCTCTCTCTCTCTCTCCCTCTCTCTCTCTCTCTCTCTCTCTCTCTCTCTCTCTCTCTCTCTCTCTCTCTCTCTCTCTCTCTCTCTCTCTCTCTCGCTCTCTCGCTCTCTCTCTCTCTCTCTCTCTCGCTCTCTCTCTCTCTCTCTCTCTCTCTCTCTCTCTCTCTCTCTCTCTCTCTCTCTCTCTCTCTCTCTCTCTCTCTCTCTCTCTCTCTCTCTCTCTCTCTCTCTCACTCACCCATCCCATGCTTTTTCGAGTCGACCCCACAGCAACGCAGGTTCACAATCCCACCACACTTCATTGAGCACACCATTCGCACCGCATCACCCCCCTGGCAGGGAGGTGGATCAGCCCGAGGTGTACTGCCTATCAGGCGACGTGTACTGCGAGGTGCCTCAGAACGACTCCTCGCTCTTCTGCCGCAAGTGCTCCTCCTTCTGCACTTCATGTCTACCAGGCATGCCCCCTGGTAGGTTGCCCCACCCGCCATGCTACCCCCCCCGCCATGCTGCCCCACCTGTTGTGCTGCTCATCCCCTTCCTCTGCCCCTTTGCTGTGTGGTGTGCTTGTGCAAGTACGTTCTGCGAGAGCCACTTGCTTCCCCTTATTGAGCATCCCAGACCTCTAGCCTCTGCTTCTCCCTCCCACTCTCCCTCTCTATCCGTCCTTGACAGAGTTAACTTCCACCTGCTTTTAAACACCTTCTCACTCACTCACTCACTCACTTTCGCTCTTTCTCCTCCTATTCCTCCCGTCTCCTCCGCAACCCCCCTGTCTCTCTCCCACCACTCAGTTCGCAACACAAGCTCACCCGCTCCTTCCCAGGCATCATCACCACCAGCACCACAATCAGCATCACCTACACCAGCATCCCCCAAGCGCATGTCTGGCGGGGTGATAGCAGGGATAGTGATTCTCTCTGTGACAGCTTTCTGCTTGCTGCTGGGGCTTGCTGTGATGTACAGCAGAAGGCACAAGTCCTCGCCCCATGGTGCGTCCCCCTCTCGCCTCCCACCTCTCGCCTCCCACCTCTCGCCTCCCACCTCTCGCCTCCCACCTCTCGCCTCCCACCTCTCATCACCACGCACACACTGCTGCCAGCCTATCACTCACCTCGCAACACCACTCATGTGCAATGCCCTGTCGACGCCCCTCACAAGTAGAACATCCTCCTGTTATCCACTCTCCTGCGTGCCTGATACCCAACAACGTATATTCCTCTCCTGCAGCACTTGCCCCCAGATGCCCCTCCTTCAGCTTACTTTCAGCTTTCATTCAGCTTCCTAGTCCGTGCCCTTTCCCCGTGCATGCATCTGTCTCAGAAACGGACCCCTTGTCAGCGACTACGACTGAAATCACGCCTGTGGCGGCAGACAGGCGCGAGTACGAAAGAATGAACGACAACTCTCGGAAAATACAGTGTACGTGCCCCCGACTGACCAGGACGCTTCTTCCCTCCCAGTACCGTACTTTTTCCCAGGCAGACCATTCTCTGGGTATCTCATTATTATGTGCTCTGCGTCTCATTTCCACCCAACTCCTTATCACTCTTCCGTCACTAATGCTCACTAGACACTCTCGCTCACACCTTTTTTTTGTGCGTCACCGCCCCTGTGCTCCTCGCAGGTCGATCAGCTGTGCCCATGTAACAGCCTCACGCAACACCTGCTGCCACAAACGACTGGAAGAGGGGACATCCCGCACCGCAGAGAAGGGGATCTACGGTACTGCGCCTTTTCGATCAACAAAAATTTTCAGATTGGGCTGCAGTGGTGCCGAGAGAGTGCACGTAGGAGAGTGTAGTTGAGGTTTGTTTGGTAAGGGGGTATGTATTGCAGCGGAAGGTTGACAGGAGCACACCATCTGAGCTTTATTGCTGCAGGCTTCATATTGATTGGTCCTTTGCTTGGTCTGCATCAGGACCACCGCAAGGCAGCACTAGCATTTGTCATGTGGGGTGGAGGACAATCCCACTCTGGTTTCGCCCACATACCACCGTATCACCGAACAGAGCACACAGCAAACCCCTAACTAACCACTATGCACACGTTTGTGCCAGCCAAATCTCCCTAAGGCCTACACAGAGTACCTAGGAGGCAGGGACTTTGCAGGAAACACAAGCTTCCAAACGAGAAAACAAAATAAACGTTTTTTCGACCAGGGTTGTCAAGATCATGAGTCATGCGCAGCAGCATGGCGCGAGATGGAGAGTGAGGAGATGGTTTGCCAAATGTTGCCCCCGTGTTGCCGCCCCTCTGCCCTCCCCCCATGCTCCAGCCCTGCACCGTACAATCCATCCATATGCTCCTCTCCTTGCCCCATCCCACCCCCCGCTTGCCCCTGCCCCTGCCCCTGCCCATGCCTGTGACCATTTCGAATCCCATCCCCACCTCCACTGCCAAAGCTGCCCTCCTGACAGCTCTCTGCTTGTTGCAAATGTGCCGGGAGGGGCAATGGCGCTATTAGCGACACACTCTCCTCTAATGAAACAGGCAATTGTGCAGTGGGCATTGGATTTGGGTGTCCCCTCATGCTTGACCCTGACACTCCCCCTTCCCTGGCTGCCACTGCTACCCCTGCTGCTCCTATCAACGCTGCTGTTGCATCAGCATTCTCGGGATCAACTCCTAACCCTGGATCGCTGGAAGAGTCCCCACCACCAGCAATCACACCAGCAGCAGTGTTGCCAGCAGCACTTACTTCACCCACACTAGTGCCATGCACAGCAGCACCAGGCAAAGCATCAGTGGGTCCCCACCCCTGCTCCCTCACTGGCAGCATGGCCCCTGACGCCGCTCCAAACACCCCTTCACCCACCACCACCACTCCTCCCGCCCCTGCACCACCAGCGGCCCCTCCCACACCCATCCCGCCCAGCCCCATGCTTCCATACAACCCGCTTCCAAACATGCCCCCCCGGCCGCTGCCGCCAAAGCTGGCGCCGCCTCGAATGGACAGATGAACCGAGGAATGAACAGATGGTTCGAGGCTGGAAATGGAATGGATAGAGGAGTCGGGCGAGGGCACGTGGCTGCCTGCTCGCATGCACCCGCCTGCGCTGGGCCGCCGGAACGACAGCGACTGCCCCGCTCCAAACGCTGCCCGGCCCGTCGAAGCTCCACTGCCACTTCCACTGCCCGCACCACCGGCAGAACCAGCAGCAGCAGCGGCGGCTGCAGAAGTGATAGCAGCAGAAGAGGAAGCTAGGCCCTGGGTAGTAGAGCCAGCAGCAGTGGGAGGCGCAGCGTGGTGGTTGGCGCGGGCGGTGCGGGCAAGGCGGCGGTCGTAGCTCTCAGGCCACGCCACTTGCAGGAGGAGCGGGTGCGGTGCGCCAGAGGCGGATGGGGAGGCGTCAGCAGGGCCGGGGAGGGTCACCCACACGCCTGGACAGGGCTCGGGGGTGAGTGGCGAGGGGTCCTCCTTCCGTGGCGCCTGGTGGGAGTGCGTTGTTGCCATTGGCTGTATGCCCGATAGATCCTGGATTCGGGGGGAGTCGAGGGAGTGGGCCGGGTGGTGGAGAACGGACGGGCGATATTCAGGGAGGGAAAAGCACGGCAAGGGTGCGAGTGAGACGGGTCCAGGGCGGTGCGAAGAGAAAGTGGCATAATCAAGACGCGAGAGAGGAGCAACTAACCAGGCATAGCGATGGCAAACAGGGTGCGGCTGATGGTTCTCGGTGAGCAGGAGTTACCGATCGCAGGGGGGGTTCAGATGTGGAGAGGTAGCGCGCGTAGCGGCGGCGGTAGACGCAGATGGCGGTAAGCGAGACGAAGAGCAGCAGCAGGATGCACAGCAGCCCGCCGAACACGTACCCCACCGCCGCGCCGTTCCCGCCACTGCACCCCGTCTGCCGGCGGAGAGACGTTAAAAAGCGCGGAATGCTTATTTATATTAGGGCGGAAAATTATAATCTCAGGGATGGGATGTGGTATGTGCGGAAAACGATAATCTCACCGATGCTGTGTACGAGAATTGCTTGTCGCATCCCTGCGATCCCGGCGGCGCTGGCGACGACGGCGCGCCTCCCCGGCCCGGCGACGGGGCGGAGGAGGTGTTCCCGGGGGGTGGGGGAGGAGATGGTGGGGATGCAACGGCTGGCTGGCGCAGCGGCGCGGTATTTGTTCCCATTAAGGCGGCGACCGATGCGGGACTCTCCGCGTGTGCGGCATGCGTTAAAGCGGATCGCGAGGGCGACGGCATTGGCGGGAGGGCGGCTTGGGTGTAGAATAACGTGTGGAGGTCGCGATGGGGGGTGACTATAACGGGGGGGTCGAAGGACGCTGAAGGGAGATAGACTAGAGTAGTGGGCGATGGAAGAAGGGGCGGGAGCGTAGCGGCGGCATGCGACTCGTGGAAACGATGGTGATACGTGTACGGGGAGTAGGACGACGGGGAATTTCCCCGCAGACCGCGGCCCATTTTGCGGAGTTGCCCTTGCTAAGAGCAGGGAATATGCGTCATGGGGGAATGAAGTGTTGGTGGCGCCTGGATTAGCGCGCTGTACTGTACGGTGTACAGAAACAGTGAACTTTGGGACACTGTACCATGCCACCCCATTCACCCACAAGAAGAATCTTTCGGAGCACTGTGCCACAGTACTGTACAGTGTTTCGCTCAATATTGAGAGTGGTAACCACGTCGGAGAAATGATTTGCGGGTGACGATGTTCGCCAGCACCACACAAACCCAAACCAACCCAACCCATCAGCATCCTGTACAGCATGTTCCAAAACGCACATGACTAGCCACACTCCTCCGTCTAGATCACACGCCTGGGGCTTGGCTCGATCCTGAAAATTGGGGTGGCTTTGTGGCGATGATTTGTGTGAGGTTCGACAGAGCTAGTCACTGCCACCTTGATATGGGAATGTGCATAGTTTTCTGTTTACACGAAGCCCCGATTCAATGAAGAGGTTCGCTGTGAAATGTATTTGTATTTCTCCATATAATAGTTTCAAGATACACCACAGAACGCGGCAACACTCATAACAGGAACACCCTCCAGTTGGAATAACTAGAGGCTATAAGAAACATTCCAACCCGACCGGGGAAATCACACTGAGACTAAGTACTCTCCTAATGCACAATATGTAGATTAACAAAGATTTACATGGTTTGTGTCGACTTCTCACTAAAGCGTACTGCTTGATGTATCACGTCGATGGAGCAGCTTTTGTCCTCACCTCTGCCCCACTTGATCCCTGCCAAGGTGCCATTGCCCAAGAGGGCAGCTTGGTAGGCAAAAGAGCTTACATACTCACCAGCCTCTACAATGGCATGTGCTCGACTCATCAGGAAAAACTCCCCCATCGTGGGCAGGTCCCATGCCGGCTTCCTCCGAAGGCTACCTGCATATCTGTCATAATCGAATTCGCTACCACCACCTGTGATTGTTGTCGAATCGTCAGGGCCTTCCTCTCTGCTCGGCATCGCTGCTGAGTGGGCAGCTGAATTACCTTTCCCACTGCTACCAACCACATTAGTAGCGGTCTTGGAAGAGTGCACTACAGCACCTGTTGAGAAATACACATCACCGTAAGCTGATAGGCGATTCACAAGCTCGCCTCTCAACTCCTCACTGTCGGTCGCCAGGAAAATCGAGAGTGGCTGAAGAGGGGAGGAGTGGGAAGCAGCAGAATCGGGTTCAATGGGTTTTCCCTGCTTCTCTGCCACTTCTTGGATCACACTATCGAGGCACGACCAGAGGCAGCGCTGTAGGAACGCACTGGTTGCACTCGCACGCGCACCTTTTTCTTCCCCAGAGCCGTCATCAACACATCCCACATGCGCCAGCTCGTTGATTGCCGCGCTCCCATCTTCCCCTCCACTTCCACGGCCGGCGTCACTTCCACCCTTCCCTTCAATTGACAAGGGTCGCGTGCGCATGTGCAGCGCAATGTCAAACATAGCCCCTTCAAGTGACAGATTGCTTTCCTCGTCTTCGCCAACTGCCTGAGATCCTCCTCCGGTGAACCGCCGTCGCCGCATGACTGCTCTCATAGCAGCAATAAGGTAGGGGGAGGGGCGCGGAAGCAGCTGCTGCAGGGCGTGCGAGTGCACACACCATGCGTCGCCCTCCTGGCAGTTGAATGCGGCAGCCACACAGCGCCTGACAGCGGGGTAGTGCTGCCAGAATCCGTCAAAGTTGTGCGCACTGCGTGAAAGAACCAGGGGAGTGGCGGATGGTATGGACTGCCGCACCACTGCAAGCAGCATAGGGAGAGATGAGGAGAGGAGTGGAGGTTGGATTAGTGTTACGTCACAAAAGTGTAAATGCATACGCTGAAGAGTTTGCAAACCGGATAGAGAAATTGACACAGTGCCCACGTTGACAGGCACCAGGAAGGCACATCGTCCGTATGAGCCACTCCCAAGGGACCTCATCTCTAGGAGCGAGCGAGCGGCCCGTCATGTTTTGCGACATGCTGCCTCATGACACGTACCGAGCGAGCGGCCCTGTGCTTGGAGATCCACGAAATTAAGCTTCTTCAGGACAGCACGCAGAGGCGCCTCTCCCACGAGCCTTGGCTTCCGCTTCCCGTCACCGGCTGAATAATTACAACTCTCAGGCCCTGGTGGAGTTAGAAGCTGTTGATCCTCCGCGCCGAGCCCTCGCATCTCGTCCAACCCGCAGTCGAATGCGGCGCAGAGCGCGTCGAGGACCTTCCCGTGCGCGCCGCCGTGGAAGAGTATGAGGCGGCGGCCCGAGAGGCGCGAGAAGACGAACGCGGAGACGAAGCCGCGCAGGCTGTTGCCGAGGCCGTGGCGCGGAATCACGAGCAGCACGCGCTCCGTTGAGTTGGCTAGATGGCCGAGCGACGCCGCGAGTGGGCCACTGCAGAATAGGGCGAGAAATCGGAGGGTACGGGGTGACCGTCTAATCAAGCTTGCGACTTTCGCGTCGCTTGGCGATTGAGCATTGCAGTAAAGGCGAGCAGCTATCCCATGCAAACCCGGCAGACGGGTGTGTCACACATTCGCTGACGAGAATCTTACCTGGATGCAGACATTTCCTGCGAAGGCATGATGGCCTTGCACGACGCCTCGGATCGCATGTCGATTACATGGCGACGTACGTACGGGCTTTCGGCCCAAGTAAGCAGCACGTCCGCCGATGCGGGGGGCTCCCCCACGAGCCTCACTGGCAGGGCTCCTTCAAGTTGAAACTTGGACTCATCGTCGCCTGTCGTTGTCTCCGCACCGCGACCTGCATACGGCGTCGTTTTTTCCGTCGAGAGCGCCGCATAGGCGATGGAAGTTCGCAGGTTTCGGCGAAGGATGCTGAAGCCGCCGCCAATTCCGCCACCGTTCGCTGTGTTTGTGGCCTTGAGACGCATTAACGCGACCACTGCACATGACGCGACTAGTACTAACAGCGAGACTAGAAACGAGACGACGGAATGCCGTAGCGAGGCAGCGTGTGCGTTTAGGTCAGTCCGGGAGTGACGGGAACGAGCGGCGTTCGCGGGGAGCCACGACGAAGCGCCAGCGTGGACTGCGCTGAGCCGAGCGCCGAGAATTGCTCTGGTTACGGTGGTTTTAGCCGCGGCAATGTGAGACGCTGCACTGGCTGTCGCAGCGAGTGATAGGAAGGGCCAGTGGGGCGCCATGCAGCAAGCTTCTATAAGCTCTGGTTCGAAGAAAGTTTCGACGTCAGCTGGCGCGTATTATCAACCAATAAAAGCCACAGGGGTTCCGGCAGGGGCCTGGTTGTGGACGCTGATGGTAGGGACAGTGATAGCCACACGTTGTTTTTGAACTTCCTGGAGAAACAAAAGTAGGTTGTAGTAGCTGCTCTAGGACGAGCGTGACATGTTGCAAGGCGACAATGGCTAAAAAGGGATGAAGAGGAAGACGGTGAGAAAAACAGAGCCACTGGGAAGGCTAATATGCAATGGAGACTTGCGGGTGAGCCAAGGCAAGTGGAATTTCTGCTTTTCCCACCGTGAATCAGCGCTGGCTGGCAAGCACCCCCGTGCCCCTCGTGTGATTCAAGAATGAAGCGTTGGATGGAACTCGGGAGGTGTGGATGTGGGGAGCGCTTCGAAATGTGGTCGCATGGCAATGTGTGGGAAGGGAGAGGGCGGCTCGGACGCAGCGAATGGAGGGCGTTTCTGGTTGCAGGGGCTTGTGGCGAGCCGCTCCATGTGTGTGGGTCCCAAATTCAGTGATTTTCTAATCAGTTGTGCGCGTGCGGGGACCAGCAGCGGTTCACAGACTTGTCTGCCTTCGGGCAGGTTGACAGATCTGAACGGAATGACGAAAAACGGGCGAGATAGCTCCTCGACCTTGGTGTAGATGCACCAAGTGTGACCCGGAAGTGAGCGATACTTTCGTAAATGTTCTACCCATGTTTCCTAACTACTTTCGTAACGACGTGTTGCGACCCACAAGGGTCGGGTCGACCAACCCCCGATCCCGAATTTCTAGGAAGGCTGCGTCGCGGGTCTACCCGACCAGGTCGACCCGACCCAACCCAACCAGGTCTGCCAGAACCGGGTTGACCAGGTCGGTTCAACCAGGCCGACCAGAACCAAACCAACCGAGCTGGAGCTGGTTACCTGAGCCTACGAAATTTGTGGTTTTCGCGCGGATGTCGTTTTTATCTCGTTTAACAAAAAGATACCCAGTAATATCGCCAAACATTGCCTCGCCCACCTTCCACCTGCGGAGCACTTGCTTTCTTTTTTCTTCGAATGTGCAAAGAAGACAACGGGAAATTCTTTGTTTTCTCGAGTCGCCTTTCGGTTGGTTTGGGTCGGGTCGGGTCTACCCGACCTGGTCGACCCGACCAACCCAACCCGGGTGGGTCGCAACCGTCGTAAATGTTGCCAACCATGATTCCGAAAGCTTGGTCTTGCCAGCCTGTTCGAAGGTTCTCGTTTTAGGCGGACCACTTTTACGATTACCGTGCTGCAAACTATAAAAAGCAAACCCCATTTTACATATAGATTTCGAGCATGCCTTGGGCAATTCCGCAATTACCCGCCTACGCAAAACGTCGTTTTCGTCTATCCATGAACGAACAGCGAGCAACATCGGCCAACCGTAGCGCACCATCAAGGTAGTCCATAGCAGGTCGGTGAAAAGCAGGCTCTAGGGATCCCTTGACATCGCCAATCGTAGCGATCGCGTTGTCAATCTGCCTCGCGATTAAATCCTTCTCTTTCTGCTTCAGAAGGATGGCCGCATTCTGAAACGCCTGGCGGGACGCCAAGAGTCGAAGGTGGCAGTTCTCCTGCTTGAGCAGCAGCGCCGCGGTCTGCGTCAGCCCCGCCGCCTTGCTTAGGTGTGTCATTACCTCTGCCGTCGTGTAGTGTAGCCTCCTGATATGGTCCGAGCTGTTTGCCGTGGCAGCAGGAAAGGGGGCGAAAGGGCGAGAGGCGCGCGTCGAGGGAATATGAGCGCGCGTCAAGGTAAGAAACAAGCGTGGGAGATGTTAATACAGCTACCGGCGCAGCGGTTCGGGGACCGTAAGGAGGAGACAAGACTGAAGTGGGGACGAACTGGGGAAAACAAAACGGAGACGAGAGAATGCTCTTGATGCAACTATAATTATTCTGCGTCCATGTCGATGCACCATTACCCGAAGCACACTTGGAGTGGATTCGCCTTACCTCATGCTTGTCCATGGCGACGAGGGATTTGCGGGATACGCCGGACTGGGCTCGGCGCTACCTGCTCGGGAGGAGGACGGCAGGCGCGCGTCGCAGGAAAGCATCAGGATTGTAACCATGAAAACCAGGGAGGCGAGGGAAAAGCACTCTGTGGTGTCGGGAATAGAGATGTGGCGCGTGGGTTTCAAGAAATAAGGATGCGAGCGCTCGACGACGGGAAACAAGCCATGGTGCTCACCGAAGGCGGCGACGCCAGCGAGGTTCGTGGAAAGGACAAGGAGCAGCGCGACTTGCGTGTAAGCGTTAATTTCGGCCATTTGCGGCCGCGCAGTCACCGATATGGGCACCGGAATTTTAATCCGTTGAGGCTAATACGAGCTCCTCGTCGTCTGCCCTGTAAAGTGAGTCACGAATTCGCTGAAGCGATATTAAAGGTTATTCTAGTGTCGATTGGTGCACTGCACTCCTGGCTTCTCGATCACTAAATCTACTTACTGGCCAGAACATCGATCACTGTGAAGCGAGGAACGCGGGACGGTTTGTTCCTCCAAATGGGCTGGACAGTCTGTCCATGAAAGAGAGAAGGCAATCTCGATTGTGAAATCTGTGAGAGTAAACATCACGGCAACAGCTGTGTGGGATGGAGGTTTGATGTGATGCGGGGGCCACGACATGAGAGGAAGTCCGAACTGTCCCGTCCCGTGGTGTTCAACTTGCAAGGACCAGCGGGAATGCAGGATTTCCACTTTCCGACGGTCCAATTTTCGCACATCCACCGCAACCCGGAGCGCGCATCTCGGCGACGTGCCACATCACCCGCTTCGCCGCTGGGAAGTGTTGATCACGTCACCCACGTAGGTCCGTTGATCAGACATGTTTTCAGAGGATTCACTACTGAACTATTCGATAGCGAAAAGGGAATCAGTACTATCCTAAAATAATTTAGCCAAAGTCCAGGTTTTATGTAATCAAGCACAAGGGACACACCGTGTGCATACTTTCTACATGCTAAACCTGCGTGTTCGAGTTGTTTAGGCTATTGCCATGACGCTCTTTCTCATACCAGTACTCATCAGTACATGTAGAATACTCATCCAGACCAGAACGAACTTTCAACTATGGTAATCTCATGATGAACGCGCATCCTCGACTACAACTACCACTCCACAAGGTTTATTCAAAATATCACATACGGTACAACAGCACCAACTGCCTTAGCAAGGAGCGCCAACATGGGAGCACAGGCGCAGAAGGTCGGTAAACACCCCAGCAGCAGTGACAGCAGCACCAGCACCAGGCCCTCTAACCACAAGGGGCATGTCAAAGTAGCGCTCAGTCTGGAAGGAGATCATGTTGTCGCTGCCTGTGAGGCTGGCAAACGGGTGTGTCTTGGGGTAGCGCCTCAGCTCCACTGAGGCCCCACCCTTAGCCATGTCCACTATGCCCACAAACCTCAGAACCTGAAGTGCATAGCATGGGCAGAAACATCAGGAGAGGGGAAAGTGGGGACGAGAGGGGAGGGGTGCAAGGAAGGTTTCTTTGCATGCTTGGGCATGGCAGCATCAATCACCAAGCACCACAGAGAAGTCGGCAATACCTGCCTTTCAACTGTGCCTCATTTCAACCTTAACTCCCCACTCCCATGCTGGAATAACAGCCTCACACACAACCTTTCCTCTCTTGCAACAACACAGCTTTTTCTTTATCCAGAAGCCCTCTTCATGACCTCACATTGCTACACCAGTTACCTCGTTGGCTGCCTGTGCCTCCTTGAGCTTGTCAGTGATCTCCGAATCAAACTCGGGCAGGCGGGCAAGAAACTCATCAGCTGACGCAACGTTCTGATGGGGCAGGGATGCAGGCGGACGCACAGAAAACAAGAGTCAAGAGAGGTGCGTCAACGGTCCAAGAAAGAACCACACTAAGGCCATGTGCATGGGCGAATGGTGTTCTAATTCCCACCCTCTCCCCCCCTTAAAAAAGCATGTGCTCAATCTAGAAGTATTTTCACCTCCAGTGGCTTGGGTACGAGCGACTGCACAGGCACGTCGGAGAGCTCGAGCTGCAGGCCGGCCTCGCGCGCCACAATGACGACCTTCCTGGCGACGTCCATGCCCTTGAGGTCGTCCCGTGGGTCTGGCTCCGTGTACCCCGCTGCCTTGGCCTCGCTCACTATCTGGCTGAACGGCTTGCTGCCGTCCAGCGAGTTGAATATGTACGACAGCGTGCCACTGAGGGGGGGATAGGGGGAGCAGATTTGGAGGGAGGGTGGTGGTTGGGATGTGTGTTCAGGGAAGTGTATGCAGATGGAACGGTGAATTAGATGGGAGAAGGTTGGCAGGATTGGCAGAGGAAGGCCGAGTTGGGACCAAAGGGGGTGGCGAGTGAGGAGAGAGGGTGCGGGGTTGTTGCCAACAGCAGGGCACAACGTGCCATTAGTTGGTGCAGCAGGGCTCACCTGAAGATGCCCTCACAGCGCACGAGCTTGTCGCCCGTGTCCAGCTGGCGGCGCAGCGTGTAGATGACGGGCAGCCCTGCTCCCACCGTGCACTCGTAGTAGAAGCGCGATCCGCCCTGCTTCCGCGCTGCTGCCATCTCCGCCAACTGCCATCAGGCACAGGGAGCGGACCCAGGGACGATGGGGGAGGGGGAGGGGAGGGGACCAGGGACACGGGTGGTGCGTTGCTGCAAGGAGAACCGTATTTCTATGAACTAAACTGAAGCTGCTTACCCAAGGCAACGGCAAATAGCAGCATCCCTCAGTCCAGTCTCCTGCCAGCCTTCTCACCCGAGCGAGAGGGCCGGAGCTGGCCTTCTTGTTGGGAGTGATGACAGTGATGCCGCCCCTCATCCACGCCGCATAGCAGTCCGCCACTGCCTCGCTCGCAGTGCAGTCCGCCAGACACACGTGCACCAGGCCCCCTCCCCCCAGCGCCTTTGCCCACGCCTGCGCCTCCTCCCCTCCTGCTGCTGTCCCCGGCGCCTTGCCTGCTGCGGCCAGGGCTGTGAGGGCGGCTGTGAGGGCTGGCAGAGGCACGGACGTGCCCTCTTTTTGAAGCTGCTCGCGCCAATTGGGGAGGTCCACGTGGCTGGTTGGAAGGGAAGGGAGAAGGGCGGGCGGGTTAAGTGGAATAAGTGGCAGCGAATAGATTTGGAAAACAACGACGCAGGAGGAGAGAAATGACACCAGGATGGTGCAGTGCTGCGCGGTGCACTTCGGTGCATAGCAGTGCAGTGCAGTGAAGCGCACCTGCCAGTGGTGAGCAGCGAGCCACGGAGGTCAGCAATGGCGACCACGTGCAGGCGCAGGGAGTAGGTGGACAGCAGATACGCAGCCTGCACCGCACAGCACAGCACAGCACAGCACAGCACAGCACAGCACAGCACACAGCCATGGCAGTGTCATGTTAACAGTGCACGCACATGTAGAAGCCGGGTGAATGGACAATGGAGTAATCAGACTGTGCTACATGTTCTGCGACATGAGGAGCATGCAATAACAACACGCACACCTCCACTCTCCTCCCTACTCCACTCTGCTTCTGCCCCTGCTTGCATCCCCGCACCCCTCTCTCCCATCCTTCCCCCGCTCCTCTCTCCCCCCCAGTGCCCTCACCTGGTCGCGCAGCTGGTCCAGGAACGTGCCGCCAATGAGCCCTGGCCCCACCACTGCCACGGCCACTGTCGTTACCCCGCCCGCAGAAGCAGCAACAGCAGCAGCCGGCAGATCCAACGGAGGCGCAGCGCTCCCAGCCGCCCCAACCGCCGCACCCGCAGCAGGAACAGCTACAGCAACAGCAGCAGCGCCTCCAGCGCAGTAGAAGCGGTTGTGCGCAGCGGTGAGAGCAGTGGCAATGTCCTTTTGGTCGACCACAATGGTGATGTTGTACTCGCTGCACCCCTGCGCTATCGCACGCACATTCACCCCGGCTTCTGCCAGAGCGCCGAAGAGAGCTGCTGAAACGCCCCGTGTGGCAGGCATGCCCTTGCCCACAGCAGCGAGCACGGCGCAGTTGTCGATCACTGCCACGTCTGCTATGTGCCCTTCTGCTATTGCGTCCTTGAAGGTCGTGCGCAGCGCTGCTGCCACTTTCGCTGCCTCGTGCGAGGGCACGGCGAGACACACACTGTGCTCGCTACTCGCCTGGGAGAGGGAGAGGGGTGGAGTGGGGTGGGTGGGGAGAGAGGGAGAAGGACGAAGGTATCGTGAGAGGGAGTGGGGAATGGAAAGTGCAATGGAGGGGTTCCTGAAGCGCATACGAAGGGGAAGAGGGAGGATGAGAGGGATGATGTGGATCAAGGCAAGGTGAACAAGGGAGTCGAAGTAGGGGTGAGTGGAAGAGGAGGGTGCGGAGGGAGGGGGGGTGCACGGAAGGGGGACAGAGGAGGGAAACCGGGAGCGGATGAAGGGGAGGTAGAGCATGTGGAGGGCTTACGGGGAGGGATGCGTGGAATGAGGGCAATGATTTGCCAAAAAGGGTACATTTAAAGGCATGACGAGTGGGTGAACGCAAGGCAGGGTTGGGCACAAGGCGTTAGAAGGCACCTGCGAGATGGCGATGACGTTGGCGCCCACGTTCTTGACGGACACGAAGATGTCCGCTGCTGTTCCTGGCACGCCCGCCATGCCCGTTCTGCTCGTGCCCGCCCGCGGGGCCACGGGTAAAGGTGGCGCGTTGGGAGATGGTCGGGGGAAGGGAGGAGAGGGCGGGAGGGTGGTGCGGGGAGAATAGGGCGAGGGTTTAATGAAGCAGGGAGAGGAAGAGACGTGAGGATCTGAGTTGCGAGAGGGAAGGAGAATGGAAGGAAGAGGGAGGGGAAGAACGAGGATGGAGGATGAGGCATGGCGTCAGAGCGAGGCTTCGAGAGGGTGGAATTCGGCCACCACGCAGCCACCAAGCCCACTCCCCACCTCCGAACACATCTCCCCGTGACCTCTACACTTCCCACTCCCCCACTCTTCTCCCCCACTCTTCTCCCCCACTCTTCTCCCCCACTCTTCTCCCCCACTCTTCTCCCCCACTCTTCTCCCCCACTCTTCTCCCCCACTCTTCTCCCCCACTCTTCTCCCCCACTCTTCTCCCCCACTCTTCTCCCCCACTCTTCTCCCCCACTCTTCTCCCCCACTCTTCTCCCCCACTCTTCTCCCCCTCTCCCTTTCACCCGATCCCTAGTCATCAATCCCATGTCCCCTCTCCCAAATCCCTATCCCCGCTCAGCCCGTCGTCAGAATGCCTTACGCCCGGCTCACCCTTCGACGTTGACGAGAGCGACGTCTTCGATGGTGGCGAAGCCCTTCACGATGGACGCCTCGCCGTTGGTGCCCAGTAGCGACGGCGATGACGGCGGGGATGAGAGCGGGCCGATGCGCGTGCCGGGTGCCGCCAGGTTGAAGGCGTTGCGGATGAGCAGCGGGATGTTGTTGCGCATCACCGGCAGCGCCGTGCGCGGATGCAGCACGTTCGCGCCGAAGTACGACTGTGGGGGCACGGGGGGTTGGCGCGGGAGGGGGGAAGGGGGAGGGGGAGGCGAGGGGGCGCGGAGCAGGGGAGAGGGCAGAGGGAGACGAGGGGTTGGGGGGCGGAATGAGAGAGGGAGAGGGGGGGAAGATGGGGAGAGGTGAAGACGGGTTAATGGGGAGACAGGTGAAATGAGGGAAGTGGGCGATAATGAGAGCAGCTGAAGGACACACGCCTGCCAGTACACAGCTCATCACAAGCAGCAACAGGGTTCGGGGTTTAGGGTACATGCCACACGCACGCACTCTTCGCAACAACCGCAACCACCTCATATCCCTATCACACACCTCGCACTTATCCCTCGCCTCAATCTCAACCCCATGTGATCTCATCCTCGCACAGCCCCAACCCCCCTACCCACCAGTTCAAGCGCTTCCTCGTAGGAGAGAGAGGAGAGCACGACTGTGTCCTTCACTGTGCGGGGGTGAACACACGGCGGATACAGGGCGGAGAAGGTTGAAGCGGGGAAGAGGTGGGCGCAAGGAGAGAGAGGAGAAGAGGACGGAGAGGGGAGAAGGGGTGGGTGGGAGGGAGGGGGAGGGGCGGAGCAACAGGGGCCGCGATAAGGGTTGCATTCTTAGGCGCACGTACGGCAACGGCACTAGTGGCGCGTGAGCGGATGCGTCTCCAAACTAGCACGTGGAGGCGTGCCTGTCCCTGGTTCATGAGGTGCGTGAGAGCTCATTTCCGTCTACGAGCAGTGCGCTACCGCAAGCTGCTGTGCCGCGCATGGGCGCATCCGGCTCCTCGTCTCACCTTTCCGCGGGTCGGCGGAGAACACGCCGTCGACGTCGGTCCAGATGGTAACCCGTTTCGCGTGCAGCAGCGCGCCGAACACCGCGGCGGAGAGGTCGCTGCCGTCGCGCTTGAGCGTGGTGGGCGCGCCCTCGGGGTCGCGCGCGATGAACCCCGTCGCCACCACCAGCGCCGGCTGCCCCGCGTCCGCGAACCAGCGCGCGAGGTTGGCGGAGGAGATGGAGTAGAGCGGGTTCACGTGCTGCCCCGCCGCCTCCACCACCAGCACGTCGCGCGCATCCAGGAACGCGCACGGCCCCCCCGATTGCTGGAATAGGTGCGGGCGGAGGGGGGAGGGGGGAGGGGGGAGGGGGGGAGGGGGGGAGGGGGGAGGGGGGAGTAGGGAGGGGGTAGGCGGAGGGGGGACGGGAAAAGGTGAATGAAGGGGTGTGAGGTTGGAAGAGATAGTAGATTGTGTGGGAATGGTCAAGGCGCTCGGAGCGATGGCAATGACATGAGCAGGCGGAATGGTGAAGATCCCAGATGTGAGCGGAAAGAAGCGGCGGAGGGGCAGTAAGGTTCCAGACACTAAATGTTCTATCTCCTCAAACTAATCTTCCTTCCCCGACTAATGCAGGTTCCTTGTTGCCAAACTTCTGAACACTTGCGCACCTTGCGGATGGTGGCGGAGAGCAGGCGCGCGGACCACAGCTCGCCGTGACCCACCACGAAGTCGGAGAACGCATGGGTGGTGTGCCGCACTGGAGTGGGGGGAACAGGGGTGGGCGTGAAGGACCGGGGACAAGGCGGGACAGAAGCAGCAAAACCCCAAATCCGGGATTTTAAGCGAATGTGCTGCAGATAGACGAAACAAACGATGCTACCTCGAGGTGTGCGAATCTCAGGCCGTGTATATTGTTTTTCAGCACGCATCCTCCTCCCTGTCTGTCTGTCTTACCTATGGAGATAGCCCTAAGCATGGACGCCAGGTTGCTGATATCTTCCCTCAGTTGCTTCAGGAACGTCTCAAGCTCCTCGCCGTCTGGTCCCAGCAGGTGCGTCGCCGTCTCCTCGTGCTTCTCTCTTAGCGCGCTCAGCTGCTGCTCCACATCCGCCCAGGTCCCCGCCTCCGCCGCCGCCACGGACGCGTACAGCGCGTTTGTGACCGTTGCCATGGCGGAAACCACCACGAAGCGGTGCCGCGGGACGGCTCCCCGGCCAGTGTCGGAAGTGACGATGTCGGCGACGGAACGGATGCGCTCCCATGTTCCCACGCACGTTCCGCCAAACTTGTGCACGTACCAATTGCCGGGAGGGGGCGACGGCGAAGCTGGCATGAGTAAAGGAGAATGATAAGTGCGGACAAAACAGAGCGGCGGGAGGCAGAGCAGGGAGGCAAGGGGAAATACTAAAGCTTTGAAGAGAATTCGGGGATCGAATTATCACTCGGAAAATTAACCACCAATTTACGGATGAAAGAAAACTGAACTTGACGATTTCGATAAAATGCGCTCGGAGAGGAGAACGGAACATACCTTGAGAGTCAGCGGCAGCAGAGGAGGCCCTGAAATTGGGATTACGGGAAGATCCAAGGAGAGACATGGCATATTTCAGAAATGAATAAGATCCATGGTATTAGAACCTATACCACTTCCAGAAAATAATAGTATGGTTGACGATACTGGTGAAACTCGGCCATGCGTCGTCATGGTGCAATGTGTTATGTGACTGTCATGTGTTTTTATATGTTCGATAAGAGTTGCCTGTCGACTGACAACGTCAACAGCAATTCTGCTAGCAACAATGGAAACAACCAACACTGAGGGCGAAGATCAATGACGAGGAAAATTCACCGACGGATCCGTTGTCAAGTTGCTGTCAGGCCTTACATTTTACCGTCTTTGCGTTCCAGCAGTTCCCAAGACTAGCGATGAGCGAACGGAACGCGACGGAAATGGCAAACTAGAAACGACGAGCACTCTAGATCAATGAACAGCGTGAATTCTGACGTCTGAATGAACGTCGCAATGGAGAGATGATGAACTTGTAGTGGGTGGAATGGATGGAGCAATCTGCGTTCTGAATCCCTATCAGCGCAAATCAGCAGGAATTCCAAAGCGGACACCCCTGTGATGCAGGAGGTGTGGTGTGCTTTGCTGACGGAAAGGTGATGGAAAGGTCGCCAAAGGCACGCCACGGTGGCGAACAGAGATTAGGCCGACGAGTCCAGCTCACTCCCGCCCTTGTCCAAGCTGACAGGGCGATCACTCGTGCCATCCTTGGGAACACTTTTATAGGGAATGTTTGCTGCTGAGTACGCTGACGTGGTAAAGTGCCCTCCGCTTCGCGGGAAAATATTTTCAGTTGCTGCCCAATCCGCGGCACGTCTAACCCGAGATTTGGGAGCTTTGTAGGACACTTCAGATCCACGCTAGCAGCAACGCTACAGGTGCAGCTTCTGGGATAGCTCCGACGAGCTGCTGCTGAGCCTGACTCGGGGCGTCACAATCTCGCTTCACCGCATCGAACCGGCCTCAACATTGTACGAATGTAGATGTATACATTGCACACTGTCTAGAGATGGCACTTCATCAGAGTCACTGAAATGAGAAACTCACATTGGTACCCAGAGTCTGAAGGACATACCTACACGAATTTGTAACTCAATTCTCTAGACTCAGGCTATCGTCTCGTACTATTAGTTGCATCCTCTTTTAAAAATTGACGAGCTATGACTTCAAGAGCTTCAACTGTCTTGTCTACATGAGCTTCTACGGAGGAGAAGCACGTTCCATCACTCAACACCAAGTGGTAATGGATTGAGCATGCATATGAGAGCTGGTGAAAGCAGGTGTTGGGACAGCCATTTGGACGGATCTCCAAAACCGTTGCCTGTGCCGGCATGAAGACCATGTTTGCCAGCGCTGCACCATGACCGCCTATGTACAGCCGCGCTCGGCGGAACAGGTCACGTGCTGATGGCGGGAACAAGAAATGCACCGAAACAGGAGGCACACGATTTGTGGGAAATTTATTGAAGATACACGTGTGGGGCGAGAGGCTGTCAGAACAACAAGTCATTCCAGCAGAACAACGGGTAAAATGCTTCACAATGATGCAACAATGGCCACACTCACCTTCCAGTATCCCCATGGACCCATTGAATGTCATCACCCGGTCGGGAAATATCTTCCTGACAGCCGATTCCAGCTCAGCAAAATTAATGATGGCTCGCTTCCTGCCCGGGCGCTTTGCGAGCACGACCAGCCAATCAGCAGGCAGGAGAGCCATCTGTGCGTCAGTGAGGGGCGGCAGATCGCGGTAGGTCCAGTCGGGGTTGAAGAGAGGCAGACCGTCGGGGTGGAGGAAATGGCGCGAGCGAATGGTGTGCCAGAGAGCCCTGCTGGGCGTGCCACACTGCTGGAACATGGGCTGATACCAGAGATAACGGACAGGGAAGCAGAGAGCAGGGAAGAAATGTGGGCTGTGCCACACTGCTGGTACATGGGCTGATGTGCGGGTGCACGTACAGGGAAAGGAAGGACATGGTGAAAACAAAAGCCTGTGAAGAGGGTCTGAGGTAACAAATGGGTGAGTGGGGGGGTTGGGGGGGTGGTGAGAGGAAGGCAAAAAAGCAGCACTTTGGTGTAAGGTGCAAAGTAAATAGGTCCATTCACGCATGGCATTGGACCTGGTGCACGCGCGCTGCATGGTAAAGCTCCCCTGGGAATGTGGCGAGTGATTTCATGCTCGCACGCGGAATGCCCGTGATGGCTGCTCCCATGCGGTTATATGCCCTCCACTGATGCCACTCGCACCGCACAGGCGTGTCGCAACGAAGCGGGGTGGGGGGGGGGGGGAGGGAGAGAGGGGCAACGGAGGAGTATGGGAAGGAGGAAAGGAATGAAGTACGGTGAGGTATGAAAAATAAAGTAGATTGGATGCAAGTGAGGGACTTGCATGCAGCTAGTGCAGTGGCGAGGGGTTGCTGGAATAGACCGACATGTGGGAAAGCACGAGGCATGCATCCGCGGCAGGAAAAGAAGCAGATGCACAGCAACCGACTTAAAATGCACTGGTACTTGTCTCTCAGGCTCTCAGTCCCACGCGCTCTGCACAACCCTCCCTGTTAGCCAAGAAACCACCAGCTCGCCCCCCCGCCACCCCTCCCTCACTCCCTCCCTCCCCGCATTGCCGCACACGCATGGATGTCCCTCACTTCACGCACCTGCTCGCCTGTGGCGATGATGGGGTAGCCGCGGAACTTGCTGAGGAAGGGAGCAGAGACCACAAAGCACGGCAGCGTCTCCACGAGCACATGGTAGAAATTGGCGCCCACCACGTACGCCCAGCTCCATACTCCATGCAGCTCGTGCACCGCTGCTGCTGGGGAGAAGGTGTACTGCACGGAGGGGCGAGGGGCGGACGGGAGGGAAGGGGTGGAAGGGGATGACAGGGTGGGGGAGATTAAAGAAGTGGAAAGGGGCGGTAAGGGATACGGAATGTGGAACACACGGCACGGCCAAACTTATAATGAGATAATGTGGTACGAATCAGGTGAGATTGGGATGTGGTGCGGGGGAGCAGCAGAGAAAGCTGAAGGGATGAAGGGAAGAAGGGAGTGAGCACCAAGGTGAGAGGCTCACGCAGGACTGACCTTGCCGATTTGATGGCACCCGCCACGCACGAACTGATGCGTGGCATTGAAGAGAAACCCATCATGCGTTATGTACACATCCGCCAGCTGGAAGTTCTGCAGAGCCCACGGCATGCGCAGCGCATGATCCGCCTTGTGACTGCACGACTCGTCAAACTCCCCTTCCTCTTCCGCCACTTCAGAGCCTTCTGCCCGGTTAGGGCAGTTCAAAGGAGCGCGCGTGACAAATAACTCATGATCCACGAGCTCGCTAGTCCAACAGGACCACACGTTAGGGTACCCGTCATGGCACCTGAAGAGGTGCGGGCACGGGTTGCCCATGCAGCTGAGCTTCGGCCCGTCAACTGTGTTCTCGTGAAAGTAGTTGAGCCATACGTTCGTCTGCTCGTCGCTGCTGATGTGCATGCCCAGCGGTCGGCTCTTCAGCTTCACACGCTCCGGATCGTTCCTGGGGGAGAGCCGCCGGGGAACGGCGGAAGGTAGGAGTGGGAGGGGGTGGGGAGGTGTGAGGGGGTCTAAGGGTACGTTCCTGGCTAGTGTCAAACTTCCGGTATTCCCGGGATGACACGAAGCTCGCCCCACAGCTCGCCCCACTTCGGGTCTTCCCTAAAAAATTTGCCCCTGACTCGGAAAACACGAAGTTTGGCCGGAAGTTTGACACGCGCCAGGAACGTACCCTAAGGACGTAGCCGGTAAATGGTGCGGAATGTTTAGATGCTTTCTGACAATCGCTGCTGTGCGAGAGATGCAAGGTTATTTACAGAGAACGGGTACAGCAAGACGTTTATGAACGTAAAAGGGATGATGCGAAACATCATTTGTTTTTTAAGAGCACCTGAATTCGATGGGAACGTAAGGGCCGACTTCTTCTGGGTTGTCAGGAGCGTGCGGAAACACATTCGCCATGTGTGGCAGCGCGCCGCTCCCACCTGTAACCTCCATGGCTTGGCCTGATTCGGCTCCTTGTGCTGCTCCCTCCTTTACCTGCACTGCCTCTTCCATAACGTCGCCTGCCGCGCCACAGGCAAGTGGTTATGACATGATTCTGTTTCAGAGATGGCACGTGCTGGCTGATAATCGCGTGCGATCAGGTCCACACCTGACATCTCAAACGTTCCGAAATTCCACAGATTCATGGGCGGGTGAATTTAGTTGTGCCTACGAGCAAATACGGTCCTTTCAGCCATGCGGCACTAGAACAAAAAAAATCGCAACACACTCACCTGCTCCAACCAGCCGCACGACGCGGAAGGGATACGCCGAAAGCATGAGGAGAAGAAAGAAACAAATACGCTTCGCCGCGGATGCTCTGCCGGAATCCTTCGCCAGAATGCGCCGTTCAGTGGTGTGAGACCGTACTCGAGCAGATAAAACCATGATTGGTGATGGTGTGGAGATTATGAGTAACTAAAAGAGCCAGGGAATCTGAAGCTGAGTCTGGGCAAGATTCTACAGCTCCCAACCAACTCTTGTGACACTAACGGTTTCTTGATGCTAATGCCTCAGTGATAGTGTCTCAGAAGTATGATGATAACGTATTGCCTTTCTACAGGAAGTGGACTTGTCGAGGAATATACCAATCCCGTGGGAGCGGATGTTGCGCATCCCCAACTCGCCAACCCTAAGCTTCTTTGAAGCCTGGCACACAGTGACATCGCCTCCTACAGAACTAGGGAGCACGATCCCGGATGAGACGGAAGAATTTTGCCGAAGCTGGCAGGCCATGGCGTCAAGCTTGGGAGAAAAGTTCACGTGTCGGCGAGCAGGTGGTGTGTGTGGTGATGACAGCCAGCAGCTCCAGTTGCTCTGGCTTGGAGCAGAAGACGGTGGGCAGACAAAACTTATGAATGAACGTACCAGGCAGGCATAGCTCACTGAAATCCCGTGGTACAATACAGAGAAAGACAGACATTTCACACAAAAACATTCCGACTACTGCTCAAAATTACAGTACCTGCCAATCCCCCATCGAGGGGTCTCGAGGTTTTCGTTGCGAGGAGCGAGTCATAGCGGGTCAGAGAGAATGCTTCAAGTTCATGTACAGTGTCGAAGCGGTGAGTCGCTCTGGAGCGCACACCAACCGCAACTGGTGGGAGAACGCACAAACTCCTAGTTTGTACATCTCTAGCTTCAAGTTTGTACATTTCATTAAGTTAGATAAATCAGCAATCCAGGTTTTATACCTCAGCATTATCTTCCAGCACCCTTATTCGCATCTTCTTCAAGGAATTCCCGAGCAATAATCTTCAGTGTTTCAGCGATCTTGTCGACGTGTGCCACAACAGGGGAGTAGCATGTTCCATCACTCAACACCAAGTGGTAGCGCAGGGAGCAGGCATGCGACAACTGGTGGAAGCAGGTGTTGGGACACCCATTTGGACGGATCTCCAGGAATGTTGCCTGTGCCGGCATGAAGACCATGTTTGCCGGCGCTGCACCATGGCCGCCTATGTACAGCCGTGCTCGGCGAAACAAGTCACGTGCTGATGATGGAAGGAGGGGCAGCACACACACAATCAAGGATTATAATGGGAGCAATTGGATGGAGATCTAGCAAACAAATTACACTGTGAGCGTCAAGCGTGGGGCAGGTGGCTATCAAATCAACAGGTCATGCCAGCAGAACAAGGAGTACCACGCTTCAGGGTAATGCAGCTGTGCCAGATCTCACCTTCCAGTATCCCCATGGACCCATTGAACATCACCACCCTGTCGGGAAATATCATTTTGACGGCCGATTCCAGCTCAGCAAAGTTGATGATGGCTCGCTTCCTGCCCGGGCGCTTCGCGAGCACGACCAGCCAATCAGCAGGCAGGAGAGCCATCTGTGCGTCAGTGAGGGGCGGCAGATCGCGGTAGGTCCAGTCGGGGTTGAAGAGAGGCAGACCGTTGGGGTGGAGGAAATGGCGCGAGCGAATGGTGTGCCAGAGAGCCCTGCTGGGCGTGCCACACTGCTGGTACATGGGCTGATGCGAGGGGGCATGGACAGGGAAGGGGAGAGCAGAGGGAAAACATGGGCCAGGAAAGGTGTGAGGCAGTAGAAGGTAGAGTGTTGGTAGAAGGAAGGCAAAAGAGGGAAAGTAGGGTGTGAGAGGCATGAGGTGAATCGGTCCATGTATGCACGGCCTCTCACCTGGTGCACGCGCACTGCATGGTAAATCTCCCCTGGGAACGTGGCAAGCGCTCTCATGCTCGCACGCGTAATGCCCGTGATGGCCGCTCCTATACGGTCATACGCCTTCCACTGATGCCACTCGCACCGCACAGGTACGCCGCGAGGTTCGAGGAGGGAGGAGGCAAGGGGAGAGTTACGAGAGGGGGGAAAGAGTTAAGTAGGTGAGGTATGAAGCATGAAGTAGATTGGATGCAGAGGGACTCGCATGCAGTGCTGCGGTGCACTCGAACAGGGTTACTAGGATCAAAGGACAGGTGGAGTAGCACGAGGCACGCATGCCTAAGAAGCACATGCATAGCAACCGACTTGCCTGCAATGGTACTGCCTCTCAGGCTCTCAGTTCCACGCTCTCTGCACAACCCCTCTGTTAAACGAAACACCACGAGCTCCACCCCCCAACCCACCCCTCCCTCACTCCGTCCCTCCCCACATAGCTGCACACACAAGGATGTCCCGTACTGCACACGCACCTGGAGGTCTGTGGCGATGATGGGGTAACTGCGGTACTTGGGGAGGAAGCGTGCAGCAACCACGAAGCACGGCAGTGTCTCCACGAGCACGTGGTAGAAATTGGCGGCCACCACGTACGCCCAGCTCCATGCTCCATGCAGCTCGTGCACTGTAGCTGATGGGGAGAAGGTGTACTGCAAGGTGGGGGAAGGGCAAACCGGTAGAGGGGGTGAAAGGGGTTGACGAGGTGAGGGAGAAGAAAGAAGTGGAGGGGGTTAAGGGATACAGGAGGCGGTGCCTGCAGCACGCACGCACGGATAATGCAATGCTGTGCTCAGGCTTGGATAGAGCGAAACAGAGCGAAACAGAGCGAACAGAGCAAAAGGGATGCAGGGATGAAGGGAGGATTCTTAAGTCGGAAAAGTTTGCTGTCAGGCAACTTGCAAAGCAAGCGAAGGGTGGGGACTCCGCATAAGAGACGAAGGGAAATAGGGAGGGAGGGAGCACGAGGCTGAGGCAGGCTGATCCATGGCTGACCTTGCCGACTTGGTGGCAGCCGCCGCGCATAAACTGGTGCGTGGCGTTGAACAGAAACCCATCGTGCGTTATGTACACATCCATCAGCTGGAAGTTCTGCAGAGCCCACGGCATGCGCAACCCGTGATCCGCCCGGTGACTGCACGACTCGTCATGCTCCCCTTCCTCCTCCTCCCCCACTCTTTCCGCCAATGCTGCCCGGTTCGGGCAGTTCAAAGGAGCGTGAGTGACAAACAGCTCCCGATCCACAAGCTCGCTAGTCCAACAGGACCACACGTTAGGGTACCCGTCGTTGCACATGTAGAGGTGCGGGCACGGGTTGCCCATGCAGCTGAGCTTTGGCCCATTTCGTGTGTTTATATGAAAGTAGTTGAGCCACACGGCTGTCTGCTCGTCGCTGCTGATGTGCATGCCCAGCGGCCGGCTCTTCAGCTTCACACGCTCCTCGTCATTCCTGGCGGGGAGCGGCGGGGGAGAGCGGAGGGTATGAGCGGAAGGGGGTGGGGAGGTGTGAGGCGGGAGAAGGAAGTAGCTGGTGAATTGTGCATATTGTTTAGGATTCGAAGAGCCTTGTAGCAGTTGCCGCTGTGAGAACGATGCTAAGCCATGCTGAAAGAGGATATAGCAACAAGCCTAACTTGACCGCGATGAATGATACGTGGGCATCCGAACTTGAGAGAAAAATCGATTCAAGGGCACCTGAATTCAGTCGGAACGTGAGGGCCGACTTCTTCTGGGTTGTCTGGACCATGCGGAATCACATTCGCCGCCTCTGGCAATGCGCTGCTCCCGCCCGCAGCCTCCATGGCTGCGCCTGACTTGGCTCCTTGAGCTGCCGCTGCTGCTTCCCCCTTCACCTGCACTGCCTCTCCCATAACGTCGCCTGTCCACCAAAGGCAAGTGGCGGTAATGCGTCTAAATCAGAGAGCCAGGCCTTGGTATTGTACTGTTCAACATACGTGGATACATTGTATTTACTTGTTCAGCTAAGTAAATGCGAAATATCTAAATATGTTTGAACATAATACGGCGGCCTCTGAATTTTGGACAGTGCCACCAGGTCCACACGGGAAATCGCGGGCTTTAAAAAATCCACAAATCTATTGGCGGTTGAACTCGGACTGTATCAACGTGAAAATACAGCGTTTCCGGGCCATACGGCAATAGAATAATCTACACTCCACAAGAATCGCGCAGCACACACACTCACTTGCTCTAACCAGCCGCACGACGCCGAAGGGATACGCGGTAAGCATGAAGAGAAGAAAGCAATGAATGCGCTTCGCCGTGGCTGCTCTTCCAAAATCCTTTGACACGGGGCACCGTCCGGTCGTGTGGAGGCGAACCCGAGCAGGTGGACCCATGATTGGTTCAGAGAGTCCGGGCAAGATGTTAGTAGAGCATCCAACGCCCAATTCTGTGATCGTTGTTAACCGCGCTAGCGACTTATTGATGCTAATGCCTCGATAGACAGCAGTCAATGTAATAGATAAGTACGCTCACCACTACTCTTTTTACCAAGCGTGGGCTTGTCAAGGAAAACCATGGCACGTGGATCCAGCGCGTGCTCCACTCGCCAAACCCTACGCTTCTTCGAGGCCCTTTGAGCATCTGCCTGGCACATAGTAGCATCGCGTTGTTGGGAACTAGGGAGAACGACCCCAAATGAGACGGAAGCATCTTGCTGATGCTGACTGGCCATGGGAGCAAGCTTGGGAAAAGCAGGTGCTTTGAATGCTGGTGGTGACATGCGAAGCGGGAAGACTTGCTCTGACTTGGAGTGGAGTCTGGGCGGAGAACACCAGAAAAATAATTCCTGAGGGTGTTCGAAAGAAAAAGGAATGAAAAGCTTTGGAAGCCCATTTTTGCTTATCGCGACTCGAAGATAAGTCTTTCAAGTTCGACATTGTCCAACTTGCACAGCTCCCTGAAAGCGTGATACGGTACCTCGAACAAGGGACAGTACCCAAGAGAAGCCATTTCTCCTACTGTAATACCCAAATCGAACCTACTGTACCTTTATGGTCCTGACACCATGGCGGGGGATCTCGAGGGTTCCACTCGAGAGTCGAGGGGGATTGGCTTTCAGGCTGAGGGCGTGGGCCCAAACGGGTTTGATCGCCTCGATCAGCCGCGATCAACAATTTCCAAGAAGCCTGGAAGCCAATTTCAGGCAATCAGGGGCAATCAGCTGATCGCCCCAACTCAATCAGACCCGATTTATACCCCGATCAGACTCGATTTTCCTCGATCACAGGCAATCAATTGATTGCTTGTGATCGGGACACCCAGCGATGCTTGCGAAGCGTTATACTGTTGCACTTACAGTGAAACGATGATTTTCGCGAGGTTAAGCCTGGTCGTCAATATCGCTAGAATGGTGTTGAAAATGCCGCGTAAATGTATCGCACTTGCTGAGCAGGCGCTGAAAATCTTCTCCGAAAATCATCTCTAATCGGGCGGCTCGGGCACTACGATCACAAGCAACCCGATCAGATCCGACCTGATCAGATCAGCCGCGATCAAACCCGTTTGGGCCCACGCCCTGAGCTCTCCCCGCAAGTCATCAATACGGTTCAGCGAACGAATGCCTTCAGTTCGTGTACAGTAGTGCTGTTCAAACAATCTGTACAGTAGCACTTTTTTAGGGGGCGCACACACACACACACACACACACACACACACACACACACACACACACACACACACCACACACACACACACACACACACACACACACACACACACACACACACACACACACACACACACACACACACACACACACACACACACACACACGCACACACGCACACACACACTGCATCAACCCCAAACAGCAGCTGAACAGAAATCGGCTGCCCTCAGACCTATCTTTACACCTCTCTTCAATCCTAGCAGTTGATAGAAAGGTTAATATACTCAAAAAGGAAAATGGAGAATCAGCAATCATAGTTTCACTATGTTCTAGTACTCGTACTATTTGCATCCTCTTCAAGGAATCGGCGAGAGATTGTTTCAAGAGCTTCAACTACCTTCTTAACATGCGCCACAACAGCGGAGTAGCATGTTCCATCACTCAATACCAAGTGGTAGCGTAGGGAGCAGGCACATGACAACTGGTGGTAGCAGGTGTTGGGACAGCCATTGGGACGGATCTCCAGCACTGATGCCTGTGCCGGCATGAAGACCATGTTTGCCAGCGCTGCACCATGGCCGCCTATGTACAGCCGTGCTCGGCGAAACAGGTCACGTGCTGATGGCGGGAACAAGAAACACAAACAAATCAAGTAGTGCAAAAGAACAAAGATTGGAGACTCAAGTGCAAGGCGTGTGGCTGCGAAAGCAACAATTCACGTCAGCAGAACAAAGAGCATGTGCTCCAAGGTGGTGCAGCGGTGACTATTCTCACCTTCCAGTATCCCCATGGACCCATTGAACATCACCACCCGGTCGGGAAATATCTTCCTGACGGCCGATTCCAGCTCAGCAAAGTTGATGATGGATCGCTTCCTGCCCGGGCGCTTTGCCAACACGACCAGCCAATCAGCGGGCAGGAGAGCCATCTGTGCGTCAGTGAGGGGCGGCAGATCGCGGTAGGTCCAGTCGGGGTTGAAGAGAGGCAGACCGTCGGGGTGGAGGAAATGGCGCGAGCGAATGGTGTGCCAGAGAGCCCTGCTGGGCGTGCCACACTGCTGGAACATGGGCTGATACCAGAGATAACGGACAGGGAAGCAGAGAGCAGGGAAGAAATGTGGGCTGTGCCACACTGCTGGAACATGGGCTGATGCGAGGGGGCACAGAGAGGGGCACAGAGAGGGGCACAGAGAGGGGCACGGATGCGGGTGGGATAGTAGGTGAGAGGAAGGCAAAAAGGGGCCAAGACTTGTACCATAAAAAATATAGACAAACAGGTGTGAGGGGTAAATATGCCCATTCAGGCATGGCCTCTGACCTGCTGCATCCACGCTGCATGGTAAATCTCCCCTGGGAACGTGGCGAGTGCTCTCATGCTCGCACGTGGAATGCCCGTGATTGCGGCTCCCACGAGATCATACTCCCTCCACTGATGCCACTCGCACCGCACAGATGCATGGCAAAAAAAGGGAAGGGGGGGGGAGGCAAGGCGAGAAGTAGAGAGGAAGAGAGGCGAAACACTGAGGGTTGTATGAAGGGAAACAATAAATTGGTGTAGGGGCGCAGTGGCAAAGGCCACAGATTTGTTGGGATGGACGAACAACAGGAGAATCACATGCACAGCAACCCACAGGCCCGTCATGGTCTGTTTCCCAGCCTCCCAGCTCCACACACTCTATCTCCCAGCTACACACACTCTATCTCCCAGCTACACACACTCTCTCTCCCAGCTACACACACTCTCTCTCCCAGCTACACACACTCTCTCTCCCAGCTACACACACTCTCTCTCCCAGCTACACACACTCTCTCTCCCAGCTACACACACTCTCTCTCCCAGCTACACACACACACACTCTGCTCTCAACCTCGGCGCACCTGCCCGCCTGTGGCGAGGATGGGGTACTTGCGGTACTTGTGGAAGAGGCGTGCAGCCACCACAAAGGCTGGCAGCGCCTCCGCAAGCACGTGGTAGAAGTTGCCACCCGACACGTACGCCCAGCTCCATGCTCCATGCAGCTCGTGCACCACTGCTGCTGGGGAGAAGGTGTACTGCGCGGTGGGGAGAGGGGCAGCCAGGTGAAAAGGGGTGGAAAAAGGTGAATGGGATGACCGGGTGGGGGAGAAGAAAGAACTGGATGGGAGTGTGGCGTACACGAGCTGGGGCATGCGGCACGGGTGAACGGACGGTAAGATGCTGTGGTACGGCTCGAATAGGATGGGCATTCGCGTGCGGGAGAAAGCAGTGAAAGGTATGGAGGAATGAATGGAGGGTGGGAGGGAGCAGGAAGCGAGAGGTGACTCACGGCTCACCTTGCCGATCTGATGGCAGCCGCCGCGCACAAACTGATGCGTGGCGTTAAACAGGAACCCGTCGTGCGTTATGTACACATCTGACAGCTGGAAGTTCTGCAGAGCCCACGGCATGCGCAACCCGTGATCCGCCCGGTGACTGCACGACTCGTCATACTCCCCTTCCTCGCCCCCCACATTTTCCTCCCCTGCTGCCCGGTTCGGGCAGTTCAGAGGAGCAGGAGTGAAAATCATCTCATGATCCACGAGCTCGCTATTCCAGCAGGCCCACACGTTGGGGCACAGGAGACCGTCCCTGCACCGGAGGAAGTGCGGGCAGGGATGGCCCATGCAGTTCAGCTTCGGTCCTTCAAGTGCGTTCTTCTGAAAGTAGTTGAGCCACACGGCCGTCTGCTCGTCGCTGCTGATGTGCATGCCCAGCGGCCGGCTCTTCAGCTTCACACGCTCCGGGTCGTTCCTGGGGGAGAATCACAGGAGAAAAGAGGATGGTAGGATCTGGAGATGGTGGAGAGTGTGTGGTGGTTGAAGGAACTAGCTGGGAAATAGTGCTAATTGATTCTCAAGTCTCTAATAACACTTGGCAGTTGCGGTTATACGTAGTGTGTCAAAAGAGGGTGCAGGCATCAAGGCATGACACGGATGACCACCTGAATTGTATGGGCACGTATGTGCCGACTTCTTTTGCGTTGTCAGGAGCGTGCGGAAACACATTCGGCACCTCCGGCAGCGCGCCGCTCACACTCGCGCCATTCCTGCTGCCAGCAACTCGCACTCGCGCCATCATCACCTCCTTGGGCCCGCCTGACGCGGACCCTTGTCCTGCCGCTGCTCGTCCCTCCTTCACCTGCACTGCCTCTCGCATAACGTCGCCTGCCGCGCCATAAGCAAGTAATGGTACGATTCGGTTTCAGTGATGGCTCGTGCTAGCTGATCATTGCGTGCGAGACAGGTCCACACGCGAGATCGCGAACGTATCAGTGGGCCGCGCTTGATTTTGAATTACAAGCTTGGTTGAATCTCTGTGCGTATAACGCCCCGCTAGGCCATTAAGCCAAAAGGGAAGCAGCGGTATCCTTTCAACCCTTCCGAGGTTGTGTAAACCCGCAGGCATCCAGTGCAGATACTACTGCATGCTGCCACGTGGCACACCGCGGCCATGGTCACTCACTCACCTGCGCTAACTGGCCGCACGACGCGGAAGGGGTACGCGGAGAGCACGAGGAGAAAAAGGCAACGAATACTCTTCACGGTCAGCGCAGCTCTGCGGGATTCCGCGGACACGAAGCACCGTTTGGTAGTGCCGCGGGGACTGGCGAGAGCGTATAGCACCATCGTTGGTGTCATCGAGAATGTGAGGAACGAATAGAATCAGTGAGGCTGCTGAAGCCAATTATGGGACAAGACTCAGCACCGCCGACTACTACGTGCTTCGCTCTATTGCTTTTCCTGGTCTTGATTGGCGCCGCGCCTCGTTGATTACGGCGTCGCCGATGATCTTTTGTACGAGGAGTTGTGGGAGAAAACGGAGGAAACGGAGCCCGTAGGACATGGATGCGCACGTCTGCGCACGCCACCCTAGTACCAAGAAAGCTTCTGTGTGGCTTTTTCATCATCGATTTGCCGCTGTACGACAGCATGGGGTCGCCTCGTACAGAGAGTTCAGCGGGAGTGCACTGATCAAACGTTTCTGTGGGGGTTTGGGAGAGACGCTGAGCAACGTCTGGCTGTCAGTGTCAACTGATCGCCGGCATGCCGAAACAAGATGACGTTGATAGCTTTTCGGGTCGTGATACCACGCCACGCCAAAAGAGCTCTTTTTTTTTTTTTTTTGGCTCGCGGTCAGCTGACGTGACGTGACGCCCCGTCGAGTTAACCTGACGGTCCGACTGATTGCCTGAAATGGATGCATCTGGAGGGGCCTACAGGCTTGGTGATAAGCTGTTGGGTTGGCGGCGAGTAGGTGATAATCTGTGGTGATAAGGGCACCAGAAATAATCTGTTACTGTACGCGCTCGTGTCAGACTGCGGGCGAATCGCTGTCGTAGACCCAAATTGTATCACATACCTCAGAGATATGGCAAGCCAATGCGAAGTCGGGTTGTACAACTTTTTGTACGCCCTCTGCGGTCAACTTCGTTCCATCGCGGTGCAAAACGGTAAATCTTGACAACCGCTTTGCACCGTGTGTAACCGTCCTGAGCCACGATGCAAGAACTGTGTATGTGTGAGATTTGTACGACGTGACGTCGCCCTAACAAATGGATGAGAAAGGGACATCGAGTGGGTGGCTGAAATTGCTATGTCGAGTGGGGTGTATAAGGGCGTGTCCAGCGCGTACGTTTTGGGAAATTTAGAGCCCTCACACGTCTCTTAGATCAGAAAAACTCATTGTACCTAGAAACGAACCCAGGGCGAGCTTAGTCCAAAACGCTTGTGCCTTCCAGCGCGCGGACACAACCCCCGCCACGTACTTTTCTACAGTGTTCCGAATGTGTGGAAACCAAGGTAACTAGCCCCACCGTCAATCCTCGCGTGGGAATCCTTGCGCAACCGAAAATTTTTCGTTTGAGCGAAAATTACTGTAGCGCGCAGGACACAATGCTGTACCCTTTTTCGCGCGCATGCTGTTTCGGGTGACGTGAGTCAGACGACTCGACGTACGTGCAGGGGACGTGCCGTCTCATGAACAAAAGCTGATCCTGTCCAGCCTTTCTGTAAAATGCAGTGTTACGACCCTGAATGTGGTAACTGATAGGGTTTATGAACTGTAAATGTACGCGCTGGACAACTCCTAATGCATGTCTTTGATGTTGGCACATGCCTTTGCGTGTGGGCATTTCTTACGCTGTCCAAACTGCCAAATGGCTGTACTTGGCCGATGTTTGCCAAGTGAAGAACTGGGGAACGACACACCGTTTAGTAACATTTTTAACCGTTTTAAAACACTTCTGGTGCTTGTGTGTATCCCTCAATTAGGAGGAGGTTTGATACGGTCAAGAACGTTACAAAAGCAGTTATCGACTTTTATCGCACCTCAGCATACGAGTGCGACTTAGCCTCGTGTTCGAATGCGACGTACCTTTTTGCCCGGGCGACCCGTGACTCAAGCTGCTGTATCTGTACAGTCCTATTCGTTTTAATTCCACCAATCAACAGTAATGATTGGGGTGAGCTGAGCTCACGCAACCACCCGAGCGACGCTGACCTGGCATCTTCCCTGGTTCGGGGCACAGGTATGGAGCTGACGTGGGCGTGTCTACCGCAAGAGGAAGATGGAACTGTACTGTTCAGTACTTCGCCGAGCCTGGGTGGTTGTCGTTTGATAGGTGAGCAGGTCCGCGCTTTTATACACACCCCACACGCGCCTTTGAACTTGACACGGCCAAGCTTGCGCCTTGGCGCGCTGGTTGGTTGTCTGCTGCAAGCAAGCACCCCGACCGCCACCCTCTGTCCACATTCGCCAGATCGAATTTCCAGGGAAGTCACACCTCGCACGGCAAAGACGTGCACCGAAGCAGCCCGTTCCAAGCCAAGGCCACCTGCTTCGGTCTTAGTCAGGTGGGGCTGTGAGTGCAGGTTAGTGGGGATCATAGGTCTGGTTTGGAAGTGTCAAACCTAGCCACTGGCCGTCGTGCCTGGCGTGATCCGTGACTGGTGACTTGGTGGTGGTGGCTCATTCCCAGTTTCAGCTTTCAATTTTCAAATCGAGGCTCTTGGGCTCTCGATCCGCTCTGCGCAACGCACCTCGTAATAGTTAGGGCGTGGAACATTTTTACGACCACGCCGATTTATCGACCGTATGGTTGGATCCGGCGAAAGCGAAGTGTGTAACAGAGTTACGAAGGGTGCGAAATTTCTAAGCCATACTGCTCGCCAGCACGCGGGGCACCCAATAGAAACCACCCCCACTAGGCAGAAACATACCGAAGGGGTGTGGGATATTGGGGAGGGCGGGAAATGCGTCGAATGTGAGGCAAACACAATAAGGGGTAAGTACTGAAAGTCAAGTAATGTACCCCTTTAAATAAATAAGTGTGAAGAGAAGCTCTAAATACTTTTGAGAGATCCCAATGATTTTCGGTAAATTCAGGGTAACTACTGTGCATGCCAGTCAATGGGGTTTCCTTAAAAATTTCGCAATCGCCAGAAACAACCATCGTTCCGACCATTTGGCGTGGTCGTAAAAATGTTCCACGCCCTTAGGTTCTTGACGCCTAATAGGCGCTTCTTCCTTATATTCAGAGGTTCTGTCTTGTGGAGGGTTAGTTCCTTTTTGTATCAAGAAAGACGCGTCCCAAATATTTTTTACGATTTGGTGTTCGCTATCACTACCATTACCAAGGGTCTCTCATGTAGGATGAGCTTTTGATATTTGAGCGAACTATCGCCGCGTAGTAGACAAGGTTGGGAGTTTCACCTTCGCGATATCTAGAGTCTGTGTGAACCGATTGTGACTGAAGCATTAACAGCGTCATGGCCGACAGTGCATTCGATCCAAGTGCAGCAGCAGCGAGGCAGCGTCGTATGGACCTTCGTCGCAAAAAGGCTACCACACCGAGGTAACAACACCCGTTATTTTGTGTTTAGTAAAATTGCTCGTACGGTTGTTAAGTCATGGCTCTGTTCTCGCTTTCGTTGTGGGGTGCCCTCGGAATTCTTGCCTCAACAGTCATCCTGCTTCACATTACGCCCTAGCGTTCAGATGTGGGGTGCGAATCACATTATGTAACGCTGGTTCTTCTGGCCTTGCTACATTCCATCTCATCGCAGTTTCATTTTTGCTGTTCTCCATCGTAAGAATTGGCCTAGTATTCCACGCTTTCTCTCGGTATGCTAGTTCCATCCTTACTCTTCATGTCTTTTTCTTTTCCCCTCTTATGTCCTCATTTCACCTCCCTTCGCATTGGGACTCGCTGCTTCCGCCATGGCCGGCAGCGGTCTGATCGTGTGTCGCAAGCACCTAGGCGTGGGTCTGCTCCCTCAGAAGCGCGACACGAGCGACGACTCCAGCACCAACTCGTCCCTCTCCTCCTTCCCTATCTCTCCCTCCTCCATCTCCCCTCCCCACTCTAACCCTAATTCCTCCTCCGATCCCATCACCGCCGCCGCCTACACCGCCCTCCGCACCAAGTTCCGCCGGAGCCAGTTCCGCCGCCCGCGCAAGGGCAAGGGGAACTCCGCCTCCGCCGAGGGCTCGTCCGGGTCGAAGTCTCCGCGAGGGGTGAATGGGCAAGAGGGGGACGGGGGAGGCGGGGGGGCGGAGGACGGGGGAGAGGACGAGGATTCGAGCAGCGATTTGTCATCGGAGACTAGTTCGAGCGGCACGACAAGCAGCGGCGAGGGGAACGACGCGGAGGTGGACGCTGCGCTCTCGGTCGCGGCGAGCCTGCTGCAGGAGGAGACGAAGCTTCAGAGTTTGGGGATGGATGGGGTTGCAGGGGCGGGCGGCGCGGCAGCGGACGCGACGGCGTTCGTGCCGCTGCCTCCGCGCGTCATTCCGCCGAGCACGTGCAGCGGGGAAAAGATCAAGGGCGCGCCGGCGGACGAATGTCCGGGGAACGGGGTGCTGTCGGTGTGCGGGCGGCGGCGGGAGATGGAGGACGCGGTGGCGATGGTCCCCGCGTTCGCGCTCGTGCCTTGCGCCAGCCGCGCGGGGTGCTCGCTCGCGGGGAGCGATTCGTGCGGAGGACAGGGCGCGGACGACCCGCAGTGCCAGCTGCACATGTTCGCCGTGTTCGACGGCCATGGCGGCAGCCAGGTGCGCTAGTCGTTACGCAGGGGAGGAGATACAGGGGGTTGGGGGAGAGACAGGAGAGGAAGGGGTGTGAGCGCATTTATGCGGGGGAAGTGTTCGCGCATGAGGGGTTTAGTGCTTGTTGCATTGTGTTCGGATGATCACGTATGCCTGCTGGAAGGGAAAATTGCATGTGTTGCTTGACCCAGTGTGCCCCCCACCTTCCCCCTCCCTTCTCCCCCCGTCCCCTTTCTCCCCTCCCTCTCTCCCCCCACTCAATTTCCCCTATTTGAATAAAAAAACCAGGCGGCCAATTTCCTGTCGGCGCACATGGCCACGGCTCTAGCGGAAGAGCTCTCTATCACACTATCAGGTATTGAGCCCCTTCCCCCCGTCACGCCCGACGCTGCTGCTGCTGCTGCTGCTGCTGCCGCCGCCACAGTCGCGCCGGCGGGCGCGGAGGGCGCGCAGAAGGTGGACCCGGTGCTGCACGCGCACTGGCAGCGCGCCATGGTGCAGTCGTTCGCGCGCATGGACGCGGAGATCAGCGGACACTGCTTCCTCCGCCGCTCCAACTGCCACGGCGCCTCTGGCAACGCGGGCGACGGGGGAACAGGCGCGGAGGGGGGCGGCGGAAGCGGAGGCATGGCCCCCGAGTGTGTGCATGAGCCATTGGCGGCGGAGACGGTGGGATCAACGTCTGTGGTGCTGGTGGTGACGGCTCACCACCTGGTGGTGGGCAACTGTGGCGACTCACGCGCAGTGCTGTGCAGGGGGGGCAAGGCCGTGCCTTTGTCCAAGGATCACAAGGTGAGAGGCAGGCACAGGGCGACGGGCGCTTGGAAAAGGGATGGAAGGGATTTGGGGGGGGGGGGAAGAGTAGGGGTGGGAGGGGGGGGGGGAAGGGGAGGTACGGAGTACTGTCACACATTTTTTATAGCATATTTTCATACGTTTCCTGCATGGACTTATCCCTGTGTGAACCACACATGTCACGAGTCCTGATCAGTATCCAGTTCCCATGCCTGTAACCATGATTGTAACTCCATTCTTCGTGCACTTCTTCCCCTTCTTTCCCCGCTATTCCCCGCTATTCCCCCTATTCCCCCTATTCCCCATGCCTGCTTTCCAGCCTGAGCGCGAGGATGAAATGAAGCGGGTGGAGAAGGCAGGTGGGCGAGTTATCTTCTGGAACGGCTACCGAGTGCTTGGAGTGCTGGCCATGTCACGCGCCATTGGTGAGTGCGACCTATGCTGGTGATCAAGTATGAGTTCTTGTTCTGTGCAGTTCAAGACATAGTTGCAAAATCCGCCAAAATGTATCAGACGGACACTCTAGGGAATCTGAGCTGCTCATGGACCTAGACACAAATTCAGGCACTGATTCAGGCACAGGCATGGTCCTACTTGCCAAATGGTGGCTCCACATCCATGTGCCCCTCGCCCCCGCCCTACCTCAACTCCTCCCCTTACCCATCCCCCAGGTGATCGCTATCTGAAGCCGTACGTGATACCAGAGCCCGAGGTGACCATCACAGAGCGCCATGCGGAGGACGAGCTTGTAGTGCTGGCATCAGATGGGCTCTGGGACGTTATCTCCAACGAGGCTGCTGTTGACATCGCCCGCCGCTGCCTCGCCCAACGCGGAGGCTCGGGAGGCACAGGGACGGCCGGAGCTGCTCCTGAGGCGCCTGCTGCTGGGGACGAGACGGCTGCTGCTGCTGCGGAGACTCTTGCTGCGGCAGGTGCCCAGGGGGAGGAGGAGATGACCCCGGCTGCTCTGGCTGCTGCTGTGCTGACGAAGCTGGCTCTGGTGCGCGGCAGTGGGGACAACATCAGTGTTGTGGTCGTGGATCTTAGGGGAACACGATGAACAAGAGGAGCAGAGGATGGTGAGATGTAGTGTGGCTCTTATGTAGCTGTTGGTGCTGGAATTCTCCTGTGACTTCTGCCAGAGATGTTGAAGTGCAACCTGGCTGGACCTGCTGCATTTTGCAAGATCGTTTGGGACTCCTGGTTTATGACATGACCTTAGGACTCGCTTGCTCCCAGCCATGAGGCCTGCAGCTTCCATTTCACTGTCTGCAGGTTCTGCCCGGCCTGCTGCTGCTTGCAAGTCACGCAAGACCCCTCTGACTTTCCACTGACAAAGCTTGTTATTTGGAGCCTGGGCCTTTAACAGTTTCTTAGGTGTTGTATGTACTATTGGTATCACAACCTCGCCTGTTCCATGTGGTAGCTTTCTTTTCCGAATTCTCCATGTAGTTATTTGTTCCCTTATCTATGAATGAAATCACTGCTAGTCTGCTAGAGTCTCATCGGAATGTGAGAAAGCTTCTTGCGTTGTTTGTGGACTGCCGAGAGTGGCTTGCATTCCTCCTCCTGTGGGTGCTGCCACTTTGGATGGTATTGCAGCGGGGTGTTCTCATGCTCTTGCTGGAATCAGAATTAAATACGGTTATCACTTCAGCTGAAAATAAATACATATATAGCTTAGCAGAAACCCTGAGTAAGTAGCCAAGTAATCAACAGACGCAATCATTAAGTAAGGGCCAACGAGAAATTGTATAAGGTCAGAGAGGAATGAGCGGACAGCCAGCAATGCAGCAAGGCGTCCTCAGAGTACCCCTGCTGCTGGGTCCTCGCTCATAGCAAATCGTGCTCATACCCTAGCCTCCCCAGAGACTGGAAGATCATCCCCCTCACTTGCACCTCTCTCCAGACTCTTCTCTGCCTGGTCCCTGTACATGTCCGCCTCCTTCTGAGCCACCTTCGCCCTGCGCCAGAAGTAAAACACGATGATTCCCACAAACAGCACCACCCCCACTGACAGCAGCGTCGCGCCAATCGCCACGTACGTAGTCACGTCATAATTGCCCTCCTCTGTGGTGGGTGCATCAGCCATCCACGAGGTGACATTGCTAGGTACACCAGATGCGGTGGAGGCTGGGGGAGAGGAGGCAGCGGAAGAGGAATCTGCAGCGTTGCTGGTGCTGCTGCCAGCAGAGGAGTCGGCAGGAGGCGATGACGAATCAGCTTCAGGAGGCGAAGGCTGGTTGCAGTCAGGGCAAGCCAGCACGGCTATCAGCTCAGTGGGGCTATTGAACGTCACGAACCCTGTGCTGGGCTGCATTGCTTGCAGCTTAGAGCCCGAAGGGGGGTTGGGATTGACAGCGGTGAAATTGGCGTAGCAGGTGGTCCACTGAGCCGTAGGTGCGGGGATACCAAACAGAGCCTTCTTCCTTTGATAAACGGTGCACCTATTGCACTCCCCCGGGTTCAGCTTCATCACAGGCTGGCATAAGTGGCGGGAGAACAGAGAGGGGGAAAGGAAATGGGTGAGGTCATGTGAATGTGACTGAAAAAAGGGAAGTGTGAGCGTGAGTGTGTGTGGGAAAGCAAGGCACTGGGAGGTGGGATTAGTGAAGGGGAACGATAGGTGTGAACGACACTGTGATGGTATAGACTCGGCGGAGGAGAATAGCAAGCGCGGGGCATTTTTCCGTTAGCGCTATTACTACACGACGAGTAAGAGTCGCGGAGACGCTGAAGAACCGTCAACGCGAGGCTGAATCCAGTTACGGCAAGCCACTCAACTCTGTCATAATGTCAGCACGTGGTCTTTTATGCCTGGTCAAGCCATCCCCCTCACCTGCCATGCCTCTTGACCGGTGTAGTTAACAGCGACGCCTTTCGTCGCAACGCCTGGCAGCGTAATCTTCACATTATCGTTAACACACTCCATGAACACCTCCACGCCCAACGCGTTCAGACCCAGAAAATCTCTTTCGAGCGTCACGCTCCTTATCGTCACGTCCGCAGATCTGACGACAAAGGCTGTGGCAACGAGGAACGGAAAAAAAGGAAAGAGCGGTGCGTTATGGCGGGAGAAAGAGGACCGCACAAAGGAGAGACTTTGGGGGACACAGCAAAATAATAGCCATGTCGAGGTCTCGAAAGTATACTGCCGCTCTGAGAAAGTGGTAGTTATTAGGGTACTTGTCTGACAGAAAATCAGTTGACTTTACTGTACAAACGATGGCACAAAATTGGCTAATGGCAACAAAGAGATGGATGGAGGTGACGAGAATGATGAAGGAAACTGGGCACTTCGTGTAGGGGGAGACTACTTACGATATGCCACCACCAGAAAGCAAAGGAGTAAACACCCTCTCGCAGAAATCTGTGGCGTCATCGTGGTACAACGTTCTTGGGAACTAAGGCCGGAAGTGGGTGGAGACACTGAAGTGCTGGAGAGGCTCAATGCTTATGATGATCGTATGTGCTTGCTGCGAACGCGAACACAGAATGAAAACGCCGAAGGACGCCCTCCTTGATGCCTGTTACGACAGGCAAGAATCTGAGCGGGAGCGAACTTGCTAGTTCTGGAGGGAGTGCGAAACTGAAGATGGGAAACGTAAACACAACAGCTGTGTACTACACGTGTAGTGCTAGACCGCTAGGGAAGAATACAAGTGATGGGAGGGAAGCGATGCATCAGGCAGTGGAACGTGTGAGCAAGAATTCAACCAACCAACGGCTACTATACGCCAACATCAACCCCACCCCATTCCCGGTTTTCCCTTGGCAGGAGCCGAGGTTCGGTTCGGCGCTCCCTAGACCACATGCAGGTGGTCCCTGGTGGTGCTTGGCTCTCGTTGACACGTCGCCGACGGAGTTGGTATGGATGATGAATCTGGTTGGGGAAATGGCTCGGCGAAAACTCAGCGCGGAATTTTGATAAGGCGGGAATTTGGGGGAAGAAAAAGCGTGACGCCGCTCTGGTGGCTTGGTCATTGCGGGTTGCTGCAGGCTGCTTTCTGCCTCGGTCTGTTCTGTACTGTACCTGACCGCCACTGACCGCCCAAGCGGAGTCGCACGCGGTTAGATTCACAATTTAATTGCCCGTCAGCGACGTTCGGTGACTCCTTAGTGGTCGCAAATAGAAAGCTCGCGATAAACTCGAATGGTGGGCGACGCAACGCTCACATCTTGTGGGTGGGTTTGTCGGTCACCGACAACCACAGCTTTCTAAATGCTTTGGACAATTTGTATAATCATGCAAGTACCACTACATTTCTTCATATATTCAAAATCTCCACTACAACCAGGGCACCACGGATGCTCACATTTGCTGCTATTCTCTACTAGGTACGGTACCAAACATGATGTCAAGTGGGGGGCATGTGAAACTGAACCAATATCTAGAATCCCTCAGATGGTGCTTGACATGAGCATTCTTGATGGAACGAGAAATCCACGAATGCATGGGCACGTGAGTGTGTACTCTGGCAAGCGTCCACAAACACCGTAAGCACAGGTGAAATGAGACCTCTTTAATTGATCGTGGAAGTTGACCAAGTCTACAACCATACAATGGAAAGAACATAAACCATGCATGAAATAGTAAATGCAGCTCTTACAGAAAGTGAGTCCACTCATATGTGATAGCCATAAGATAGTAGGCCATGAGGGCAGTCAGCGAAAGAGTCGATGCCTGACAAAGATGGTGAAAACGGGACAGATGAAAAGAGCAGCAGGATCGGCTGAGGAGATGCAGAAGATGGGCTTGATGCACGCAGGAACATGAAACACGCAGGAACGCAAACACACAAATTTATGCACACAACAAGCACCACCTGTAAACTGCCATCTTCAGTGTCAATGCTCACCCCGAAAATTAGGCGAGACACAATGGCAGCACCCACAATCACTGGGACAACCACATCTGGCTTGTCAACCGACACATGATGGTACGGCCGCCTGTGATGCTTCGCATGAATGGACCGGCCCCACCTGCCCATTCAGAAAAACAAGGTTGAGATTTACCTCCGCCTATGCAGTCAGATGTGAGAAGCTTTCAGGCGCTTTCAGGTGGTAACAGATGGTGCCAGCATGCAGTCACTGCAGGTGGAAGGCCTGTGAGATGGCGATCGCGATCATACCAGGGGAAGGAGCTGTGTAGCAATTTCGCATGAAGCACCCACTCCTGCAGGAGCCACCAACACACGGCTGCTGTAGCGACTGCAGATTCACCACACAAAGAATGACGAAGATGAGTACTAGATCGGAGAATAGGCTGGATGGGAGAGGAAGCGAGAGAGAGAGGGGGAGAGAGGGAGAGAAGGGGAGTACAGGGAGATGGAGAGAGAGAACAAACAGAAGCAAGTATGTAAGGGGGAGCACCATACCAGCAGTATCTTGGACCCCCCAGTGAGGGTGCGTGGCTCGCAAGCAGGTGGCAGATAGCGTGGCAGCTATGCCTAGCAGCACTCCCGGTTGCCTCAAGAAGCATGTCACGGCTTGCACCATGGTTCTAGGCACCTCCTCCTCTGCCTCTACCTCCTCCTGTACCTGCTGCTGCACCTCCTGCTTCTTCCCATACTTCAGAATAGGTTTCCACCATCCCTCCTCCCGCCCTTCCTCCCCAGCCTCTTGCCAATCCTCCTGCCGAACCTCATGAACCTCTGCACGTCCGTCCTGCTTCACAGGCTGAGCGCCAGTGTGTCTTCCCAACCATCTTGGCGCCTTTCCCGCTCCCTCCCCGCCTCCCTGGACACTCTGCGCGGTTCCCCTCACTGCCTGTGCGCCCTCCCCCCATTGCGCCTCACTTGCGCCCATCCCCGTGGCCCCAGAGCCAAAGACAGCAAGCCTTGGTCGTGGATGCGAAGGGATGGATGGGATTCGGATTCGGCCTTTATGTAGGAATGGCAGTCTTGTGACAAGAGCAGGGGAGGAGGTTACCCCGCTGGTGGAAGGAGGAGGAGTGACGGGCCAAGAATACATCGCGAGCTAACACAGAGGTGACGACGCTCGATTACGTCACACGGGTAGTCACACGTCTCTCTGCTGTCACTGCTTCGGCTGCCAACGTTCCCCTGGTCGTTTCGCTCGATACCGTCGTCACTGCACCAGGTTGCGACAAGGCTAGACCAGTCGGTTGGTGTATGAAACTGACGGCTGAAGACTGAGCGGTTAAAACGAGACGACGGGGACGAAAACAACGCGACAAGACTGGGGGAGATCGAATCCATCCCAACCGTCCATTTCATCATCCTGACGAACCGCCTGAAACCAGGTTAAGGAGGCGGATGGCGGCTCGACCAGACGATCTCGATGCGACACGTTTGGCCTAGCGCCAGCTTTGACAGCTTCAAAGTTGGGTGGTGGCGGACACATGGTGGACGGGACGGCTAGTGAACGATTTGCCCGATGTTCTTCTGCTTGCGTTCACGCAAAGACGGCCGCGCCACGATGTTCAGAAGCACCTGGCTCGTGCTAGGAGAAGGCGGAGATCCCCGTTTGTGGGCTGACACGATGACCCAGATAATAAAGCTGTGATAGGGTAAACAGATATGAGTGGTGAGTGGACTTTGGTTTGGTTGGGGGGTTGGGCCACCTCTACGGAAGCCATCTTTATCTAGACTTCTAATCTTGCTGAAATGAACTGCTACGGAAAATAACCTCATATTGATACCCAGCACATGGATATATGCAGTAGCATACTGAATGAAAGTCAGCGCCTCGCCTAGTTTCACTTTTCTTGATCAGGCAATTATATAGAATCGGCCTCTAGACATGCTGTTCACTAGAAGCCTTGTCTCCTGTCCTTAATCCCAACATTGCAGTGACCTCTCCACAAACACTCTCGTGCAGCTGCAATTGCAGCTGCCACAGCCACTACTGCTGCCGCTTGGCCTTATGTTGAGCAAGGAAGGCATCTATCCGGGCCTTGAGCTCTGTGTTGGGCACTAGCATCTCTGCTGTCAGATGTGCACGGGTGAACGGGTCCTTCTGTTGGCGCCGCACAAGGACGGGTGAGGGCAGGGGATGGGAATAGCAGGGCGGGAAGAAGCAGGGGACTGTGAGTGAGTAACAGTGCAGAGGGCACATGAGTGTGAGAATGGAGATTGTGGAGAATGATGAGATGAGTAACGGTGGTGGCAAGGCAGGCAGATAAGTGAGGCGAATGTAGAGGCGAATGCAGGAGCACGCACGGGGTCGCTGAGCAGGTGTCTGAGGATGACGGGGCGGTCCACCACATTGCCTGATGGCAGCGTCACAGGGTCACGCATCAACGTGCACTGCCACACACAGGGGAGGGGAGCAGCAGAAAGTGTAGCAGTGAGGGGGCGGGAGGAGAGGATGGTGGGAACAAGCATCGTGCTATGCTACGCGATGGAAGCGGTGTGGCAGCACAGGGGAGGACACACGGCATGGAGTGCGAAGGGCTAGAGAGAAAAGAAGCAAAGGGGCTTCCGCGCAGAGCAACAGAGAAGAACAAAGTAGGGCAGACAGAGCATGGCACCGCACAGCACAGCACAGCACAGCACAGCACGGCACGGCACGGCACGGCACGGCAGAGCAAATCAAAGAACACGCAAGGACGGGGTATAGAGCCGGGCACACACCTGGATGGGGTCGAGGAATTCGCTGGGGATGTCGTCGAGCTGTGTCTCTATATCCATGGCCTCCGCTGCTGCCGCCCTGGCATGCGCTGCCAGCTCCATGAACTGCTGTACCACGTCCCCTGGCAGCAGCCCGTGCATGCCTATCACCGATGCCGCCTCGGGAAATGCCTGGTGGGGGGAGGTCGAGGGAGGGATGGGAGAGCGGAGGGAGAGGAGAGGGTGGGGGCGAGGGGGGATTAGGAGAGGTCAGAAGAGGGGAGCGGAGGTAAGCAAGGGAAGATGGTGCAGAATGGAACCATGAACTGCTGTACCACGTCCCCTGGCAGCAGCCCGTGCATGCCTATCACCGATGCCGTTTCTAGGAATGCCTGGTGAGGGGAGGTGAGGGGAGGGGAGAGAGAGGGGAGGGTAGAGGAGAGTTGAGGAGAGAATGGGAGAGGGGAGCTGTGGTAATTAAGGAAAGGTGGCATGCAATGAAACCATGGGGAAAGAGCAGACAGGGTACTGCATGGCTAGATAAATTTCGTGCCTACCCTCCACATGCTACCCCATCACCAATACCCCCTACCACCATCCCACCCCATTCCCATCCCCCAACCCCCCGTTTCATTATGCAGGCAGCGCACCTCCTCTCTGTAGGAGCGGCCATCGGCAGAGACGGCCTCTGCAAAGCGGTGGTCTGTGTCATGCTTCGCCAGGTTGGCGTATATGTTCACGATCTGCGGGGAGGGGGGGGACAGAGGGGGAGGGAGGGGGAGGGAGGGGGAGGGATGGGGAGGGATGGGGAGGGATGGGGAGGGATGGGGGAGGGATAAGGGAGGGATAAGGGAGGGATGGGGGAGAAGAGGGGAGGAGGAGGGCAGGGACGAGAGAGAGAAGAAAGGGAAAGAGACGGTGTTGAAGGGAGAAATGCATACGAGGTGAAACACTCCGTGCATGGTCTGCATTGCAAGGCTGCCTCACCTGCGACCACAGCACAGCGGCTCACCTGCCACATACAGCAGCTTGGCTGACCTGTGAGAGCAGCTTCTTGGGGTGGAACTCGTACTTCTCCGGGTTGCTCACTCTCAGCGCCTTGCGCTTGGGCCCCACCAGCTGCAGCAGGAAATAGTTTAGCATGGACGCCACTCGCTCCACCTGCCAGCAGCAGCAGCAGCAGCAGCACCATCACCACCATCACCACCATCACCAGCAGCACCACCAACAGCATGATCATGCGCATGGCAGTGGGAATGCCACAGCAGCAGTGAGGAATGCCGGGTGCGGGCGGGGTGTGGGGTGACACGTGGCAGTGGCTCGAAGTTGATAAAACATACGAGGAATGGATAAGTGTGACTGCACGAGGAGATTTACAGGGGCCATAACACACAGGTGTGTGTGTGCATGCATTCGCACGCACATGTCCACGGGGGCGAGCAAGCGCGCGCGGGCATGTGTGTGTCAGCATGGCATACACAAGCGACCAAGCAAGCAGCAGCGCACCATCTCGGGCAGCAGGAAGGGCTTGACGATCTCCGTGGTGGAGTACTGGATCATGCGCACATTCGCATTCGCCAGCTGCAGGTCCGACCGCACTATCTGCTCATGCACACACACACACACAAAGGGGTATGCGGGCATGCAGAGCGCGTGCATAGGTAGACGGGCGTGTCATGGCATGAAAATGGTGCGGAATGTGCTGATGATGTCCCATGCCCTGGAAGAGTCATGACAGAGTAGGGCCAAGGGCATTGGATGTAGCAATGCAACGGATGGAATGGAACGAGAACACTTGGACGGAAGGCAATGCAGCTTACCACACCCACCCATGCACCCTTTGACCCATGCACCCTTTGACCCATGCAGCTAACCCAGGCAAGCACGCATAGAAAAACCCATCAATCCAACTCCTTCCCAAACGCCTAACCCCATGAATTCCCCCAACCCACCGCCCAGCCCCGGCCCGCAGTCAGTGGGTACGAACCCCCAGAAGAACCCACCGACTGGTCGCGCTGGTAGTCCTGTTCGCGCGTCTGGCGCTCTTCCGCGGGCAGCTGCAGCCAGTGGTCCTTGTCCGCCATGGCCGCCTCCTCCTCCTTGAGGCGCGGTATCTTCTCCAGGGCTTCGTCTAGGAGGTAGATGCTGTCGTTGATGAGCAGACTCACGTACCGCAGGTAGAAGCCACTGCACTCCTCCACTGACATCTGTGGAGGAAGCGGGGGGAGGGGAGGGGTGCGGAAGAGGGGCGTGTTTTGAGTTGACTCGAAATGCATCTTCTCCAGGGCCTAGTCCAGCAGGTAGATGCTGCCGTTGATCAGCAGACTCACGTACCGCAGGTAGAAGCCACTGCACTCCTCCACTGACATCTGAGAGGGAGGAGGGAGTGGGGTGGGGAGGCAGGAGGAGAGGGGAAAGGAGGGGAGGGGAGGGGTTGACGTAGTGGGGAGGAAAGGCAGGAGAAGATGATTCTGGGTGCAGAGTACGGCGGGGGAAGTGGGAAGGGAGGGATAAAAGGAGAGTAATGGGACGAAGAGGGGAGGGAAGCAGGATGGTGTCCAGGTGAGACAAGAGACGAAAGGCATGAACGGTAACGAGCTGTAGTGTTACCAGGGCAGGGAGCAGGGAGCAGCAGGAGGAATTGCTCACATGGATCCAAGCAGCGCGGTGGCTGGGCACGTCCCACAGGTACTCCAGCAGGTCGGCGATCTCAAACCGCGTGTTGAACTTCTCGTAGAACTGCACACGTGTGAGATCGGTGTTGAAAGGTGGTGAGAAGTGGTGAGAGGTGCAACCACAGGGAAGAGGGGTGATGTATGTGTGTGAAGGCCGGTAGAGAAGTGCAGTGGCTGAGAAAGGAAGTGGACGAACTGTGACCCTGTCAGATGCTATACCAGCAACACAACAGCACGCTCGTGCATATTAACCTTTCCTCCTCCCACCGCTCCCGCTCAAGTTATATATCTTCCACCCCCACTCCATCCCCCGTTTCCCTCCACCCTTACCCTCCACCCCTCCCCTGCCCATTTCCCCTGCCCACTTCTGATCCACCCTTGCCCTCCCCTCTCCCTTCCCCGCTTTGCACCTTCCCCCTTCCCCTTCCCGTTCCCCCTTCGCCATTCCCCTCCTCCATCTCCTGCCCTTCCCCTCCGCCGGTGCACGAACCGCGTTGTGGCTGCCGGTGAACTCGACATCGACGTAGAGCTTGATGAGGTTGGGCGTGAGGTGCCGCATGGCCAGGGGGTGCCCCTCAAACAGCGACGCCATGGACGCTGCCACCGTGGGCGTCGGACTGCACAGTTGCGGCGGGTAGGGGGGAGATGGGTGAAAAGAGAGTGGGGAAAGGGGGAGCGGGTGGTGGAAGGAGGGGGTCACCAGAGTGGCAGGGAGGGGCGTGGGTGGTGGGGTGAAAAGAGGAACCAGAGTGGTAAACAAGTGGTGGAATGGACTGTGGAATGGAGAGGCATTGGGCAAGTGCCAGGCGGCAAAGTGAGATGCAAACTCTGAATGGAACAGTACTGATAAGGTGCATGCTTGTGTGCACGTGTGATGCGTGTGCTGTAGGAATAATTTAAGCCCTCTCAGGCCGAGAAATAATGTGATAGCACAGAGGAGCACAGAAGAGCAGCGAGGAGCAGAGAGGAGCAGCAAGGAGCGGTGAGGAGTGCACCTGTGCAAGGGCATCCAGTGCTGCAGCACTTTGACCATCTTGGCGCGCAGGTAGGGGTTCTTGATGTAGAGCGGCGACCCCATGAACATCACTATGAAACTCATAAACTCGTCCTGCTCCTCATGCCCCCCGTGCACGCGTGGAGCGACGGCCAGAAGGGAGTATGGGGAAGCGGGAGCGATGGGGGAATGGGGAAGTGAGGAACGGAGAAGGGGGGTGCGGGAACGGGGAAGGGAGAGGCAGGAACGGGGAAGGGGGAAGCAGGGAAAGGGGAAGGGGGGAGGCGGGAATGGGGAAGTGCGATGTAGGAGAAGGGGAAGCAGGGGTGGAGGAGGCACAAGAGGATGAGTGATCGGTTGGAAGTGGCATAAGCCATCACGTACTCAGCTTTTGAGACGTCTCACAAGCTTCTGAAACCCCTTTCAGGTGAACAGGAAGTCAGTTCAGCCAAAGTGCATGCTGCTCAGTGAACTGCGGCACAACACTCCACCGCCCATGCAAGAAACACACATGGATGCACCGCACTGCAAGACACATGCCGCTGCTGCGCACTCAAACCCCTCCCATGCAGACTCCCCTCCCCACCGATCCGACCAATCACACGCACGCACGCGCAACCAATCAAAATCCCATCCCCTGTCATGCACACGCACGAGTCTGACGCCGTCAAAGGCATGGGGGATGCGCGAGGCGAGCAGCAGTGTCTCAATGGCGTCGTCCACAAAGTGCTCGGGCATGGACGCCCAGTCCTTGGGTGCGGGCGCAGGCAGCGGCAGGTGGAATCCCCCCACAAAGCGCACCAGCCACACCACCATCAGGTGGTAGAACCGCACTGCCTCCTGTAGAACCTCCGGGTCCTGGTGGGTACGTGGGGATGGGATGGAATGGGATGGAATGGGATGGGAAGTGATGAGAGGCGACCTTTGGTTCAACTCGAAACCCACACCACCATCAGGTGGTAGAACCGCACTGCCTCCTGCAGTACCTCGGGGTCCTGGTGGGTGGGGACGGGTGGGGTGCGGTGGGATGGGATGAGAGGTGACTTTTGGGTTGACGAAACCACCATGAGGTGGTGGAGCCGCAATGCCTCCTGCAGGGTCCTGATGGGTGCGGTAGGGTGGGGTGGGATGGGAGGAAAACACGGGCAAGAGGAGAGGCAGCAGCGCAGCGGAGCACGTGAGATTGAGTCCACAGCAAAGCAATGACAAAGGGCAAAGCAAAGTCGACTGACTAGCAGAGCAGAGAGAGGGGGGAGCATATTGGCGGTGAGCTGACCTGCAGGGCGGCCTCGTAGCAGAGCGTGTACTCCTTGACCTGGTCCACGCGCGCCTGGTGCTGTGCTATGCGCTCCTCCAGATCCGCCGGCTCACCTGGCCCCCTCATTGCCTCCAACACCCGCAGAGCCTCCCGGTCGTCCCTGCCCATTCTCTGCCACCATCACCAGGCAGCGCATGCACGCAGCACATACAGGCAGCACATACAGGCAGCACATACAGGCAGCGCATGCATGCAGCACATACAGGCAGCACATACAGGCAGCGCATGCACGCAGCACATACAGGCAGCACATACAGGCAGCACATACAGGCAGCGCATGCACGCAGCACATACAGGCAGCACATACAGGCAGCGCATGCACGCAGCACATACAGGCAGCACATACAGGCAGCACATACAGGCAGCACATACAGGCAGCACATACAGGCAGCACATACAGGCAGCACATACACCACATGCATCCACAGTCGCAAGAAGGGAGAGGAGAAAATGAATAGCACATCCCCCTCAGAACTCCATGGAGACTCCATGCCCCTATGACAGAGTAGGCCCACAGATGCCCACAGATTGTACGCCGGTTTACAAATAACCAGCATACCAATCCTCCCCTTTCTGTTCTCCCTGCAGTGCACCTGGTGAATGTGAGTGAGGTCCTGGAAGACACGCAGAAGGCCCAGGTTGAGCACACGCGCTGTCATGAAGAAACACTCGCAGATGAACCCAAACCGCTCGCCTCCCCCCCCACTGCCACCAGCGCCGCTGCCGCCGCCGCTGCCAGCACCAGCAGCCCTGTCCTTCACTGGAGACGCTGCAGATGCACCCGCGCCAGCCCCTGCACCGCTCTGCACCGGCCCGGCTACCGCCGCACCCCCTCCAGGGGACCCCCCTTGTGCTGGTCCAGCCCCTGCAGCGCGCGCCTGCATGCGCTGCAGCTCCTCCTGCTCCCTGTGGCGCTGCGCCTGCAGAAAGGACTGCTGGCGGGCTAGATTGCGCTGGTCCACCCACGATGCCACCTCGTCCGATGTCGCATGGATAGCCGTCAGCTTGCTGGAGGGAGGCGTGGGGGGTTGTGCGGGGTAGAGGGGATGGGAGGTCGGAAAGTGCAGAGGAGGGAATGAGCGTACAGTGCATGGTATGGGGTGGAGGGCAGGGCGGCGAGGGCCGAAGGGAGAAGGGATACGGGAAAAGGAGGAGTAGGGAGTGGGGAGTGGGGAGGACGCAGAGAGAACAGCAAAAGCAGCAAGACTATACAGCAGAAAAGGGAACTCCAAAGTCGAGGTGGCAGGAGGGGAGGGCAGGGCAGGGCACAGACCTGAAGTCCAATCGGCCTGAGCTCTGCAGCACGTATGCAGGGTCGATGCGGTCAGCCTTGGAGCAGGAGGGGTCGAGGAAGGGCTCGCACAGCTTCAGCAGCAGCGAGCCCAGGTTCAGAAACATGCCGTGACTCGCCATGCTCGCCCTGTCAATCTGGGGGTTTAGATGGGAAAATGAGGAGGAAATGAGGAGCCTTACAAATGGTCTTTCGCGAGGCGGAAAACAGAAACAAAACAATAAAAGGAAAGTGAAGAGGGAAACAAGAACAGCAGCTAGCCCAGGTTCAGAAACGCATCATTTTAACGATGTCACTTTGGGGGTGTGGGTGCGGAAAGGAGAGAGGGATAAGGGAGGGGGTTTGAGAAAAAGGGCATGGGAGCGAGCAGAAAGCAGAAGCTTAAGGAGAGTTGGCACAAACAGCTATGGCTTGCCCTGAAACAATCCCCATCTTTTCTCCTCGCACAACCAACTCCTTTCAGCCCCTCCCTCACTCCACCCGACCCACCAACTCCCCCCCACCCCTCTTCCCCTCCTCCCCCCCTCCCAGCCCCCCTGTCCCTCCAAAGCAGCCGTGGGGTGTTTGTGACCTGCAGGGCAGCGCGGTTGGCGTTAGTGCGGATGAGAGCAGCGAGGTACTCGAGGACTTTGTCGCGCGTGAGCGGGGCCTTGAGCAGCACGCGCAGCACCTCCTGCAGCCCCGACAGCAGCTGCCGCGACGCCGACCGCACCGCCACGAAGGAGGAACTCAGCTCCGCCTTGCGCCGCTCTGACGGCTTGGAGAACAGCTGCTGGCTGTGCACAGAACGCACGGGGGAGAGAGGGGTGGGAAGGGGAGTGGCAGCGGAGGGGAGGGAGGGAGGGAGGGGGGAGAGGCTGGGGCACTGGATCCTGGGAGTAAAGGCGTACATGGCAAAACATGGAGCAGCATGGCACGGCACTTCACTTCACACAGGCGGTCACAAGCATGTGCACATTCGTGCTTGCGTGCGTGTGTGGCATGGCATGGCAGGCAGGGGCGGTCACCTGGGGTCGGGCACGCCGTTGCGCAGCACAGGGTCGGGGATGATGCTGATGTGCAGGAAGGGCCCCAGCAGGCTGCTGCGCTCCAGCACTCGCCCCACCGTGGTGGCGGGGTTGAAGCTCGGGTGCTGCACGAAGCACCGCGCTAATGCCGGGAAGGACAGCAGCCATGTGAGCGCTGAGAGTGGGCCCTGGAAGGGGCCTAGGAGGGAGATTGGGAGTACCCGGCTTGATATGTCCTGGGAGGGAGGGAGGGAGGGAGGGAGGGAGGGAGGGAGGGAGGGAGGGAAAGGGAGAGCAAGAGAGTAGGCACACAGGGGGGCTGGAATATGGGAATAGGGATGTTGATGAGTAACCAACACAAGGACATGAAATGAGACAAACGCACAGCCTGCACCACTGCTTTCTCTCCCCCATCCTCCCCCTTCCCCCCCACCCATCCCCGACCCAACAATCACCCCGTTCCCCCTTTCCCTCCTTCCCCCCTCATCTCCCGTTCCCATCCTCCATTCCCCCCCGTCCCCCCATCGTACAGTGAAAACAGGCTGCATGATCGCATCCAGCTCCTCCCCTTCGAACCGCTGCACCAGGTGCGCCAGGAACCCCACGGGGAGCCTGCTCCCCGGGGCCTCCCCCACGCTCACGCCCACGCCCATGCCCCCCGCGCCCCCCGCGGCAGCGAGCAGCAGCGCGGGCGGCTCCCCCGCAATGAAGTCCGTGAGCGGGGACGAGCGCCCGTGCGAGCGCGGACGCGCGGGCGAGGGGAACATGTCCGGGTGTTGCAGGGAGAGGCCCGCGTAGGAGATCAGCAGGTCCTTGGCGCACTGCGCGGCAGGGCGAGAGGGAGGGATGGAGGGAGGGAGGGAGGGAGGGATGGAGGGAGTAGGGAGGAGGGAGGGAAATGGCGAGGGGAGGGGAGGGGGAAAAGGAGGGGTTCGACCCAAAATTGGTAGTTGGCAGTTAGGCGAACGTGGTAAAATGGTTAGACCCAAAGAGCAAGCAGCAAGCAGCAGCGAGCAGCAGCGAGACCGCGCACCTCGAGGGCCTGCAGCACCATCTTGAGCTTCTCCGGGTCTTTCATATTCGCCACCTTGCGCCCCTCCTCCACCGCGCGCCCATAGCTCCCCACTGCGTACTCCAGCGGACTCTCCCCGCCCGCGCCCTGCGCTCCCCCGCCCGCCGCCCCCGCGTCCTCCGGCGCCATGCTCAGGCGGTCCATAAGCGCTCTCTCCAGCACGTCGCAATTAAGGAGCATCGCCTTGTTCTCGCTTAGCAGCTCCGCCGCTAATTGCTCGAGATAAACGATCCCGCTCGTTGCGCCTTTTCCGCCTTGGGATTGCGCGTCGGCGGGGGGATCCGGCGGAGAGCCTATGGCCATGCGCAGCACGCGCTTGAGGATTTCGTCCACCACCTGCTCGCGCGTGCGCGGAGTGCGCGCGGGTTGCTTCCCCGCGTCCGCCATCGAGCTGCGGGGACGGGGGAAGCGGAACGAGAGGATGCTGGATTGATGCGTGCGACAGAGAGGATTTGAGCGGCATCCTACGTCAGCGGAAAAACTTCACAAATTCTATATTCATGAATATGTATGGCGTCACTAACATATCCAGCTTAATTCGCCAAGGCCAACGATTCTGCACTTTAATTTCATTGACCAGACGTACCAGTATAAGAAGCTAGTTGACTGTTAGTGTTATCGGATCAACGGAACGCATTCAGAATTCCGTTCGCCCGCGCGAATTCGCGACTGGACGGATTGTCGGCGCCGATTGAGTCGTCCGCGTCGCCGGCGTTCGCCCTTGTCGACGCGTTAAACCGTTAATCCACAACGGCCAAGAGCGACACGCGAGAGGATAGAAGCCACGCTACCTCAATCCTTCGACTGCGCCTGGTAGCTCGCCTACAGCAATAGATTATAGAAGGAAATGATGCCTTCCGAAGATGATAGCTTCCATCATCGAAATTAGGTCATACGCGTACCAGTATCACACGATCGAAAACCTACAGGGTGCAATCATGTATTGGTGCATATTCACTTACATGTGCATAATATTGCTGAAATTGATTCCTCTACATTAGAATAGCAAGTGCTTGCAAAAGATACTAGTCATGGAGCTGTAGCATAGCTGTATGGCAATTGCACGGATATCAGGGTAAATGAAAATGTCCTATACCGAGCTGTAGCTTACGTAAGAGGCGAATTTTCGAAGTAGAATCATACACAAATGTACCGCTATGCCAACTATATGAAAGGAATGGGTAGCTCTATGATTGATCCCAGAATGGTAACAGAAGTACGTCATGTGATTAAACTCAAACGAGCAAGCAACATGCGCTGAACCTCATCCCCTCCAGCCCTCTACGGTTGTTTTCCCTACCCATGAAATCTTCCTAGGAAAGACCATGCATGCACGTCTCTTCCACACCCTAGTTGTCCCTCCCCATGTAGTCTTCCTTGCACTCTTCCTTGCCTTCCATCATGCTCCAGTTACCTCCAGCAATTGCCAGCCTGCAGATGGGGTGATGTCATGCTACACCATGCCATCACCATGCCACACCGTGCCATCGCCATGCCATGCCATGACATACCAGAGCATGGCATGCACAAATTGCCATCGCTATGCCACACCATGCCATACCACACCATGCCATGCCACACCATGCCATGCCACACCATGACATACCAAGGCATGGCATAACACACTAAGGCGCACCACACCATTCCACCAAAGGCACACACCAAACAATGGCAAGCCACTACAGCATGCCATGCCATGGCATGCCAAACCATGCAATGGCACAACATAGCATCCCAAAACTGGGATATCCCAAACCATGGCATGGCACAGACACTACGGCATGCAACATCATGACATGCCACACAGCAACATACCACAAACTATTGTAACACACTGTAACATATCGCATAGTAGTAACACACCATACAGTCACATGCCACATACCACACAATAACATGCCACACACTACTAACAAAGCAACACACCATACAGTAACATATCACACAGAAACATACTATACACTATCATACAACACAGTAACATATCACATAATAAAACAGCATACAGTCACATGCCACACTAACATACCCTACAATAACTTACCACGTAGTAACACACCTACAGTCACTTGTCACATAGTAACATGCCACACAGTGGCATATCAAACAGAAACATACCATACACTCATACACACAGTAACACATTACATACTAACACAGCATACAGTCACTCGCCACAAGTAACATGCCACACAGTAACATGCCACACAGTAACATATCACATAGCAACATACCACACACTAACATGCCAAACATACCACACAGAAACAAACAACACACTTTCATACCACATAATAACATAACACATTTCACATAGTAACACACCTACAGTCACATACCACATAGTAACATACCACACACTAACATGCCAAACATACCACACAGAAACGTAAAACACACTATCATACAACACAATAACAAATCACTTTGTAACACACCAACAGTCACATGTCACATAATAGCATACCACACAGTAACATACTACACAGTAATATGCCACACAGTAACATACCAGTAGCATACCACACAGTCAAATATCACATAGTACCACACCATAAAATAACATGCCACACAGTAACATACCACACCGAAAGATATCACATAGTAACACACCATACAATAACATACCACACAGTACCACACTACACAATAACACACTACACAGTAACACACCACACAGTAACACACTACACAGTAACACACTACACAGTAACACACCACACAGTAACACACTACACAGTAACACACTACACAGTAACACACTACACAGTAACATGCCACACAGTAACACACCACACAGTAACATGCCACACAGTAACACACCACACAGTAACATGCCACACAGTAACACACCACACAGTAACATGCCACACAGTAACACACCACACAGTAACATGCCACACAGTAACACACCACACAGTAACATGCCACACAGTAACACACCACACAGTAACATGCCACACAGTAACACACCACACAGTAACATGCCACACAGTAACACACCACACAGTAACATGCCACACAGTAACACACCACACAGTAACATGCCACACAGTAACACACCACACAGTAACATGCCACACAGTAACACACCACACAGTAACATGCCACACAGTAACACACCACACAGTAACATGCCACACAGTAACACACCACACAGTAACATGCCACACAGTAACACACCACACAGTAACATGCCACACAGTAACACACCACACAGTAACATGCCACACAGTAACACACCACACAGTAACATGCCACACAGTAACACACCACACAGTAACATGCCACACAGTAACACACCACACAGTAACATGCCACACAGTAACACACCACACAGTAACATGCCACACAGTAACACACCACACAGTAACATGCCACACAGTAACACACCACACAGTAACATGCCACACAGTAACACACCACACAGTAACATGCCACACAGTAACACACCACACAGTAACATGCCACACAGTAACACACCACACAGTAACATGCCACACAGTAACACACCACACAGTAACATGCCACACAGTAACACACCACACAGTAACATGCCACACAGTAACACACCACACAGTAACATGCCACACAGTAACACACCACACAGTAACATGCCACACAGTAACACACCACACAGTAACATGCCACACAGTAACACACCACACAGTAACATGCCACACAGTAACACACCACACAGTAACATGCCACACAGTAACACACCACACAGTAACATGCCACACAGTAACACACCACACAGTAACATGCCACACAGTAACACACCACACAGTAACATGCCACACAGTAACACACCACACAGTAACATGCCACACAGTAACACACCACACAGTAACATGCCACACAGTAACACACCACACAGTAACATGCCACACAGTAACATGCCACACAGTAACACACCACACAGTAACATGCCACACAGTAACACACCACACAGTAACATGCCACACAGTAACACACCACACAGTAACATGCCACACAGTAACACACCACACAGTAACATGCCACACAGTAACACACCACACAGTAACATGCCACACAGTAACATGCCACACAGTAACATGCCACACAGTAACATGCCACACAGTAACATGCCACACAGTAACACACCACACAGTAACATGCCACACAGTAACATGCCACACAGTAACATGCCACACAGTAACACACCACACAGTAACATGCCACACAGTAACACACCACACAGTAACATGCCACACAGTAACACACCACACAGTAACATGCCACACAGTAACACACCACACAGTAACATGCCACACAGTAACACACCACACAGTAACATGCCACACAGTAACACACCACACAGTAACATGCCACACAGTAACATGCCACACAGTAACATGCCACACAGTAACATGCCACACAGTAACATGCCACACAGTAACACACCACACAGTAACATGCCACACAGTAACATGCCACACAGTAACATGCCACACAGTAACACACCACACAGTAACATGCCACACAGTAACACACCACACAGTAACATGCCACACAGTAACACACCACACAGTAACATGCCACACAGTAACACACCACACAGTAACATGCCACACAGTAACACACCACACAGTAACATGCCACACAGTAACACACCACACAGTAACATGCCACACAGTAACATGCCACACAGTAACATGCCACACAGTAACACACCACACAGTAACACACCACACAGTAACATGCCACACAGTAACATGCCACACAGTAACATGCCACACAGTAACACACCACACAGTAACATGCCACACAGTAACACACCACACAGTAACATGCCACACAGTAACACACCACACAGTAACATGCCACACAGTAACACACCACACAGTAACATGCCACACAGTAACACACCACACAGTAACACACCACACAGTAACATGCCACACAGTAACATGCCACACAGTAACATGCCACACAGTAACACACCACACAGTAACATGCCACACAGTAACACACCACACAGTAACATGCCACACAGTAACACACCACACAGTAACATGCCACACAGTAACACACCACACAGTAACATGCCACACAGTAACACACCACACAGTAACATGCCACACAGTAACACACCACACAGTAACATGCCACACAGTAACACACCACACAGTAACATGCCACACAGTAACACACCACACAGTAACATGCCACACAGTAACACACCACACAGTAACATGCCACACAGTAACACACCACACAGTAACATGCCACACAGTAACACACCACACAGTAACATGCCACACAGTAACACACCACACAGTAACATGCCACACAGTAACACACCACACAGTAACATGCCACACAGTAACACACCACACAGTAACATGCCACACAGTAACACACCACACAGTAACATGCCACACAGTAACACACCACACAGTAACATGCCACACAGTAACACACCACACAGTAACATGCCACACAGTAACACACCACACAGTAACATGCCACACAGTAACACACCACACAGTAACATGCCACACAGTAACACACCACACAGTAACATGCCACACAGTAACACACCACACAGTAACATGCCACACAGTAACACACCACACAGTAACATGCCACACAGTAACACACCACACAGTAACATGCCACACAGTAACACACCACACAGTAACATGCCACACAGTAACACACCACACAGTAACATGCCACACAGTAACACACCACACAGTAACATGCCACACAGTAACACACCACACAGTAACATGCCACACAGTAACACACCACACAGTAACATGCCACACAGTAACACACCACACAGTAACATGCCACACAGTAACACACCACACAGTAACATGCCACACAGTAACACACCACACAGTAACATGCCACACAGTAACACACCACACAGTAACATGCCACACAGTAACACACCACACAGTAACATGCCACACAGTAACACACCACACAGTAACA